CTTATTTGTCACAGAATTAAGTATTTTCCTATTCTAGTCTTTAAATAAGATAAAGGTTATGTTAATTAAAACTACTATAGGTAAGCAAGTCTTTAAAAGTTTGGAAATGGCTGTATCAACATTTAAATAAAGGACTATTCAAACCTTAAAAATTATATATACTTGCGGACCCGACAGACGTCCTGCATGATATTTCAAGCGATTAGGATATTAAAGTACCGACTGCAGTGCCATCTACCTGGCTGATTTGTGAATCTAAACCATCCAGGGCGCCACACAAACTCGTCCTTAAAATTCATTCAAATCGGTCCAGCCGTTTATGAGGAGGTCAGTGACATACATTCGTACAGTAGAATTGTATTTAAAGATATACGAGTATATTAAGTATGACAATGTACGAAAAGCCGTTGAATACAATAGCTTTTTTGTATGTGTGATAAATGAGCATTATATTAATATTATTAATATCACAAGGAGTGAAGACTAATAAAGAATTAAATAAGCGTCTATAAAATCATTGTGATCTCCAATAAAACCTCGCCACGTTGGCGTAGCTTTCACCAAAATAGTTTGACATTTCAAGTATAAAGTTCAAAAGGTCGTTCGCTACAATTATTATTAAATCAGTTTTTAAAAGTATAACGAAATATCTTGATTTGGAAATCTGCGCTTAGTCAGTTTTTAAACGTATTTAATATAAACATTTAATAAATAAAGAATGGTTTGTCACGTTTTTTTTATTATTCTTTTATTACTGTTACGAATATGGAGAAATTATTTAAGTTTTTTTAATGGATTGGTTTGAGATTAAGTCTTTAAGCGTAATTTCTATATTCGTTTGCCTAGATAAGGATTTCGAGGCTGTATTTCGTAAATGAAATTTAATTACTACCCTATAAGTTTGTATTTAACGAAGGTGTTATATTTTTCACGCCAAAAAAAATTCTAATTCAAAACACAACATTAAACACCGATTTTAAGTACAGAAACGTAGTAATAATTAAACTATTAAACACAAAATATCCTAAGTTTACTTACCAGTTGCTAGTTTTCGTAACAATTCATTTATGTAGGAATCAGTACTTTACCGTGAGTTGCGCAAGCGCCGAACGAGGTCGCCGCTCGGCCTCAATACATTGGGCTCTATATAATGTCAGGATCAAGGCTGATTTCGTATTTGCGACAACATGCAATCCTTAAGCAATTTTGATTTCCTCCAAACACATGTAAGTTTATAAGGTAAATAAATTGTGTAATTGTCAACGCAGATACTTCTTCGCCATTTTGAAACTGAAGGGTGGATTTTTCTAATTAAATAAATTACGTTTGATAAGCTCATAAAGGCTCAATAATATTTAAGTACCTATATATACATAACGATTTAGTTTACAGATTTGAGCAAACTTAAAGGCTGGATCACATGGGTCATTGCTATGGACTGCATAGTGCATATGCCTACATGGTAAAAAAATACTGTGATACATATTCAACAACAAACATACAGTCGCCAATAAACTATTGGTAATTTGAGCAGAGCATGGCTGTAGTTGGAACTAAATGGAAGCGCGAACATCATTCGTATAGTATTCGTGAGTAGCTAACAAAATCGCCGACTCGACAGAACCATCGCAAAGTTCGTGCTACTGATTTGAAGTTAGTCAAGGCGAAGGTAGAGGCGGTCATCCATTATTGAGGTCACAAAATAAACGGAGCGCATTTTATGTTACAGTTACGCGGTGGAAGGTGTCAAACGGTACTAAGATTTGAATCGCGCAACGAAAGTGTTGATGGCACGCTGCTTTCTAGTATTATTCATGATGAATTTTACATTGTAACCAGGCAGCGTTTTTGTTCCCAAACATAACTAGTTCCATGATATGACAAGTTTTCCCGTATAGAGCCGAGTGCCGTATGGCTGACTTGCTGTTCGATACAATTTTTTGCCACACCGTCTCCATACTTTTACGCCATTAACTGTAAAGTAATACATATATATGTATGACAATTGTTGTCGCGGAATAGGTCGCGGATTTGTGTCCTTAATTAACTATTGCTCTTTAGTGTGTAATGGTGAGTTTGGTAAATCACAGAACAGTTTTTTTTTACTTATGTAACTTTAATGACGTTGTGCTTTATGACATTTTCCTTTGAATAATTATAATGTAGAGGAAGGGTAAAACATGCTGAGTTTCTTGCCCGTTTTTATCAGAACGGATGGCGTAGTCTCGCTCATTCGCGAATTTTGTAAACGTTTTTCACATTCATAACTTGTGTCTATATGCACTTCATATAATATATCTTGAATAGAAAATAAAAATAGATATAAAGAAATAGAAATTGCTTGTTGAGCGCTTGAGTCCTTGTGAGTTTTATTTTTATGAATGAAATGAATGGAATTATTGTTGGGGGCTGGTTACCCGAGTGCTCCCTAAAAGTTGGAAATAATGTATGTTGTGTGGAGGCGTCTTTAGCATTTCGTCTCTTACAAGACCGGAGCGAGACTCTTATTCGTTTAAAGTTTCTTGTCCGTCCCTTTTATCTTTACCTGTTCCTTGTTCAGGTTGATCTTTAAAATTCACCCGTTTAAATTGCCTGATTAATTTGCTGCTAGAACCGGTGACGGTTATTGAAGTCGCGTTTCCTACATTGTGATATGTCATGACCGCCGATCTTTCAGTATCGACAATATAGATTGTTGCCACTATTACCCATCGATCTCAGTGGGTTATATGAAGCTCTCTAAGGTGAGGGCATTAGGATTTGTCTTTAAAGAATCGTGTCTACTGTTGTTATTGAATTTATTCTCGCCATGTGGGCGTTTATAAAGCGTTAATTGGAAATTCAGATATTTTAAAATTAATGCTTTAATGTCTTTGCTGATTTACATCTTACCCTATTAGAAATACGAGGTTGGAATCCCACGAAGAAGAAGAGAACTCTTTAATGGAGTAGGAAATTTCCGCCTTGCCGTTGAATTAAGCCAGAAGGTACCTACTTAAATAAGATGGGTTTTTGCGCATCCGACGCTAGCTCGAATGCATTATCACAATTTACTAAGGAGTTCAGACTCTCCCTATATCCATCATAGGATTTAATAAACTTGAATATGATGTTTAATTCTAATTTCGTCCTCAAACATTAAAGCTTCTGGCATAATTTATTTAATATTTTAATGTGTACAAGCTGCAAGGAGAAAAATAAACAAGCGTATAATTAGGTTATTTCATAACAATTACTATAATAACAATGACTGCAGACATGAACATTCCGGAACGATAAGCGTGGTATTTCTGTGTCTGATTGATTGATATTCAATATAATTTATCTTTATATACTTTTTCTCTTGCACTGATACTCTCCGTCCGACGTTACTCCTCAGGGATTTAATCTCTTAATTGAGGTCGATCTTTCTTCTCTTGAAGACTTTTTCTAGGACCTCGAAGATGTCACAAAATACACTTTAAATAACTTAACACTGAGAATATGGATATAGAATCTGCAGAGCAGTGCCGGCTAAGTTAGTCTCTCTAATAATGTTGACAGCAGACTGACTGTTGTTGACTTGCGTCGACTTCCTACTTCCTTAGGACTTTGTCGGCGTTACACCTGACATTTTAGGTATGTAACAGTTCGATACTGCCTTATGGCTTGAGCGCAAAAACAGATAAAACTCAATAAATATTATAGGCAGGGGTCAGACGGTCGATAAATATAGCGGTCCAATATCGCGGATATCTGTCTCAATATATGAAATCAAATGGTCGTACTACACTTTCAATAGATATTGACGTAATATTTATTTCTGCCGCGTTTAGACATCAATAAATCTGGTAAGACCTCAAGGATCACGATGTATATTGACCGTCTGACCTCTGCCTTATACTTATATATTAGGTATCTACAAAGAAGTGGATAAGTAATAAAACATTAAATATTTAATAAATATATTTTACGCCGAATTCTTCAATATGTGCTAACAACATTAAAAAAGTAGCGTAATTTTGCTTACAAAAACACAACCCAAAATGGACAATATTAGTCGCGAATTAATTCTAGTCAAACAAAACCTCGTAAATTAAACCAGAAAACGTATCTAAATAAAATCTTCTTAGTATGTACGTGCTTCCTCAGAAAAAATATCATTTTAGAATTTGTTAGGATTTTATACATATCGTCGTAATACAAACAATTTCATTCCGAAATAGATGCAACGAATTTTTATTCATTTAAAAGATAAATTCAAAGACTTTAAATATCTAAAGGCAATGCAAAGAACTAATTTATATTAGCTGAGATTGCCTAATATGCAATACACGAGTCTATAGTTACTACTTTTATTTAATAATAGTGTAAGTGTAATGTATAATGTTAACAATTACAATTCATACATCAACTTATATACACTATAATTCTAAGCTGCTTTTTAAGTTCACAATATGCTTGGATTACATAAAGGAATTCTCACGTGTATTAACGTATATATTTCGCCTGTTTAAAATATTTCTTAAATACTTACAGTATATTGAATTATCAGCTGGTCAGACTTATAACACAGGTTTATTTTTACACATGACTATTGTTTACGTAGTGGTTCACTGAGAAGAAACCACAACCCCGTGTCAACTTATACAACGTAATAAACGAGTCTGATCACGATCTTCATTAGATGATTCTTAACCGCCCACTATCAATAAATCAATGTGAAATAATTCTATTTTGGAACCATCTCGTGGGTCGTTGTTGAGAATACAATAATAAGACATTATTAAATTATGTATGAGAACTTCTTTATGTGCACAAAAAAACAACCTTTTAACAAACTACATCTAAACACATACTAGAATCATGGCAATTATACGAAAACAAAAAAAATAATCAAAAACGACTAGGAGAGTTGAACACAAATAAAGTTATGGATACACAATATTAAACGTCTAATAAGAAAATTATTGAGAGTTGGTACCGCCTGAAAACCATTCATGTACTTCAGAATTTAATAATTAAAACTGAATACGATAGTGGTGCGTCCGTTTGTTATCTTTGGCGGATTCAGCGGACCGGCGTCTAGCTGCCGCATATACAGCAAGCTTTGATGGTGAAGGGAGACTCGAATCCCGAGGTCGAACCAGCGATTCCCTGGATTCAGCAGCTGGCAGAGAAGCGGATGTTGGCACTGATGGTAGCTTTCGAACTGTGTCATATGGCAAAGGTGAGCTGCGTGAGGCAGTAGAAGCAATCGATCCAGAGCCGTCTGAGTCCTGAAAATGGTAATACCTGCAGATCCTAGTACTTTAAGGAAACATTTAAATAATCCGCTAGAGTCTAGCGGCTAGACTATACTTACCAGCCTTTGATATGCTATGTTAGTGGTAGAAGAGAATTATCGTGCCAAGTAAAAGCACTTTAAGGGGAAATAAGAACTCAGAGCTACCTATAACTGTATGCCCTTTTCGTATACATTGTGTAAAGTCATAAAAAAAATTCCGATGTTCTTTTTCATTTCATCATCTACCAATTTTACAAACCAGTAAACTCAAACTCAAATTCAAAATATCTTTATTCAAGTGGGTAACCAAGTACACTTTTGAATCGTCAAGTTAAATTAATCGTAAATTTACATTTACTACCAGTTCGCAAGTCAAGGGCGTAAAGCGGGTAAGAAGAACTGGCAAGAAACTTTCCGCCACTCTTTTTAATCGCCAAGTATTGTCATACAAATTGTTTGAACTGGAGCAATTCAATCCCAAGGATTAGGATCATTTAAGTAGTCCTCAAATTTATAAAAAGCTTTGTTGATTAATTTTCGTTTAACGAGGGCTTTGAATTTATTTAGTGATAATACTCTAATTTCGCTTGGGAGTTTGTTGTAAAAACGAATACAATTTCCATAGTAAGATGGAGTTGACAAGTTAGCTATAAGTAAATTATAAATTACTAACTTTACGACCATCTCTATGTTCCAGGCGATCATATCTAGTGTTACGAGCAGAAGGCTTTCTGGGTGGGCGTGGCAGAGCAGACGGTGGCGGTGGAAGACTTGATGACCTGGTTTGCTGTGAGGCCCGTCCCTGACGTTCCAAGAGCAGGGCTTCTTCTCCACGTCCGTTACCAGCACGAGCCCCAACCGTGCTCAGTCCGGGGAAACAGCATAGACCTCTCTGGATACGGTAAAATTACTTGGCAAAGGTGCCTTATTGTGATATACTTTACGGTATTCATTTTACTTATCTTGATAACTCTTGACATGCTAATAGCAACGATGAAGAGTTGAAAGATTTTTTTTTAGTGACTCATTTATTTTGAAAAATCCATTTGATATTAATTCCCGAAAAGCAACTTAAAATTTTGGTGAACTCGCGCTAAAATTCGATTAAAAGCTTACAATAACTTAGAGACAACAGTATATTTACAGTCGTTGACAGATGTAATTCTTATCTATATATTTATTTACGCTCGAGTCATTAAATTATTTAAAGGAATTACTTTAGAATTCGTGTATTTTTTGCCAGCAATTATTATTATTAAGCTCAAAAGCCAAATGTTAGGACAATCAGTAAAACCACAACAAACAAAACACGTTTTTATTCATGCTCTCTATTAATAAATCGATTACAAAATATATTACGACAGAGTATATTTCCTTAAAATTAGCCTCCGATTTCATTGTGAAATATCATAAATTCATCTTTTATTATAAAGATAAAATAGATATCTAACAATATATGCTGTATAGCTACCTAGAAGGTACAACAGTTAATGTTAAAAATAAATACAAAAATAAACATCTACTTAATCATATACCAAATACCGATAGGCTTGCAAATGGTACAGTTATTTTTGTAAATTTCAACAACGGTTCCACACGTTCACTGACAAGAGAAGTGTGTGAGCAACGCGTTATTTTAATCCCGAAAAACTTTGAATAATATTTTTAAAATCCAATCAAAATTAAGAATAAATTCTAATTATTTAAAAAAATATTTCGTGTCAAAAAATTTTTCTGATATTTCTATAGATAACTGTATCATTCACCACATCTTAAAACTAACTTTGGCATATTTTTGTGACCAATGCCTAAAAGTTAAAAATCAAATTATATCTACATTAGTTTCACGACTAGGGGAGTCAAATTCCGAATTTAAGAGATTCCTAAAACCATAAATTTGATTGGCACCTGTTCAAATGTTTTAATAATTATACCAAAATATTTATACGGTACAAATTATAAAACGCTTATTTTTTAATTAAATTATGTACCACAATAGACAGGTAAATTTTATAGATATTAAGTCAATGATTTTATAAATAGTGCATACTCTGAATAAACAACCGAAAATAAGGCACCTTCGGGTAAAATTTTAAGGCACTAATAAAGGCACAATCTGTAAAATGTTTAAATATTAATCTTAAAAATATTTTTGATTAGCGAATATTAGACATTATGAAGCTGAAAATTCACACAAAACACTTTGAGGAATGTTGTTTGATTTGGAATGTGTGTAAATTGTTAGAAGCACACACTACTTGATAAAGCAATATTAGTAGTGGAAAAATTTAAGTGAATTGAAGAATGACATGACACATTTTTGTGATTTTGATTCAAAGAATGATTAACCAGATATATTTGAATCAAAAAACTTGTACTGGGGATCTACCATAAACACTATTCTAGTCTATGGTAGGTTTTTATGTAAAATTTGTCTTATAAAATGTGGGCTAAAGATACCGTTTTGTTACCATGGTTACCAATTTCTATAAAATACTGTTTCTAAGTAAACTTTCGACAGAAGAAAACCCTTCAAACATAAGTACGTATAATTTAATTAAATATATATAGTTAAATTTATCAAAACACATCGTAACCATAGTAACACGGAATTGGCCATCTTCTTACAATTATTTGTCTCAAAAAGACATACTACGTCCGACTGTACTCTTTGTTGTGTATGAGAAATGGGATATAATTCAGTATAATCATCATTGATCCATTTCTAAATTCATAGAACTTGCTCCAAATATTCCCCTAAGACAATTCTAGAGAGAATGATCCTTCGGGGTACGAAAGGACGTATGTACTTTGTAAATTTAACCAAGCAGACTTTATTCCATGTACTGGTTGATGATACAACATTTTGTAATCCAGCGTATGCGTGCACGTATGTACGTGGATTACGGATCCGCGCCGTTTAATTATAACATATGTGTCAATGTGTTAAAACATTAAATGGATTTTCTTCTACCATTAGTCAGCGCATATTTGAAAAAAAAACCTAAACTCAAGATCTGTCAGACATTTTATTCTTACAGTTTATATTTCCGCTCAAGATTAGTGATTTTGTGAACGCTTCTTTCGTAATCGGTTCAAATGTTGTATTCAAATTAATTATATTATAACAATTGTTTAAGTTATTTTAAAAGATGTCAAACAATTAAATGTAACCTTAGTTTGTAATAGGAAAGAAATAAATTAAATACAGTAAACTCCATGTAACTCCAAAACCTGAAACGTCATGGTTTGTCATGTCCGTAAAATGTAACGTTTTTTTCATTATAAGCTCAAAAAAAACAGAAAATCCAGTTCTTTGAGCGTCTCTATAGATTGCACTGTAATTATGAAATTGTGATTAAACGCGTTAATCTTGTGTTTTTCGCGTATTAGAGGTGTGTATCAGTAGTAGGAGGCATGCGGCGGGGTCAGATCTGTCTGCGGCAGGAAACTCACGGCGGGCACAGGTGGCCGCTCCAGGCGGGACTCCAGTGCTGCCAACTGCTCTTCTAGGCGAAGAGATGTGCTGTCGAAACCGCATCCTGAAATCATAATAAAAATAAACCAAGTACCTAATTTTTTATACAAGTACATTCGAATATTTTTATTGTTTATTGCCAGAACAAGTCAAGCCAAGAAATAAATTTAAAGTTTTACCGCCCTATTATTTAGCCCGCCTGTATTACTTTTAGAAAAAATGTACTATTCAATAAATGATTATTTGCGTTAGACACTGTAATTGATATAAATGTAATGATGTAATGTATAATATAAGAATTGACTTTGACTAATAATGTAAAGTAGCTTAAGACAAAATTGCGAGCCATTGTGTGTGGCGATGCGAATATGCGAACGATTTACGATTGTATCACCTTAACATTTTGTACCATATTCTTGCAATAAATAAATGATTATTATAATAGACTATAGATTATTGTAGGCATTGCAAACGTACCGCAAGTATAAGGCGTGCTGCATGATAAATTTCATAAACAGACTTTTACATGTGTGGACATATTGTTTTCACATTTCCCCATCTCGAGTCAAGATGTGATTATAAAGTTATTTAATAAAATATCTCACCGCTGGCATTATCATTGTGCGGGGAATAATTCCTCCGAGCGAGATGGCGATAACGTGCGCCCACCGATACGCCCGACCCGCTCACTCCCGATACACCTGTCCCGCTCACACCTTCCGTACTAGAGAATGATGCTCCGGAAGATAGACCCACTGAAAATATAAATATAAAAAATTAGATCAAATTAAAAAAAAATAACTTAAACTCTGATTTTTAATTCCGTAGAATTCTGACAGCTTTAATTTTTTGACATGTCTTTTTGAAAGGGCACATTTTTCAATTTCAATACGAGTCTAAACATCTAACTCTATACATACATTTTATTTGTTAGTGAATGTATCCAATTTATTAAGTGCGTGCTCCACATAAAAAGTGTATTTACGGCGACTGATAATTTCGTCCCATTTCATCACAAACAGTAAAAAACGCACAAGATAACATTTGACTGTCTTAAAAAGCTTTACTAAACCTGGAAGCCAGCTGAAGAATATAATAACGTAATTAAAATTAATTCGATATATTGTTCGTGATATTGAAATATTTGTTTAAGAGTTACATTTTTGTAGGAAAAACATAAAAAATACGTAGCATTTTATTTTATTGCCCTCAAATGGGTCATATTTGTCCCTATTTCGGTGGAGAACTTTTTTTGTAGCAACACTTATGAAATGTCAGAATTCTACGGAATGAAAAATCACAGTATAAAAGCCAAGGCATGAATTGTTTTAAATTTTATATAAAAAATCTTCTAGTGAGTCTAAAATTACCTAATTCTTCACGACTGGAATTATTCCTTAGGGAAGCACCACTCGTATGTTTCTGCAGGACTTTGATCATCGCGTCGCGTTCAGCTACCTTGGATTCCAACTCTTTCACTCTGATAAGAAAAACGTATATAGATTAATAGCGAATTTTTTATCTATTTTATTCACTAGCTGATAGAGAATATAACTAACAAATATGTATAGAAAATTTTATTAATAAAATACACAAAAAAACACTTTAAATCAAACAAATTTATGTAGACTGTATATATATATATAAATTAATTGCTGTTCATTTGTCTCGAGTAAAGCTGGACCGATTTGGCTAATTTTCATCTTTAAATATTAGTGGAAGGAAGTATCAAACGACGAGAAACATGTATACTATATAATAAAAAAGCAGAAATAATTTAACTTTCCAATAGAATTAATTTCTAGCTTCAAAAAATTTGATGTCTTTTGTTTTTTTTATATAAATCTTGTGTTCATAATTAAATTCCTCCGAAACGGATGGATCAATTCTAATGAGTGTTCAAGTGGAATGGAGAATAGTTCAGATTATCTAAAATTAGATATTTGTTGTTGGATTTTTTAAAGTTTGGAATTTTTGTATTTAAAACGTGTATGCAGAACATACGTCGGGTCCGCTAGTGTATAAATATAATTATATTAATAATAACAAATGAATTAAAAAATAATCCTAACTTACAACAGTACTAGACACTATTCATACTCATACCTGCTTTCGAGGTCAGCGACCTTTTTCTGTGCAGAGTGAAGTTCGTCCATGTGACGTATCTTTTCACTGCGCACTTCAGCCATTAGGCGCTCAGATTCCGCTGAAGTTTTCTCCAAAGCTGCTATCTTTGCATCCCTATAAAACAAGATAATACAATTAATACATTAAAATTAAATAAGTTATGATATTATGTGTGATTAATGATTACTTTATATTAACGGTAAATAAGTATAATTTTGTTGTAGTTTTAAAAAATGGATATTAAGCCAAATTCCGGACCGGAAGGCATTGAGACTGTTGACTTTTTAGGATTTTTTTGAATTAATTTAATAAATTAACCATCAGCCCACTGAAGTACAGTGTAAACTCTTTACAACGATTTCAAGGGACCGAGCATATTTATTCTATATATATAATATATTCTATATATATAATATATTCTATATATATAATATATTCTATATATATAATATATTCTATATAATAGTATGTGTATTGGGTTAAACCAAATAAATTTATCTCTTTTTTACGTCATAGAGAGTTTCTCGTTATAACGAATGACATTATAAAGGGTTTACACTGTATTTCCATTCGTCTAAGGTCCCTTAGCACTTGTGAGCCTTCAGGCATTGGCTGTCTTTGAACAGCATTACTTAACATCAGATGACTTTCTGCCGCCTATTCTAACTCACTTGGGTATAGACGCGGCGGAAACAGCGGCCTGCCTCAAAGCGGCCTCCTCCAAATACCGTTGTTCCCACTTCGCACACTCTCCCTCTAACGCGAGAAGGCGTTCGTCTCTCTCCCTTACTTGTCTTCGGAGTTCTGCTTCTTCACCTCCTTCGGTCCCTCCGATACGACTGCCCACACCTCCGCAGGTGCATTCGCGTTTGCTAAAGTATAATCATTATGTTATGTTGACGTCACACGTAATGGCTTTTGACATACAGAATTCATAGTACGCGTTCAGTCTCTATTCTGAATCCATTTAAGAGATTTTCAGGTCCATTGGAAATTGAAATATACAAAAGATAGTATGTTAAACTAGAACTGTTTTTTTAGCTTAACACGATTATTAAAAACGCTTGATTAATATTTCTTGTATTAATAATTCCCGATTAAAATTAAGGAAACAACAACTTTATCCCACCATTATTTATTTTTTAATAGGACCACTACTAATACTAACAGCATTATTAAACCAATCATTTCCTTTCACTGAATGAGAAAATATTTATGCTTCGTCAATAAAAACACGTCATTCGACATTAAAAATGCGCTAACTTTGTTTCAGATTTTATTTAAGTTGTTAAAAAAAAGAATTTATTTGTTTATAACCTACTTTTGGAATTTCATAATCGATGTGACTTCTATTGTTCTTTCTTCAAACTTACCGGAGTGTCTGCAATTCCTTCTCCAGCTGGGCTCGTAGCTTCCTCTCAGTATGTTCTCGTCTGTCGGAAGCCTGTTGTATTGAAGCTAAGGCTCGCTGAAGTCCCCTCACCCGTTCTACGTAACCGCTTGTGTGACGACACTAAATACAATTGTTTAAAAATATAGCCAAAACGGATTGTACGTTACATATGAACAACATTATGTACTAACAAAGACAATGTACTAATAATTTACTTGTTGAGGTGTGTGTGGAAATGTGCAATGTTAGTGTGTGTATGTGCGTTTTTAGGTAATCTTAAATATCCGATTTGCTTATCCTTTGAAAATACGTGTTTGGAGTTGGAATAAACCGAGGCTCGCATGCTCCTTATTAATTTAAATGTACAATACGTTTATTGGTACTGTTATTCCAGATTTAAAGTTCATAATGGTTTTAATAATAATAACAGATTTTTTATTAGACAATACTGCCTAGATTCTTATTCGACTACGTTAAATTAACTTCTCATTTCACTTCACTAGGTAGACTGGAAATAGGATTATTCAAATTCCTTATTAGACAATAATAATGGTGAGGAGTGAAAAAGACAGGTCAGATTCACACCGCCCCTTGGGTCACCTTGTTACCTTGTTCAATGAATGCACTATGAAACCGAATCGATAACAATCAAAACATCGTAATAGCGGTATATGCGATTCAAAAAATTGGTGCGACGATCCAGAAATTCTATCATAGAAATTCACTTAAAATTTTACTTATTTTTGTCATTACTATAATTTTAAGAGAAGAATTAGAACACAGTATCGATAATTCAATTCTCGATTGAAGTAGTTTAATTCTTGTTATAGTTTTATTTTTTATTGTTGTTTCTATATTTTTGTACTTTAATATTTAATTTAATTTCGCTTTCGTGTCTGTTTAAAAAAAATCCTTTAAGTGGATACGATATGAAAAATATTAAATATTTAACACTAAAAATGATTACCTCTTCTTCAAGTCTCACAACATTAGCCTGCGCATTGGTGAGTGCTGTATCCAGTATGTCGATGTGGGTCCTTTGTTCTTGCAAAGTCGCACGCTGAGCAGACATCTCGATCTCCTGACGCTCTTTTGCGCATGCTAACTCCTTGTCTAAAATCGCCATGATTTTGTTCATAAATTTTTTTTATTTTTATAAAAAATCATGTAAAATTTCCGAATATGATAATATAAAATAATATAATCGCTTAGCTCCTCCTCTATCTTCCTATAAATTTCTTCTGTACAAACATTACCTGTCCACATCGTATCCCTTACTTTCGAACTAACTACTAACTGACGTGAGACTGATCTTAGATTAAATTAAAATGATTAATGTGCACTTTTTAATTTTCATGTATCCTTTATTAGTTTAGTTTGTTTTTGTTCCTGTTTAGTTTTTTTTCTTAATAACTATATGTCATAATATGTATTTTTGCACTTCTTGCCTATCTTATCTAATTTAATACATTTTTTTTTCTTCTCACAGTGTTTGCCTGGAAGAGATCGCTCGCATCGATCGAAAGCGATTAGCCGCCAGTTGCCTTCCTTTTCATTTAATTATGTTCAATTTTTATATTGTAAGTAATATACAGTAAAAAAATATTTTTATAAAAGAACAGATCACATCTAAACTCCATAAATACCAAGTAAAACATATGATTTTTGTACATTTTCATTTGCTGTTTTCGAAGTCGGATAAAATACATACTTTGAGTAATAAGCTGTGCAATAAGCATTTCTCTGTTTTGCAACTCTTTACGAAGCACTTCACTGTTACTATCGGCATCAGCACGCACGCCTTGAGACAGCAGTTCCACCTGAACATAATTTAACATTTATTTAGAATATATGTATTAACATTTCCACTTTTCCAGTTGAAGAAATTACATATTAAGTTTCATTAAAACATTTTGAATAAACATAAGAGTGTTTTGTTGCTCCAGCATTTAAAGAGTATAGTAGTATATGTTACTTGGTCACGATTTCCTTACAAAATTGATCAGGGCCTACACGCCTATCGCTACGGTATAACTTATTAATTTAATTTTAATTGTTTGACTTTAATACTAATTAGTTAAACGACTATTTTATTATTTCGTTTCTCCGGAGTGGTAAAACATGTAATATGACTGATATGTTTTTGAATGCTAAATGGAACATAATAACGGGCGCGATTGCGCATTGTCCTTTTTCAATGTTTTTTTCATACCGTCAAATAGCCCATAGTTATGTACCTGATGTTTAAGTGCTCTGTTGAGTTCATGGAGCCTTCTACAATCTGCTTGTAGTCTTACGCGCGCAGCTCGTTCTAGCCTCTCTCGACGCTCGCACGAACCAACCAAGTCTTCGTGGGCTGTACGAACTTTCTCGACTTCCTCCTCCAACTATGACAAAGTACATTGACATTAATCAACACACAATTTAATTATCTATAATCATCTTTTTTATTTTATTTTAAGTAAAAAAATCATTACATCATATAGGTAACATAATGTACACTTATGACTCGTCAGTAAAGAAATCTTTAAATAACATAACATTAAAATTACAGACACTATAAAATACTTTATTTTATGTCTGGCAATAAAAAAGTATGTCAGGTAGACTTATTTAAAAACGGAAAATTAAAAAATTACGCTTCTTAAAATGCTTTTAAATCCAGGATTATTAAGCCCAGACTCTAACCGAAAGTGCAAGAAGGAAGACATATCACAAAATCAGCTGACCTGAAATTCTTACGAGCACTTTTCAAACGTTTCTAGCTCCCGTACTTATATTAATGCTTCTAATTTTACATTTACTGCCAGTTCTCAAATCAAGGGCGTATTTCTTATAGAATCAATTAAATGATTGAATTTTCTACCATTGCAATAAAACTGACTCCACTTTTTACGAACTATTTTTTTAACTTAGAAAATTATTGTATTTATTATTTGTTGGATTTTAATTTATAAGTATTATTAATAAGTATTTTACAATATACACTATTTTTATCAAAATGTAATATAATACAAAACTTGTTTTTAAGTCTTTAACGGGCTTAAAAACTTCGTAGTCCTCCTGTGGTCTTCAACATTTTACCATAGTGCATTAAGCATTTCCTGCAATGCTGAAGAAAACCAAAATACACAAATCACTGGAAATAATAACTATCAATTAACGCTCCAACGCTATATTTTCTATAAATTTTCTTGGCCTTAAATGACACCAGTTTCTTCAATCATGTTTATTTTATTTATTCAGAAGGCTGATCAGCCTTCTGTGTCTGACACATGTCATCGGTTTTTGGGTTTAGACATGTCGTTGTTCATGATGTTTGCCTTTATCAAAGGAGCTTGTGCTAATTGCGCAACAACAAATCACTGTTGTACTTATAACATGTTTTAAATAAAATATTTATTATTATATCTGATTTAAACAAAGAGATTTTACTTCTTGCATTGCGTCTTCTATTAGATCTCCTCCTAACAAACAAATGTTCACCAGCTCCTTCGAGTTTTTATCGGTTAAAAAAGTTTACAACTAATTAAGGACCTTCTTTCAGAATTTTGGTTAATATATATTCATTTTAACAATATCGTAGAGAAAGCTTAGTTGAAATAGCATTGGCGTAATTAGTTTGAGCTACGTCCCGCTTTTAGCAACAGACAAATTCAGTTACAAAGCAATTAATACGGTAATTTACAGTCCACAATCGAGTGTATTTACCTCGATTGCTGCATAGATGTGCTAATTTTAGCACATGCAGTCTTATTCAAAACGATATTAATTAATAAAAATGAAACCATATAGGTATATATATATATGGGTTATAACATATATCGTTTTTTTTAATGCATATTTAGTAAGTCTGAGAATCGGCTACTATCTATCTTTCAAAACCCTAAGTGATAAGGGGTCTCCACCCTAAAAAAAATATTTGTTTTTTTGCATTTATTTCTGTATGATACAGCATACAAAAATATATACAACCCCTAATTTTCACTGCTCTACGATCAACCCCTATTTTTTATTATAGTTGATCATTATTTTTGTTGAAGAAAAATACATGGCAAAACAACGTTTGCCGGGTAGTTTGATATAATTTTTAAAATATCAGTAAAGTTCTTGTGTTTTCCCAAAAAATACAGTGGCGCTACAACTTTTTAGGTCTGGATACTGGCTACAATGTTTTGTGATAATTTGTTTTTAAAATAAGTAGGTGATCAGCCTTCTGTGCCTGACACGCCGTCGACTTTTTGGGTCGGGCATGCCGGTTATCTCACGATGTTACCTTCACCGTACAAGCGTGTGTTACGTGGGCACATAAGTACCCATCGCTAATACCACTAGGCCAACACTGCTTCAATAGTAAGCATCTGTCTTTATATTGAAACTAAAGATTAGATTATCATGAATTGGAAAAAACTCTACAAAATCTGTTATTCATTCCCTATACAACCCACACTATATACAAATAATTGCTGTTTCAAAGCGGTTAAGCTATTTAGACCTTATAATAGTTTTAAAGCGACGTTAATTTGATCTTAAAAGGACACTGCTCCTACAGCTAAGATGTCTACCACATTTTAAATCTCTTTGACATTTTATTGAAACTTATCAAAGATTTTCTTGAGCTACTTTAAAACCGTTTAGCACATGAATAAGGGTACTTATCGAATTTTCTTGATTGACCCTGTCGCTTAATTACAAGTAAATATAGTTAGAAGGTCACGGGTGAATCACGCTGAACAAAATAAGTGCAATGTACTCGGTTTTTCATTCAAACAAAGTGACGTAAAGACAACTGAAAATAAACATTACTCACGATTAAATTTAGTTTTACGCGGAATCACACGGTCGCAGCGTAATATCATACGATATATTTTTAACTCTTGCGAATCGACCATATTTAAATAACTGTTACGGGATTAAAAGGTTACATTTTTATTGCAATGAATTGTAATTGTAATATTATTTCGTTGTTTCTTTTACGCATTTAAAGAAATTAAAATAAATTGAAAAAATATCACATTTTTCTAATATAATTTTAATTTAATAATATTTATAGGAAATTTATTGTTTATTAAGATCTCTTTGATTCATTTATATTCATCTAAACCTCCTATATCTACCTGTTTAAGGAATAATATTTCATATATTAATTACGAATCTCGAACATACTAAAAAGCACATACTGTATAGCAAACACACGTGTCACGTTTTTTTACGCATAGTAATCGGCAGTCTGTGCATACACCAAAATCATTATTTCCTCTTGAACTTAAAAACTACTGTTTGACTTTAAAAAAGTAATTGTTTTACCACAGAGCTATACTGTAAATGTGGAGCATAGGGAATACATAGATTCAAATGCATGGATCCGCCTCTTCACGAAAAGTACTGAAATTTAAAATACCTTAGACGTTTTAGACACCCTCTCACACGCATTAGCAAGCTGGCGTTTGAGCTGATGGTTCTCCGCAGCCAATGCATCAAGGACTGCTGTGAAGGCATCGTCTTCCTCTAAGGAACCTTCGCCACCGCTGCACCAGCCGCTGGATTCCGAACCACCAGGTACTGCTCGGACTCCCACACTGAAAATCGTCACACATGCCCACAATAATTACTTGATGTTTGAACTGGACGGGTCCGAAGGCCTAGAAACTCAAAGTTTCGCTAGGCATCGATCTCTTTTTGGGTGGATATAACCCATGTGTGTTAACCACTAAGCCAAAATAATTGACGGTTGAAATTATTACTTACAAAAAAGTATGAACAAGAACGTTAAGGCAGGCCTTTTTAATAGGTTTAATGTTTCCAAACACATTTTTTAATGTAAATAATATACATTCCTTTGCAATAAAAAACATAATTAAATTATATGATTCCTAGTGCTATAGCTAAAAAAAACAATGTTCCTATTTAATGATTACGACTTTTATATTGACTAATCGAACATTGTGTGGTCTTTCTATTATATTAAAGCTCTCGCGAATTGCCCAAGTCTACCACAAATACAATGAATACAATGATTTCAACAATACAATTCACTTCTTTCAATTCGAACATTTGTAAGACGATTACAATAAACGAAAATTCAAATTAATATTAACACAACTTATAACGGAATACGACGCTTGTTTAAATTTGTCTTTTAATGCTAAAGAATATTAAATTTTCTACAGAAAGTTGCCAACATTTTGTTTAAATAAAATATCCTTACCTGGTCAAATCCGGCTGTGACCTTGACAAACTGAGCTTCTCCTTGCTCAGTTTAGCCTTCGCTTTGCCTTTGATTCGTTCCTCCCTTGACTTGGAGGGCGCTCGGGGGGCATGCGGTGAGGCGGGAGGGGTCGTATTTCGGGGAGTAGGTGACTGAGCTACCTCTTTAGCTAGGTGCTTCAATACAGATGATTGGTTCAAGAAATCATCCGGGATTTCTGTTATTTCCTAGAATAGATGTCAACAATTTAATATAAAGAATAGCTGTTTTTTATGGGTCATTGGAAAACCCAGGAATAGTAGACGAAATTTTGGTTTACATAAGTAACTACTGTGAAAGCGTATATCTGTTATAAAAGTTTTGCTTATGCAGTGAGCACATTGAAATAAAGTACTGGCTGCACCACCACGGAAACCAAGTCGTATTAGTTCATCATTCACACAAGTGAGCACTCTTTCAAGAAATCTGCTATCCATTTGCAAAGACCATCGGGTAACCCATATCATCAGAGCTTGTCTAAGAGGCTTGCGTGCCAAACTTTATCGAAGGCCTTCGAAATGTCAAGGGATACAGCAAGTGCTTAATCATGGCATTCCATGGGCCTCCCCTTGTATTAAAAGGTAATCTGTAGATCGATTACGACGAAATCCATATTGGCGATCGCTAAACAGATTTCTTCCAAATATCCAAGAAGGCGACTATTCATTAAACGTTCCATAATAATGCAGAGAACAGAGGTCATCTAAATCGGTTGATAGTAGGGTCGGCACAGCTAAGGTAGCAGTTGGGCACAGGCTGCACGTTAGAAAGCAAATGAAAAATATGAACTGAATATTTTCAGTATAGGAGACAGCTCATGTGCACAAAACTTAAGTACTAAAGCCAAATTCCATCAGGCCCACCATCTTTGTTCATGTACAAATTGCATATGGTTTTTTTAGGAAAATCAGTTTGTCTCATTTTTACTTCTGACATCTATGAGCCATACTTCTGACATCTATGAGCCACAATGTTGAAGTATGGGGGGCATTATTTTTTTATTATGAAATATATTATAGGTATTAACTTGAAACACATCTATGGAAAACTGTCTAAATACAATATGCAGATATACATTAAAAACACACTTTTGTAGAGCTGAACAGATGCATGTCATATGCATAATATTATGACTAAATCTAATATATAAAATTCTCGTGTCACAGTTTTCGTTGCCATACTCCTCCGAAACGGCTCAACCGATTCTCATGAAATTTTGTGTGCATATTGGGTATGTCTGAGAATCGGACAACATCTATTTTTCATCCCCCTAAATGTTAAGGGTAGTCCACCCCCAATTTTTATTTTTTATTTTTAGATATTTTTATTTTTTTATGATACAGCATTAAAAAATACATACAAACCCCTAACTTTCACCCCTCTACGATCAACCCCTATTTTTTTATTATAAATGATATATATGGCAAAACGACGTTTTCCCGGTCAGCTAGTATAATATAAGAATCAAATTACCTGAACACCATGGTCAGGGGGACTTGTGTATATCCGTTGACCACCAATATCTATATAATTAGCACTAGCTGTCACTTCTTGCTGTTTATGTATCTTAGGTAATGGTATCCCACTTGGCTTCTTAATCTCTGATTTCTTCAATGTATGGTATGGGGATGACTGTGTGTTTGAATGTTTCACTTCACTTGTGGTTCGTTCATGTTCTCTAAAATTACAAAATATATAAACACTCTAATAGTGCATCTTTTTAAAACTCACTTAGCTGCTGTTTTTTTTTGCCTTACCGTATTGGTGTGGGTCGAGACGACCAAGAATCATCTTGATTGTGAATAATAAGTGTGTTGTAAGAGGAAGAGGACACATCCAGTGAACTTCTGTTGCTATTACCACCACCTACTGAATCCTTTAGTGAGTTACGATTACTTCCTGTGACACTGTCCTATTGAACATATATAAATGATATAAGTATTATTAAGGATTATTGTTTACAACAACATATACTTCTTGCCTTATTAAATAAATATACATATTTGCATATCTATTAATCACTTGGTACATTTAAGAAATAAAAATTACCATTAATTGAAAAAATAATAATAATATATCACCTTGAGTGAGTTCCTATTGTTGTTATTTTGACTCTGATTTTCCTGTCCCTGGGGTTCCACTCTCGCTGTATGTCTTACCACATATCTCTCTTCTCTTGATAAGTTTTCATTAGATGTCGACACATCTGTCTCACTGCCTGATAGACTTTGAGTAAAACTACTCGGAACTGAAAACAATACTATGTCATTTTGAATTCACAACTGATGGTAAGAGACACTCAACAAAAAATAAAAATTATAGGAAAAAACAGAATTTGATAGATGTAAACAGTTTATATTAAAGAATAAATTAATCAGATCACCATATTTAAGTGTAACAAGGGCATTGGACTTATGATTCATTAGAAAGTCATTTTGTTGCTACCAATTATTTTAATATCTAAAATAATAAAGGGTTATTTACCTGGCTGTTTCTGTGTTCTTTGTATGTTATTTGCAAACGACATAAATCGTCCTGATGGTCGCATGGAACCCATGTTGCTTCTTTAGAGACACTTTTATTTTTACTGTATTAACTATATCATCCTACAATTACTGAAGTTTTTAAATTATCAACACGACACTTTACTTATTCTTTTTTAGGAGAAATTTTAATAATCAGGCTTACTATGAACTAATAACATAATTTCTGATGAGTACGCCATATACGGGGTATTACAAATTCTCTTTAGTGTACCATGCACCTTAATGTTATTTTTCACTTCAATATGTATTGCTATTGCAACTGTCTTATTTGTTTCGTCACGAACAAAATTCTGCTACTTGCTTCTGAAATTATAAGAGCCACTCGATTAACTAATTAAATACTTATAACATGACAAAAGAACTAAATAAAAGATTAAAGAAATTACAATTCCTCAATCTGATTATTGCTCAAGAAGCTCCACTTTGAAGTTTGAAGTTATTTACGTTTTGTCAAATTGACGTTGATGGTACGCAATTATAGTAGTGGAACATTTTACACAGTGGACAACAATGACACACTTGACACTTCTCACTGTTGCATGCATAAAGATCTCTAACGTCGTAAGTATTATAATATGTCTGTGGAGGTAGTTATATTTGCTATCTTACGCTACTTTATAATTAATCACCATCTAACATTAAACTACGTCTAAACCTAAAAAACCTACCTAAAAAGATTATTATTAAAATGTTTTATTGCATCTCATATGGAGCGAGGTGTAATGGTTGGAGTTTTTAACAAGGCCTTGTGTAATAAAATAGTTGCGGAATATTTATAGAAAATTCTTCTCGACCATTCTACGTTATTTTTTTACTTTTTATGGATTTGTAAAAGTTATCTATTATTAAATATTTTCTGACATTGATATTACATTGGATTATAACACTTTTATATTATTGAATGTAAAAGAAGGCACGTAAATAAAATACTTACACCTAGAATCTGTTGAAACTATCGATCTTATAGAAAACCGCTGTGGGATCGAAGTTGTGCTAAATTACCTTTTTTTCTTATATTGAAAACACTGTTAGGTTATTAAAATTCGACAGTAATCATGTTTATACTATTTATTTATTTACAAAAGCTAGCCAACGCTCGGCACACTGATACATTGGTACTTACACAAAAAAATACAAAATTTTATGTAACAATCACTTACAGGCAAATATAACAAACACGAAGAGCATCAAAAATATATCGATATAACTAAAGGAAAAATTGATTTCAAAGTGTGAGCGGAGCAACTATGGATATCCAGACGTTCATGCTCAATGGGAATGAATGGGATCTAGAGGGTACACGAGATATAAATTTAGTTAAAAGTTTGGAGCAATCAACCTGATTCTTAAATATCTTAAACGCAAAGGATATATCAATTAATTTTCTACGATTCTCTAATAAAAACATCTTACAGTAATATAGCCTGGATTCATATGTTGGCAACTCTTTTTTTCGAGATCCCACTGGAGAAAAAAAGTTGCTACGCTTGAATCGCAACATATGCGTTGCATAATGTGGCCTCCATATAACTGTACCTTATTTTACTATGCTGCGCTAGAGACTGTTGTAAGCAGTAGCGTAGCTACCAAGGGGCTAGGCGGGGCAGTGCCCCGGGGCCCTCAAGCTCAGGGGGCCCTCGAATCCTCACCAGAAATCTCGATCGTTCTGCACTTTTGGAAATTTCTCCCATTTTCTAAATAAATATGACAGGTTGCAACCCCACTTTAATCAAGACATTAATTTGAGAGAAATTCAAAAGTTATGCCTAGGGAATTCCCCTAAATTCTTTCTGTAGGTTGGCAGTGTTGCCAATCTGACGGATAGTGATATTATGTGCATTTTATTGTGAGTTCGAGTTAAGATTTTTTTTTGAGAACGGTTAAAAAATTCATGCTGTATCAGGAGTAAGTAAGCTAAAGTCAATAAACTTTTTTGTACTGGCCAATATAGTGATTCAATTTTATTTGATTTTACCACTCATATTGATGTCCGGTAAAGTTAATAAATCGTGTCAAATCTAAAGATTTTGGCACTTTTAACACGATTATTCCACGTTCTTGGGGATTAAAACGGTCCATGTTTATTTTCAGTGTATTTTATTTTTCATTTGTTCACTACACAATTTTCAACAACAAAATGAAATGAATTGTCATATAATAAAAATAAACAAATTTTCTCTAGTGCCAGTACTTATGCGCCACCCAGTATAACGCGAATTAGATAGCAATTGAAAACAAAACCGCATCAAGCCTGGATTTAAACGAAGTCTCGAAGTCGAATACTTTTGCGAAAACTAAAGCTAGGAAAAAACTGTAAATCTAATTGTTATTTAGTCAGTTGGTAGGCCCGACCTTTATATAATAGACCCTTGAATCTTCTGTATTTCATTTTATTCGCCAAACCTACATCAAGTATTAATTGTAATTTATGTTGTTACTATTTAATACTTTTATTACCTGCCCTGCACAAATAAGAGCTTACGTATCTTAGCATTTTTAAATTATTTGTATATTTCATATTTTAATTTGATAAAACCTAATCAGTTTACATAGCAGTGGGGCCCCATTTTTTTATTTGCCCCAGGGCCCTTGGTCACCTAGCTACGCCACTGGTTGTAAGTATATATAATAAGTGTTATTATTTAATTTTATTGTTTTTAGTTGTAGCTAGATGTTGATGTAGAGAACTTAGAAGTATTATATTATATTCAAAAGTATTAGGGAGAAACGTGATTGAAATCTTTGCTAAAGTCTGTGTAAAACTTGGAGACCACAATCGAATGCATAACTTATGAATTATATATACATATATATATATATATATATATTCATGTTATTTTGTAATAATGCTATTACCTGCTTAAAGTGATTATAGAGATATGCACATACTAGAGACTCAAATATTTAAGCAAGAGAGAACATAATAGAAATAGGTCTATAAATAGGTACCACTTTTCCCTTTTTCATTCATCTGGAAAAACTCCTGAGGAAAAAGATTTGTTGTATTATATTGTGAGAAGAGGTTATAACAAAAATATATCTATTTACATGGTATAGTGACTACTCTAGACAACGGCAATAATTTTATGTAACGATTCTATGTTTTAAGACCTAAATCTAAACTTTAGGTATAATATACGTTAGATTTCGGTAATTCTCTGTTTTATTTAGTCTTTTGTATTGGTTAAATGTATTTAAAACCGTAGGGAAGATTTAAGAAAACAAATGGAACGTTGGAATAAGAATAACATGTGAAATTAAATGAAGGAAAATAAGTGAAATTTAGTGACCGAAAATAAGACTTGGCTTAAAGGCCTCGTTACCAGGACATAAAATTATTTAAAACAAATGTATTTAAAAAAAAAATCATATGCAGTAATTTCATCTGTCATGTGTGTTTAATGTTTATTAGTGCTTACTTATTACTGCTTAGTGCTTAGAATTTATTAATATATTATACTCGTAGTAGTAACTAGTAGCCTAGTAGGTGAAGTGTGAACTTGGATTTAGACGTCAATTAAATTTTCAATTTTTATTCAAATTACTAGTAAATTTATATTTTACGCATTTTTAGTAGTTTCAAGTCTTTCAACTGTCAAAATCATATTAATTACAATATGATCGGTCGTATTTTATATCGCCGCGCATTGGCGACATCTTATCAAGTTTTGAAATTATTATCAAATCAAAGTTTGATTCCATCAACCAGAAATGGATCATTGCAATGTACGTAAACACTAAACAGTAGAATCTTGTTTTTGTTGGTTTTTAATTATAGCGCAAGCTTGCTGAATATACAAATTTACTGAGCATGCCCTGTGCTGCTCACAAAAATTGTTTTATTTTTTCTAAAATTATAATTAAGTAATATTTTTTCAGCGTTTAACTATCCAAGTTTAAAAAATTCACTAGTTCGTACCTATTCAGAACAAGTTAAAGTGGAAGATGTTGCAGTTGACTTTGACTATGTTAAGAAAGCAATAAATAATCGCAATATCCTAATAATTGATGTCCGGGAACCCAATGAAGTTACGGAACATGGAAAAATTCCAAATAGTATGTTATCCGCAAATTAGTTAAATGTATTTTGCTTTATATCGTACCAGTATATCTACCTACATATATTAAGTTACAACGATAAGTGATAACCTATTAATATGGAATATAGTGTAATGGTAACAATATTAATAAAATTAAACTTATAAACTTTCCTCGGAAGTAGGTTGTCAACAGGGTGATCCCCTTGGGCCTGCAATTTTTAGTTTGGCTATAAATCCCATAATCAAAAATTTAAATTCTAATTTCAATGTTTGGTATTTGGACGACGGAACCCTAGGAGGTGATGTGGATACTGTGTTTTCGGACCTTCTTTTAATCAAAAATAAATTTGAAGCCATTGGTTTGGAGCTTAATTTTAACAAATGCGAACTTTTCATAAATAACTGCGACTTAAATTTAAATGATGTAAAAAAAAATTTCAAATTTTGGCTCCAAATATTAAAATAGTTAACAGGAATTCCCTTTACCTTTTAGGTTCTCCAATTTTTAATGAATCTATTTCTGATTATATTCATACTTCAATTACTAAATTTCAAAATTCTGCTGACCGTCTCCTTGAAATTAGTCCACATTATGCACTTTGCATCTTAAAATTCTGTCTTTTCCTCCCAAAATTTACGTATGTGCTCCGTTGCTGCTCCTTTTGGAATCACCCAGATATTTTAACACCATTAGACGACTTAATCAAAATTAGCTTAGAATCACTTCTTAATATGCAGCTGAACGAGAAATCTTGGACCCAAGCTTCCCTACCCATCCGTTATGGTGGTTTAGGGATTCGCAAAATTTCCAGTGTCGCTTTACCAGCCTTTCTATCTTCTGTCCATAGTTCAGCAAATCTCATAAGTAAAATTTTAAGGGCATCCCCTTCAAACTTTGAGATTGCTGGCTTGGAAGAAGCTAGAAACGCTTTCTTGATTGCATGCCCAGGTCAAAATTTTCCATTATCTCTAAATTCACAGAGGAGCTGGGATGACATACACTGCAAGTTGACTTTTGACGATCTTTTGAGTCGTAGTACGGGTTCGGCGCGTGCTAGGCTTTTGGCCGTGGGCACGCATGAGGCCGGCTACTGGCTTCACGCTTACCCATCGTCAAATACAGGAACTTTTCTTGAGCCTGACACGCTTCGAATCGCAACCTGTCTACGGCTTGGGGTTCCGGTCTGCGCTCCTCATATATGTCCCTGTGGCAGTGATGTCGACAAGTTAGGACATCACGGCCTGTCATGCCAAAAAAGTGCAGGCCGCTTCTCGAGACATGCCGCACTTAACGATATCATACGCCGTTCCCTTGCCACCGTCAACGTGCCAAGTCTTCTTGAGCCAAGTGGTATTGCAAGAGACGATGGCAAGAGACCGGACGGTATGAGTTTGATTCCATGGAAGATGGGTCGGGTACTGGTATGGGATGCAACCTGTTCAGACACGCTGGCCCCTTCCCATCTACATGGAACCAACTACAGAGCTGGTGCGGCTTGTGAAGCGGCTGAAAAAAATAAAGCAGGCAAATACAGGGGTCTGGGCTCTGAATATGATTTTGTCCCATTCGGTGTCGAGACCCTTGGTCCGTGGGGTCCTAGCGCTTTAAGGCTTTTTAAAGAAATTTCAAAAAGGTTAGTCGACATCACAGGAGACCGAAGATCTGGCAGCTACCTCGGACAAAGAATTAGTCTAGCAATTCAAAGGGGGAACGCTGCCAGTATCTTCGGAACCTTGCCTAAAGGGACTCCTTTTAATGATATATTTTAGTTTATGTTAAGTTTCGTTATTTATTTCAATGTATATTATTTTATTATTATTAGTTTATGTTTAAATAGTATTAATATACCATGTAAGTTCTTATAGAATGCTAAAAATTACTGTATAGTCAAGTTATGTAAATTTTTCACATTATCACATTTATTTGTAAAATAGTTATTGAAATTATTAGTTTTTACTTTATGAAAAACCTAATTCACTCCTATTTATAGACAATCAGCATTCTGTAATAAATAATTGAGTAAACTAATAAAAAAAATAGCTAAACACACTATTTCAACTTTATAATGCATAGTAAAAATAAAATTTATATTCATTACATGTATACAAAAAATGTTGACTTTACTGGTTCCAGAGGCCCATGATAACTATTTACAGAAATTTATGATAAGAGGAATGTGATAAAATATGTATTATTTCAGTGGGCAATGTAACATCTGTACTTAGTACTATGCCAGAAAATGAATTTGCTAAACAATATAATAAACCGAAACCCTCAGATGATAGTGAAATAATTTTTTATTGTATGATTGGCAAAAGATCGGGTATGGCTCAGCAGAATGCTCTCAACCTTGGTTACAAAAAGTCAGTATATCTATAACATTGGTATTAATTGATAAGGCGTTATCATTAAATATTTAATGTTGTCTTTCAGTGCTAAGAATTATCTTGGAAGTTATACAGATTGGGCAAGTAAAACACAGTGAAATTGGACATGTCACTAAATGTAAAATAGTTTCGAAGAATTGGTGGTATTGAATTTGGATTTTGAATATAATTCGAAAATTCTTGACCTGCTTCTTTAGTACCTACTTGTACTATCTAGTCTATTATTAACAATGTTGGGAATTAATTATACTATATTTAATATAACATCTAATGTATAATAAAAGTAAATGCATAAATATATTGTTTTATTTATATTAATTCTTAAAACCTTAACTGCTAAATCCTATAATGTATATCTTTGCATTAATTAATGGGTGGACCAGTCATCATAGCTCCCAATGTACACTTTAGACCTGAAATAAAGTTTATATCAAGAAACAAAGAATTTATTATATATTTCCTTGAACTGACACCACGCAAATAACATTATGCACTTATGCATAATTTTTTGTTATTTTACTAAAGTATATGTACTTTTTAACTTCAAGTAAACATATTAAATATCCTAACATCATATTGACCTGCAGCAAAAGTTTAACTATTGAGTTGCAGAAGTGTGCAGCCACTACTTAAGTGTAGGAATTAATAAAACTATTTCTTTATAGAAAGATACCAAATTCTAAGATACATACTTTGAATACCCAAGTTCTAATGCATGCTCCAAAGCCACTGTCGCTCGCTTTCCTGATTTACAGTAGAATATTATCTCCGCTGATTCTAAAGGTTTCTCGTTTAGGTAAGTTTTCTTGAACACTTCCTCTGTCATTGAAAGAGCTTCACGTATAACTCCCACTGAAAAATGTATATGAAAATTCACTTATTGTCGCTTTTTGCTGTCGCATGCAACTAAAATTATTTAAAAACCTTATTCGTTTTGACTAATACATAACGCCTATATTAAAGCAATGAGCAATTACTAAATGGTTTAGAATTTAGATTGATCGGTCAATTTAACATACCTTTATAGGATAGTTTACAGAAACAAAAATACTGGAGGTAGATCGTTTCTAATAAAATAGTAAATCTAACCAAACACTATTAAAGTAAAATGTGTTGGCCCTAACAAAAATCAAGTACCTACCTCTTACTTTATTTGTAACGTGGCTATTACCGATTTATTAATTGGTTAACTCTAATAACATATAGTGTATTTATTAAGTTTTTAAAAGTAATTTTTGGCGCGTGTTGAAATACAAATTGTGACGTGTCTATCGGAGATTGACAATTCTACCCGTGGGTAAAATTATTCAAATATTTGCAATGCAGTACTTGTGTAATAAAGAAATTATATTAGTAGTTACAAACATTTACCTCTCTGATTAGAATTTAATTTTTCATTATAATACAAGCGTCTTTCAGCACGGAACAATTAGTGTTTTGCTAAGATTCAAATGCAGGACGTCTTGTTTTTACATAACTAAGGAACTGGCCTATTGAGCTACACGTTAACACACTAAGTATCTTTAATTGTAAAAATTAAACATATATGTTATTTAATACAGAATCTCACGAAAAATTGCGCTATTCAGATTTACATACCTGGTATATTTTTACTGGTCGGAATGTTCCCTTCTTTAAATTCATCTGGATTACGTACATCGATGATCACTTTTGTAGGCTCATGAATGTACTTAAGCATATCGTAAAACTTAACAACTCTTGCTGGGTCGGCCATTTTAGAATATTTACGAATAATTGTGCGCAAGATACTCATTTAATACATCACACGAAATAGGCGATATATCGTGGATTGACTAAAATTATCGTCCCTTGAAAGTTGCTAAGTAACGAGTGTAAAACTTATCGAATATATTTATCATGATTGCTCTGATAAATTTTCGTGTTCGAATACGTAAATACACACCACGGTAGCAACACGTTAGAATCTTTAATCCCAAGATGTTACTGAAGTCGTTTCGAAGCAGTTACATAAAGGGTGATTGCAAATAAAACAAATTAGGGGGTAGAATGAAACAACCCCAAAATGACACAATATTGTTTTATGTTCTGGTAAACAGGTAAGATAGGAGATATACGTATAGATTAGAATGGCCAAATAGTTAGCAATCTACTAAATATTATCAGTAACTCATTGTAAGTAATATACAACAATAGTCAATTTATAAACACTGCTATTAGTTCAGAAGTTAGGCAAAGGCTACTCCCAAGCCAGCCTCGCCAGTTCTTCTTGCCCCTTCTACGCCCTTGATTTGCAAACTGGTAAGTAGTAGTAGTAAATATAAATTTTGAATTTATTTAACTTCTTTTCTGACGTTCATAAGTGTATTTATTTACCTACACGAATAAAGTTATTTTGAACGAGTTAGTTAAATAAATAATAATAATATAGAACGTATTAAAATATAACTCATTTTCAGCTAAACCTAAAGCTCTTGTTCAATTTTATTAAAGGCTCTTTAGTCATAAAGAATTGTGACCTTCATTCATTTTGCGAGTCATGTTTTGATGAGGTAGTATTTGGTTATGTAGGCTTAAGGTCATTTTTTGTTGAGAAACCCGGTCTTAGGTACATACTTATAGTAGATAGAATGTTCACGAGGCTACAGTTGCGTGAATAGGTAAATTAAAAGGTAGGATAAGGGGCAAATTTCATAGCATTCCATCTCCCCTATTAAAATAAAATAAAAAATATGTTTATTATGGAATATAAGATACAGGTATCACTTATTCCACGTCATTAAATTCTATAGATAGACATCCCTACTCATCGGAAAGAAGACAGAGGGTGTAGGCCGAATGAAATAGTCGGCGTAAAAAACTCTCGGTACCTACTCTTTTAAAATAACAAATCATCATACAGAATGACTACGGCAAACAACACTTATACTTTAAAACATATATCGCAAATTAAGTAGAAGTAGTATTATAAATAGCTTAAGTTATTGGACAGTGTTAGACGCCTGTGTGTGTGACAGGCGTATGTTCCAGCAGAAGCATAAAACACATAATTTTGCGCAAATATTTATTTTAAGCCTTAAAATTATAGCATAACTGTAAAAAGAGTATAGTGGTAATGGATCTCTTCATCGATTGAAGTTGTCGACTCCAGTGATTGTTTACTTCTGTTTGCTTGACCAGTCCTCCCAACTTCCTAAGTATGACTTGGAACTAAAAATAAAACGCATTTATTAAACAAAACAATCAACGAATGGTGAATTTTCCTCTTTTTGCTGTTTAAGAATAATTAAAATCACCATCACAGATAATAGATGAAATCTCATTATTATTTCAGTTACATCTGTATGTAGTATATTCCAATGCTTGTATTTAAAAAGTAGGAATGTACTGGACAATATAGAGATTGTTGGATTTTAATATGATATTAAAAGGACATCTTAATTATTACAAAATTTGGATTGGTATTTACTTTGAAAATCCCAGTTTTAATGCTTTGTCAAGGGCTTCTTGCGAACGTCTTCCGGATTTGCAGTAGAATATTAACTCGTCAGATGCTGATGGCTTTGCTCGTTGGTACTGTTTCAGGAATTCATCGTCAGGCATCGACGCAAGAGTGTCGGATACAGTGTTTACTGAAAAGAAGTACAGAGGACTTGAACTTCTTTTCGAAAAAGTTAAATTACTAATGTATTAATCGAAATTTGATATGGGTTTTTATGTAATGAAACAAAGATATTCCGGCTACTAATGATATATAGAACTTCTTGACCTTCGGGCCAGCCAGTGTTAAAGTCAAAGTCAAGGACTATCGCCCCTCCTGGAGAATATGTTCACCATCTTTCATCCTTAGTAGTTTTTTAAGCAGCTTTATGTGCTTATTTCCATACAAGAATTTCCGAATTGTATCTTTGAGTTTTACTTACAAGGTATATTTATACTGGAAGGAATTTTGCCAGTTGATTCAATTTCATCCGGATTGCGCACATCAATAATCACTTTCTCGGGTTCGTGAATGACTTTCAACATGTCCTCATAATTCACAAATCTCACCGGGTCGACCATTGTGCTGAAATGACGTAAGAATAGTAAATCATAATAGTTTTGAAACAATGCAAGTGTGGTTTACACTGTGCAACAAAGTGTATCTGTGGATTTTTTTCAGGAATTTTATGCTAAACATATTCTATTTTAATTCGAGATTTGATCACAGCCTCCTACCACAGTTCTTAATATATTTACTATAAAATTCAAATTATATCTATAATTATAACTATATTTCTTAAGTATACCTAATATTGTATGATGAAGTTATTTAAATATAAAAAGTTCAATCTTTTATATCTCTATAATTTATAATTATTTAATTTACTTAAAAAACTTAGGACTTAAAAATTAGGTGAATTGGAACAATTTATTACAAACAACTTGAATTAAATTTAAAAATGGGAAATTCCTATATTACGTTTATTACTTCGTATAGGATCCCTAAAAGACTAATTTTATATACTTATTTCATAAATAGCGGTTGGCTACTAATGCTATGAAATGTACCTGACGCGGTAGACCGGTTTTGACATAATAAATGTGTTCCCAAACCGTCGTATAATTTCTACATACTCACCTATTGCTATTTGAATTACCCATTAACTTAAAATTATCACAACCGATGCAAAACGTTATCCTAACTATTGGCTTGGAAATAAAACTTCGTATACCTGGCAAATTGATAGAACTATAGGTACTATTGTCTATTGTTTAACACTTCAGTATTTTATTTGCTAACGTAAACTGTAAATAAACTGTTTATATACTCGAGCAACATGTGATGATTATATCTGTTCACGTGATATAACTGAGATATACCTGTCATCGATCTTTGAGCAGACCAAATGGTGGGGAGATAGATTTGCCAGGCACATTATACCAATAGCAAAAACGGCATTTATAAGCGCACTCTCCATGACCACAACACAATTAAACGATATGCAAGTACAATGCCCGCACAAATGCAATTTATATCGACTACAATTCAGTTGAGTTATACTACTGACCTGAGTTGCGAGTATCGATCTGAGCACCCAAAGTCGTATTTGATTTAAAATTTGCGTATTGTCTAACAAAAAACTTATTATGATTTGGCAAACAAAATTGTAGTGGAAATCGCCGAACCGGTTTGAAGCTCACCGCAAAACCCGGAGTAGCGAGTTTTTATGAATACAGAGCTGACTTAACAGTGGCGTCACCTGATGGTAAATTACCACCGCGTCCTCCAAAATCTTTAATATAGCGCGCGTCGGCCAGTAATTACTGAATCAATAAAATAGTGTCCACAGCGATGGCGACAGCTGTATTAAATGAAAAATATTATTTGAAGCTTTGATTATCGCTCTTTTGAAGAACTCATAATTGAAATGTGTTAGGGCGATATTTCGCACTGACTGTACAATGTAGGCAATGGCTAGTAGTTGTTTGATGTTTCCATTATAAATCTGTTCATAACTGTTATCTGATATCAGTGTTTATTAGTTCAATGCATACACTACTACTGACTGACTGATTGACTACAACTACAAGATTAAATAACTTAAATTGATAGATATATCAGCACGTAATTTGGGCAGATATTGCATGGTGGGATTAGTACGCGCTTTTATTACTAGGAAAATATTTTAATATAATTCTGCGCATTAGACAATTTTCTGACGGAAATTATATTTGTGTACATATTTTAGATATTTGAAGACACTGATATGGTACGAGTAGGCTATATGTATATATACATATGTGAGTGAGTAAAGTTAGGTGGCGGTTGTTGTGGATATGTTCAGATTACAGATATATGTTAAATGAAACATTTTGTTTGAAGCTAACTGGCTTTAATGGTTTAAAATGAGCTTATGACGCTAAGGGTTCATAAATCTAAGTAACACTTATGTTATGGGACATTATCGGAAACGAGAATGTTAAATTACAATTTATGAAGGTGGTACAAACGGAAGGGCTCATTTTGGCTTTAAGTGTGCGATGATTGCTTACATTTTGTTTACGCTTCTAAATATTAACTAAAATATATATATATATATATATATATGTAACTTAACTAATATTAGGTTACATAAATCGTGTGAGACACAAATTGTTAGTGCAAACTCTAATGTCATAAATATACAAGTACTTATATTAGTAAGACTGATTAAATAATTTCCTATCAATTATCACTATTAGTAGTAAATCTATAATCGTAAGGTTTCCTTATCATTCATGTTTTCAACATTTTCGTCAAGGGTTTTTCTACATTTTTGTCTATGATTTGGTCAATATTATATAAATTACAGATGAGTATCTTATCAAAAGTTATCGCTATGACTGAAATTTGACAACAGACAAGAAGACTTTTATTGATTCATCGTGATATTGATTACTTTATCAGTTCAAATTTTAAATTTTATTACCACCCAGAATGTTTTATACCTATTAATACCAATACATATATGATAATTTCTAAATAATCTAAATATAGGTAAAATATCGAATTATGCCTTCATATTGAAATAGAACCTATTAAGAAAAGTTAAGTTCACATAATTTCATTTAGCCACACACTTTTGGCGCTACGGAGTCCGGAGTCGATTAAATAAAATTTTAGTTTGAAAGGCATAAAAGAAATAAAATATATCTCTCTCTCACTAACAAGAACGGGAAATACCTTTAATTAATTTTATTTAACACATGCCAAGATAACACCTGCCCTCTTATCTACTTAGTCCCTACCAGCACTTTCTACATTTAGACAAAAAGAAATATGATTTAATTTAAATCTAAACGCATACATAACGAAAACATATGTTTTATTAGATTTCTTAAAAGATTAATTTAAAAGTAGCAAAAAAATATAAATGAATTCTTAGAAAATCGTGTAATAATAGTTTTTTGCACTCTTGCACGTTTGCTAAATTTGAAGGTCGGTAGCAAGAGCAATCATTTTATCTCGACGTTATTTTAAAATGCTGATGATTTCTATTATCAATATACAGGTCACCTTCAATATCGACTAAGGTTTCCGGTACAAAAAAAAACTTATAAAAAAAATGTCAAGTAAAATGTGACATTGAAAGTCTTTGTTGTATTAATGTGTTTTTTTTATTTTTGATACTAATAGGCTACTAGTGGGTTTTGATGTAATAAGAAATTGTCACTCATGAGGAGGTAAGAGACGTGTATTAACGTGTTTGGGTATAAATTAGCGTCAGTGGTTGCAGGCTTATGTCTGATTCGACCCGCTCCGGGCTCTGCTACTGATTACTCAATCGATCGATGTTAATAAAATAAAAAAAGGGTGCGTGTACTTATGTATTCGCGTAAGAAGTTATACTTCTTTCATCTTTGGCATTATTAAAAATAGTTTTTGATTGCATGCAAATAATTAATTACAATTAAATAATCAAAGGCTGGAAAAGGAGTCATTAAGTTCAGTTTACATTTGAAAAATTAAATAAATAAATATTTATTATTATTCTCTTACAGTAAGTGTAACATAAATTATATTATTATTCGAATGTTGTTTTTAAATTATGTCCAATGCCGTGCAATAGCATCTTTCGTGGGCAACTTCATTCTGTTAATTTTGTGTCACGGTGCGCGCGCATCGTAAAATTTCATAACTTTCATTCTTATAAATTTTTCATAACGCGCCTAAAGAAGTATAACTTCAATAAAAAAGCCTTTTTATTTCTTGCAAAAGAACAAAATAAACTTAATACTTACTATTATTTACATATATTTTTCAGAAAATAAATTACACTAATTTTTTTTCCTATTTTTATATTTATTTCCCAATTATTTTGTAAGAACCCTTCCGCACGTGAAGGCCTCCTTCAAGGAACTCTAGCTATCTCGGTTTTGGGTGTGTTGCATCCAGCTCGAGCCAGCCGTTTTAGCAATGTCGTCCGCCCATCTCGTGAGCGGTCTTCCTCTGTTTTGTTTCCCAATAGGACCTCCCCACCGGGTCACCCTTATGGTCCATCGATCGTCAGATAGCCTTGTTACATCGATCGATCGATGTTATATATAACCAAATACATACTGTTACATTAAGTATGTGGCGCCTACAATCTACAGCTACGATCACTACGATAACGTCATACTTTGAAATGCCCTTATTCCGACCATTATTTTATTTTATTTTTAATTTACAATAGGTGGTTAACATCTAATATTACAGGAATGTGTTTCAACACACCAAAGAGCTGCGGGAAAATTAACTTAAGTTAGTTTTTAGTGAATAATTTTTATCTATCACTCGGTCCTCGGATCCCATGCACCTCAGGAGGAGAGACACTAAACAATGCTGTGTCATAAGACTTAGTTACTTGTGAGCCTTTTGCCTATAACAAATTGCAACTCGACTCAATTTATGTTTGAAGCACTTTGTTGTTTTGTGAATTTGTTTCGTTTGACAAATAACTGAAAGGCCGGGAGATAGAGACACAAAATAGTGGGTCATTACTCATTTGTACCACGTACAAATGGTTGAATTTTTTTTAAACGCCGTCGGAATGGCGCGGGCGGGCTGTAAGTCACACCGAAAAAGTATGGCTTGACACTGCCGCCTGCTATTTTTTTATGGACTATCGGAAAATACTAGAAATTTTGTGGAACAAATGAACGTTTGACTTTCGTAATTAATCCGACGAGTTCGACTCACGCCCACGCGATTGGGCCGCCAGTATCAGCGCTCTGAGCATCATTTTTCTTTTTTTGCGTAATAAGACCCCTGATGAACCGCCATACTGGTACAAATGATCCACTATTTTGTGTCACCATCTCCCGGCCTATGAGGACAATGCGAAGACAGAACAATAGTCGAGGAAATGAATGTCATGCTGTAAAATAAATTCGTTAAAACCTTCTCACGCAACGTCAGAAACAATTGCATATTTCTAATTATCGATCTATGGATCGGTAATTGAAAAGTAGTTTATTGAATATAGAAAGTGGCCGAAAGACAAGAATTGTAGATTTCTATTCATCTTGATATTTAACTGAGCCTCGACCTTTTGTTGCCTTAACTAAAATGATGTGTGAAATAAATAATGCTATTATTATTTTGCAGGCGGTTAAGGTTACGGTTAATCACAATTCAGAGATCTCTTCAAAACAACGAAATGCCCAACAGACGAACACCTACATATAACTTAGGAGACTATGTATTCTACGTAAAAATCGTGGGAATTCATTTCGCATTCCCCTACTGACGAATAGCTATAATATTCGTAACATCATAATTCTGTGAAAATTTCGAAATTGAATAGTTTTTCTTTACAAATTCCTTATTTGCTTGTGATATTACAACAGGATACTTAACAGTTTGTATTTAAGTTCTTCATACGAGCTAACTTTTCAATAAACAAAACATTTATTCCACAGGGACATAAAAAAAAGTATGTACACTAAAATATAGCTGTGGGAGATGCGGTCAGCTATTGTTTTATTATCCCAAAAGGTGATGATGAGGCGCCACTTTCCAGCGTCGCCCAAGGTACAAACGTTAGAGAATAAGTTGCAACAAAAATAAATAAAAAATATACTAAAATTTGGGCGCTCAAAACTCATAGGAGAGCCCACATATCACAAAGCCACATTAAATAACATTAGACAATCACTAATAGATAAGTTTAACCCGATTAGCTACTACTGCACAAGTAGGATTATAAAAGAAAACTTCATGTTTAGAAAAACATATAAAATTTATTATAAAAAGTCTCTTATATAATAAATCGTGATGACTTCAATGTACAAACTACTAATAAATTAGTTACGAAAATAAATTGTTTTTGTTAAGATAACTTGTAGTAATTAATTAATTTTATACATGTATGTAAAAAAGTTGACATAATTACTATTTCTTAGTTTCATGATTATTATGCAAATTTAATCATAGCACCTTGTTCAAAAACATAGGCAATTATTGATTTGTGACCAAAACTTTACATATATTATAAACATAAATGCAATAAACTATCACGCCATTTTAATCATTCTTAGCAAGGGACTGTAAATTTTCGTTGTGTTATAGAGTTGTTATATGGCAAGTATATAACAACTCTAAAACACTAGAAAATATCTATGTAATGTATATTGTATGTTCAAGGAAAACCAACCAGTCAAGTTTTTTCAACATAAGGGTGTTAAATCATGATAAACCTTTCATAGAGTTTTCACAGTATTCATTAAAGATACTTTAAAAGATAAATATTAAGTGTCTTTTTTATAGGAAATAATATCTCCATCAGTTATTGGAGACTTTCTCAAAGTACTTTCTTTTTTCTTCTGGGTTTGGTATAATCTGTAAACAAAATAATTTAAAATAAAAATTTGGAACATAACATGTGCATATAATTAACTTATCTCTTTAAAGCTATAATGTGATAAGAGGTATGAAAAAATATTGATAAGGTATTGTTAATAAAATTCTAAAACAGACAATAATTTTAATTATCAAGGTTACAACTAAGGAGTATATTCGTCACTGTATGCTAGAATTTATAATAAAAAAAATCTTCTGAAAATATAGATTTTGTTACTATTGACTGCCCATACTTACAGTGTCTTGGCCTGGTTTCCATCCAGCTGGACAGACTTCACCATGTTTGTCAGTATATTGGAAGGCTTGGACCAACCTCAGGGTTTCATCAACTGATCTGCCAACTGGCAAGTCATTCATAGTTATCTGTCTCAAAACCCCCTTATCATCAATAATGAAGAGACCGCGTAATGTGTGTCCCAAATCTTCCAAATATACACCATACTCTTTAGCTATTGAATGTGTCAGATCACTCACAAGTGGAATATTAATTTTACCAAGTCCACCTTCCTTACGGGGAGTATTAATCCATGCTAAGTGTGTAAAGTGAGAGTCAACAGAACATGCCACTACTTCAGTATTAAGTTTTTTGAACTCTTCAATTCTTTCTGAGAAAGCCAAGATTTCAGTAGGGCATACAAAAGTGCTGGAAAAAAATACAGTTTGGAAAATTTGAAACAACTTTTTGTTTTAATATAAACTATTCTGATTTATAAGCAAAGGTTAATGTGCAAGTATAAAATGTTGTTACTTACAAGTCTAGAGGATAAAAGAAAAATACTAAATATTTCCCTCTGAAGCTTGACAGTTTTAATTGGGTGATTTCTCCATTTACAATAGCTGTTGCTTCCCACTCAGGGGCTGGTTTTGAAACTGAAAAGATATCACTGTTGTATGTGTCATCAAATCATTGTACATGTTTGCCCTACTTCAGATATGTCTGAAGTTACATGTATAATGGTATTTTTATTAAAAACTATCTAATACTTAGGTTTGCCCACTAATCAGAATTACTTAAATTGCCTGGCCTGGATAGCCGATAAGCCATCTATTTGTACAAAGCATCTTGTGTTTAGAATATGAATAAGGGATAGATAACAATCTTACTCATAGCCTTAGTAAATTGTAGTTTGTGATCAATTTTTCTTGCTCCACCGGGAAATACATTGCCGCTTCCAAAAGAATAACAAGAATCGGATTCAAATAAAGTTGAATTACAGTAACTTGTGAAGCATACAAGTAAAACTAGTAGGTATATTGGTTTTATCATTATAAAAATATTTATAAACTTATGATAATATGTTTATATATCGATACTTAAAACAATTTAGAAATATTCAACCAAAAAGATACCAAACCAACAAACAACCGACACGTTAACACAAGTCAACAAGTGGACCCGCGACCGGTTACCTCTCCGGCCTCCGCTAGGCGCCAACTTCAGCCTGTTTTGATGTTTCTCTTTCTTGTCACTGACAGTTATCAGTTGTCAGTTACACTTTTAGCTTATGGTCAAAATCTTTAAGCGATAACCAAAAGTTTATCTTTTTTTCTAATTTCTTCTTTATTTTATCTCCCCAAGTCCCTACTGCTGTATTATAATTTATAATATATACCTAACTAATTTGTGCACATTATGACTTTTATATTGCAGTCTACATGACTTAACATTTGACAATTGACTATTTTCGTACTACCAAGTTCTTTACGGTTATTTCTTCTAAACTAACCGATAATACCGATAATATTATAAATCAAGAGAATAAGTTGGTAATGCTATCGCGAATAATTTAAAAATGATTTAATATTTAACTCTATATTAAATTATGCACACATACAACTTAAGCTCACGAAATGTAATTATCTAATACTCGCGAAGACGTTCTGAGCTAGTCGTGCGTCGACTAGCTTTGAACTAGAGCTGTCGGCGACATCAACGAATTGTGTGCATTGTTCAAAATTTGTTATAAGGTAACCAATATCATAACAAATGAGTCTATCTACTTTATGTTGTATGCATGTACGACGATTATTTTGTGAATGGAAATTACTATTTTATGACGTACAAGTTCTTGTTAAATAAAACGTAATCGTCTTTAGAACAAAATGCACTGTTGGAACAAATGCATTATTAAGGTTTTAGTAAGAAACTGACTGCTGTTTCCGAGGTATTTACGGCTTTTTGCGGCACTTCTCTTTAACTTTAAGTGATACCTAAGGAAATTCTATTTGTTGTTAGCATACATTAATTCACATGAATTTATACCTATAGTTTATTGGTGTTTCTACACCTAGGTTTTTAAGCTACTACCACTATTATCAAATCACTTATTCATTCATATTGGGTTTTTACTAATCACAACTTCTTTATTTGAAAGACCTAAATTATTATGCGTGCATAAGGGATCGGCACCTACACGGACGAATTACATAACGTATTTTCATATAATTTTTCAGTCACATTCACATCGACAATTTCAGTCACAGCGACAAATCGACTGAGAGTTCAAAACATAAAAGATAAGTAGGGCAGGGCAGGGGATGGCCCGTATGGGGTCTTTTGCCTACTATAACGATATTTCCCTTCCTTTTGCACATAAGCGTAACACAAAATGGCAACGTCCCTTGAAAAAATTGTCAACGGGAACTATCCATTATATTTTTACTACATTCAATAAGAATCGAATAAACATTATTGTAATCTAACAGCTTAATAGATTTATATCAAATTTTGCAAATTGTTTAAGATTGTTGAGATGCTACAGATTGTATATTAATAGTTTGATAAGTAAAATAAATGCTGCCATGCCAGTCATTCCAATATCCTTCTAAATAATTAATGTTGGTTGTGGTGCTGTCCACATATCTTTGTCCAAATAACTTTAATTTTCTTTTTTTACCTCTCTATATTTTTTAATAAGGGAGCAACTTGGAAAATGTAATTCTAACTTTTACGGTTTTTAACCGGTAATATCTATTCTCACAAAATATGAGTACAGCACTACTTCCGTTTGCACTTGCTGTCGCAAGCGAGTGTTGTACATAATTTTATTTTCCATTATTTTTATAATGATGAATAAAGAAACATGAAAGCAATGAATTTAAAATCAATTACAAAAGTGTTTTCATAATTTTAGTTCTTTACAAGTCCATCGCAAAGCATTGCGGTGAGTTTTTACAGTGTATCCACTTGTCGATCATTATGGCGGTCATTACATTATTGTTTGGTGTAAAGTTTGAGCTTCGAATACTACTAAACAGTATCGTTATTATTGAATATTTATTTTAGATGGACGTACCGGATGAGGGAGTCTTAGACGTGGATTCTTTAGCCGACGATGGATCTGATGAGGAATGTGAAGCGCAACCGTCTTCAGGTTCGTCCCAAGTAAAATTTTAATGGGACACGATTCCTGTTTTGCTTTTTGTTACTTGTTTCGTTTCTGCTTTAAATAAATTCTGTCAAAATCTTTATTTACATTTTGCATGTTTATATTTTAATTTATTTATTTAGATGGTTTTACGTATTGCGAAATTCTACAGACTTTTATGCAGGCGCAGCATCAACACCGACGTCATGTGCGTCATCTCCAAGAGGTGAAGAGCCGGCCTCACCTCACGGTGCTATATCTCAAACACAATTTTTTCATCAAACATACACTCGCCCTTTTTTCACATCTGGGCGACGGGGCCCTGGCAGGCCACGAAAAGAAGGTGCTAAATTGGCACGGGAAGGAAAAATTGTTAGAAGGTAATATATTTAACAATCATATATGAAAATATTTAATGGAGCAATCAAAATTTTTTTAAACCTCATATGAATCTGAATTGATATAGTGTGTGAGAATTCATATAAAAGGTTGAGTAACAGGAGTGATATTATGACATAAGAAGAGTTGAAGATATAACACTTTCTACCGCAAGCAATTAAGGCTATATCAAAGAAATAATGTGAAGGAGAAACATATTGGATTCTGTTTTTATTGAAACAAGCATTTAAAGTATAGTAGTAGTAACTAAAAAGTATGACTCAGTAAAGTAATTTATCTTTTTATAGATATAGAGGAGTGCCGGGTACAGTTAGAGGTGCAAAAAGGCATCGGACTAGTAGAGATGACGCTTTAGATGACATGGGTGAAGATGACGATTTCACTATGCCAGCTCCTGAAGAGCCTCCATATACACCAGAAAAATGGTAAGTTACACAACATAAATCCAGTCTGGTAATTCTTGTGGAACTTTCATTACAAAAAGTACTACAGAAATGTCTTACAGAAATGTTGTACAAAATATTTATTAAGCTCATTCTGTTTCTATTTAAACTGAATGAGCTAAATAAATATTTTGTAAACTGCCTCTTACATGATTTTAATCCAATTTTAGAATTACTGGGGAAATTTATTTGTGGTTAACACATTTTTATTAGCCCTATTTTCCACTGAATAAATTAATTGCATTACCATTTATGTATGTATTTTGTATTTATTGTATAAAGCAAAAGTTAATTTACAAAGGTCATTTTAAATGTAGAATACTGATTCCTATTTAATTAATGTTTAGGCCGGGCAAAGTTTGTGCTCTATGCAACCTCAGCGAACGGAGCCAACTTGGGCAAGGGGAAATGAGACAGTTACCATGTCATGTTGAAGAAGAAGGCAATATAACGCCAGGAGCAAACTCTGGTGGGGTTACTCCAAGCAGCATTAGTGGTGGAATTACTCCTGGTAGTATTACCCCGACTACACCTACACCTAGTACCCCTACAAACATGCCGGCTGGATTAGCCTCACCGCCGCTTGATATGATGGATGTCAACCTGCAACAAGCTTTACCTTTAAGTAGAAGACAGAAATCCTTTAATAAATGCAAGTAAGTATACAATTAATTTTTGATGTAACTTTAATTCATATCCTAGAAATTCAAAATCATGATTCTTTACATTGAAATTCACTATTTTTCTGTTTTAGTAGAATTTCTACCAAAAAAAGTTGTAATAAATTTAACAATATTTAACCTTTTTCTTAAATTGTCTATTATTTATCTATAACAGGACTCCACTTTACAACATGGAACATACAGATGAGCTATCAATAATTGGTCATCTGGAATCTTTGGAATTGCCATCATTGGTGTCCTTGGGAATGATTTATATACATCGCTGTTGCCTGGAATTCAGCCCGCCTTTTCAAGATGAGGTGGCATCGGGGCCTGATGATGATAAAGAACAACTGGAGGAAGCGAGGGTTAAGGGGCTTGTGACTGCTGCTCTATCGCGAAAATGTGCCTTCTGCCAGAGGCATGGGGCAAGCATACCATGCAAGGTGAGGCTTTAGGTTTAGTAGTAGAAAAGTTTGAGGGATATTTATTTGAAGTAATAATTTAAATTAAAAAAAAAATACACATAGAAAGAAAGTCCATTGATGTGCAGCCGGGGATCGAACCTACGACCTCAGATATGAGAGTCGCACGCTGAAGCCACTAGGCCATCGCTGCTCTTAATAATATAAATTGCTAAATTCTAATATTGTGTAATCTACATTTTATTATTAAATGTATGTAGTAATATATTGGTCTTTTACAGATGAGTTGCAGTAAATATTACCATTTGCCGTGTGTTCTGGCATCAGGAGGATTAATGGATTTTCAAAATAAATCATCATTTTGTAAAGATCACCTTTATCAAGCTCCACTTGTTGGTAAGTTCACTACATTTTATGTATAATACAATTTTGTTAAAGTTTTATTTCCTGGACCACTTAACAATTAACAATTTAGACGGCTTAGTCAATGTCTCCTACAGTATTTAAAATTTCAGTGGTAAGAGTTACATTAATTCTTGTCTAAAAAAAGTTATAACGCAATTTACGATTCTGTAGTTTGTTTAATGCATATGAGGTCCTATATATTCCATAGATTATTATATAATTATATATTCTATAGGCACAGACTACTACTAGCCTACATAAAAATTGGAGCTGGTCTGGTTTTATTGTTTACTTGTATATTTGTTTAATTCAGCTAAATCAAATTCTTAGGCACTGCTGATATCGACTGTCGCACTTGTCGCACGATCGGGGATATGTCGAATCTAATGACGTGTGTGGTTTGTGGTGGACATTATCACGGGACTTGTGTCGGTCTTTCACAATTACCGGGTTAGTATAATTTAATTTCGACTCCAATATGAAAATGAAAGAAAAATGCTGTATCGCTTGTGATGGGTGGATCTCTAGTCCAATCACAATGTGTATAATTTTACCAATAAAGAACGACTTTTGTTGTCTTTTCCAGCTTGTTTTATGGTCTTTTTGTAAAAAGTATTTTTAATAAACTTCGCTTTGACAATACCACTAAGAATAAATCAAAATTTATTTATTAATGGTAACTATATACACTTATGAACATCAAACTGTCCATTTAAATAAGTCAAAGAGCTATACAATACTTAATTACTATTAAACATTCATTCAGTATAAATAAAATGATTTATTATAAACAAAAATATGTTTTACATAAATACTGTTTTATACCTTTTCAACTGTAAAAAGCATTTAATAAGTGAATAAATCTGTTAGGCGTGCGTGCGGGTTGGTCATGTCGCTCCTGCCGCGTGTGCCAAGTGTGTCGGGGCGAAGCCCTAGGTGGGCCGGAGTCTCGTGCCGTGACGTGTGAGCAATGCGATAAGCTCTACCACGCGATATGTTTGCGGCCCGTTATGGCTACTGTACCCAAGTATGGCTGGAAGTGTAAGGTAAGCGATAATTTACAATATTAGACATAATAATAAATCGTTTATTTGCAAAGAAAGTGGTACATTCAAATTTATTAATTATAAAAACCGCACAATTAGCCATATAAAAATAGGCATGCAAATGTCAAATAAATTATCATAATGCCATATAATAAGTTAAATTTATAATTGTTGTCAAAGCTTAAGATGTAAATACTGTTCCATGCTATAAAGGCACCTTGCCTTGTATTGTATTGTATTTTTTAATACACAATAGACAATATTCTATATGAAATAAAAGTAGATTGAACAAATTTGTTCTTATTTAATTAAAAAAAAACTTATAAATATATATTTAAACTTGAGAAAGAAGCAAAAATGAACCATAATAAACTATCCTAATTCAAAATTGATTTAGTTAAAATTTATTCTAAACAAACTTAACAAATTACTAATTAATATCTAATTCTTAGTCTACTTTTAACTTCCATTTCATTCTGATATTGTGACGTAATTATTTTTACATATTAAACGCTTTGTACGTTAGCCCGCACTTTGCTAAACTCATGGTTAAGTTACTGGAAGAATTCGTCCAATAGCTACCCCTTTGCTAATTTTTATATGTATTATACTAATACTCCCTACAGTGCTGTCGGGTGTGTTCCGATTGTGGTTCCCGATCACCCGGGGCTGGTCCTTCGTCCCGATGGCACGCTCACTATACTGTGTGTGACTCGTGCTACCAACAACGGAATAAGGGGTCTTGTTGCCCTCTGTGCCGCCGGGCTTACCGGGCGGCGGCGTATAGAGATATGATACGCTGTGTTGCTTGCAGGCGGTAAGTATTTTTATAATCATTTCTGGACTGTCTAAACTGTATGATTATTCGACTTCAGAAAACCAAGGAGGTTGAGTGACGTGATTTTTTTAAATATTTTTTATGTGACAATAGAAATGGATCTGATAAGTGCCGATTAGTAGTATAAACATATTTTTTTGTTATATTTAAAACTAAATAATGTTTCTTTCATCTCAGTAATATTTATTCAAAAGAATCTCTTGAAAATAATTGAGATTAAAAAATATTTAAGTTATAAAATATAAAAAAGTTATAATTATTTCGTATTCAATTTACTTTACTTTTTATTGGTAGATAAGTTTGCATAAATTGCTTCTTTATTGGTTGGTGCAGATAAATAATAAAATATATTTTTAATAGGTTTGTTCATGGTATGTGCGACCCTGAAGCGGATCCGCAACAATACAGACTGAAAAAGGAACAAAATCCAACGTATGACTACACGTGTCCTCTTTGTAAGACTCAAATGCTAGCTTCGAAGTCTGGATGTAAGTATCCCTTTTTTTTTTAAGTTAACAGGCGCGTCAGTGTACTACTACACTACTCTCTACTATACACTATACTACTCTGTCAAACCATTGCCAATTTCATATGATACACTCTTGTACTAAGTTTAATAGTTATATGACATTTATGTCATTTAATTACGATGAAAGTCTTTCGATATCCGTAGTGCTGATGTACTCGAAATTATACATTAGAGAAACGCATTTGGGTTATGTTATATGGTACGAAAACTTGAATTTACAGGACGGCCTGCAGGTCTGATAGGAACAAGAAAGTCGCTAGAGTTCTCCATATCTTCGGGAATGTGATGAGGGCGTTTTATTTTGTATATTTTAATTTAATTTATAATCTGTGTTTATATTTTTTTTCATGTAGCGTTTGATGACGACAACATGGCTTCGACATCCCAAGATTCGTCCTTTGGCGATGAGAATTCACAAGAACAAGATCCACTCGCCATTGAACCTAAGGTATATTATAAAAAAAATAAAGACTAATACTGAGCTACTAATAGACTACCTAATAGAAAACATATGAGAGTGTTTTCAGGTAGAATATATTTATTTTTTATTTATAATATGGGAATTAAGACCCGCAAATTATATGTTGAAGCACAATTTTTCACAGTTCACAGTTTTTAACAGTTCTATTAAAATTCATCTATAAACTTTTAATACAGCTCATACAACTATTTAAGTATAGGATATTAAATATTATATATAAAAATATAATAAAAAATACTCCATATAATAACACCATTGTCTTTATTTCTTCAGACCGACATTGGGCTCGGCAAAGGAAAACCGTTCTCGGTATCATCGAAAGTGGCGAAGAAGAAAATTGGTGGTTTCAAGCTAAAGGGCGGGTTCCCTCCGGCCGGAAAAATGGGTTTTAAAAAGCGCCAACGTTCTGTTTTGGAGTTTGGTAGGAAACGAGGCTCGAAACCCAAGATGAGGGGAGTTTTCGGTGTCCCCGGACTTGGACTGCAAAGGCCACAGGCTCCGGACAATAAAGCTCCTGAAGACGATCCAGGTACAAATACCATTATATAGTAAACACATAAATTAAATTTAAATATATTGCATTATGTTTGATATTATAAAATTTGTATACCTTGTGTTTTGGAGGTTAATACTTCTTTAGGCGCGTTATGAAAAATTTATGAGAGTGAAATTTTACAATGCGCGGCACCTGTGACACAAAATTAGGGGTGTGATTATAGCGTGCGCGAGCGAGATAGGAATAAGACAATCTCAAGTAAAAGAAATAGAATATCTGAAGTTCGTATGCCAAGAATTTTGAATGAACATAATGACATTTGTCATTTACCTTTTAAACAAATAAAGGAGTTTTAATTATTTTTTCAAAGAAATTTAGCAATGCTTTTTGAATTATAATCAGAAGTGATTTAAATTGAATATTTAAACCAATACTAATTAATATTTGTGAAAAAACTGTGCTCATCAACCTTCCTAAGTGTTCATACAATTGAGGTTAACTATCCGTATGTATTATAATATCGAGTAATGTTTTGATTAAAAAATTAACCACATTGTTTAATCAAAACATGTAATTTTTCTGATTTAATCTAGCAAATATAAGGACGGACCATGATGAATCAGTGTAAGTGCACTAAATTGAATACAAAAAAGAGTTGTCATCTTATCGCTGTGAAACATCAAAAACTGGAGGTGGAACAGCCAAACTATTTTTAATAATGCCAAAGAAGTATAACTTCTTACGCGCGTACATAAGTACACCACCCTTTTTTTTAATTATTCCAATTCACCTTAATTTTAAATGGATAACATTGTTTATGGGGCTTATTTTTATACTGTTGACAGTTAATAAGCGTTTTTATTTATATCCGGCTCGAAGGACCAATTAACCGATTCTATTGTTTCAGGAGTGGAAAACAAGTTAGTTCTTTGTTCGAGTAAAGACAAGTTTGTGCTGACTCAAGATTTATGTGTAATGTGCGGCGCAATTGGAACCGATTCGGAGGGTTGTCTCATTGCGTGTGCACAGTGTGGGCAGTCTTATCACCCTTACTGTGTTAATATCAAGGTAAGATTGATTGGTTATTTATTTATAGATTTATCTAATAATAATTTAATTGATGTTTTTTTTATTATTTACAGTAAATTGTTCAGTTCAAGTCTCATCAAGAGTTTACTTTTTTTTCAGTTTACTAGTTTTTGAGATTTTACGCATTTTGTCAGTTTAGTTATTATATTTTTTATACCCCAGGTATCTCAAGTGATAGTATCGCTCGGCTGGCGTTGCCTGGACTGTACGGTGTGCGAAGGCTGCGGGTCTCGAGCTGATGATGGATTACTTGTGCTCTGCGATGATTGCGATACGGCCTGGCATACCTATTGTGCGCGGCCGCAATTGCCTGAGGTAATTTAGCATGAGACTTAAACGATGAATTTGATATAAGGGAGTACTATTTAGCGTCCACTCTGACTTACCCTTACTGTAGTTAGCTGTTACAAAAAAATTTTTCTATCTGTTATTTTTGACGTGACAACGTTTAATAAATTGATGTACGCCAGCTGAACGCAAGGAAAAGCATGACTTATTGTCCCATTACGCTCATTGTTCCGTTACGCTCATAGTCCCGTTTGCGCTGCATCTATCTCTCTTCCACTGGAAGGCTTAAGTATGCAATCATTTCATCAATGTTTTGTTATTACGTTGTCACGTAAAACTATCGTCCGTAAACTGACTAACAGACAACCATTTTTTTTTCTATATGTTTGATACATAATCTTTTCTAATACACACAGTTTTTAACGAGATTATCAAAAGTATAGAAAATTGTAATACTAAATTTTTCGTCTTTTCTTTTCATCGCAGTTTTATCTTTAAGCGCTGTAAACCACAAACCATACAAATCTTATTGTCCTTATTTTTACTTTTATTATTTTAATTGATTGATAAAAAATATTATATAGGTATTTTTAATTAATTGACGAATAACAGTAGAAGATAATAATTTTAGTATTATTTAATTTGGGTTTATAAGTAGTATTTTTTTTTAATTTTTGACAATATTTAAACAGGTACCACGAGGTGCTTGGCGCTGCGAGCGGTGTCGAAGATGTCTCGTTTGTGGTACAAGAGATACTCAATTATGGTGTGATAATTATACTGGTAAGAACAAAATTCTTATATTAATTCTAACTTATGTCTAATAAATTTAATATTTATTCTGTTAAAAAAATCAAAAACTTTTTGCATTTAAAAATTAAAATAATTTTTATTTATTCGAGAGCTTGACTTGTGTTATTTAATACCAATTTCATTATTATGCCTACTGCTTATTATTGTTTTGATAGTCACACAACAAATTGATGACCTTCAGTTTATTCTGAAGTAAATTAATAGACACGTCATCAAGATACAACTAGAAAAAGTTATGTTAACTATTTTTTATTTTAACATATATTAATTTATTTCGTATTCCTACAGCTAACTTGAATTATATATAACAAAAAACAATTATTCTAAAATATAGCCAAAGATGGAATACATAATATATCCAAAAAATAATAAATAATATATATATTATCTACTATTTTGTATACAAGGTTCAAATATTTACGAAACTTAGAAGGAAGAAATCAATAAAAATACTAAATACATTTAACTAAGTAAGTCCTATGTGTGATGTGTGTGTGATGGTGTGAAAGTGAGGGTGTGGATGTGGTGTGCTCATGATGCAGGTTATTTAGCGCTATGGATATTTTTAATGCTCCTTTCTTCCTATTCTGCGATAGATAAAAGCTATACAACATCTGAACAATTTTATTTTGTGTTTTAGAATGCGCTCCATGTGCATCGCTAGTGATGTGCTGCGTTTGTTCGGAGCCGTATTCAGACGGCGAATTGATAATTCAATGCGTGCCATGCGCTCGTTGGTTGCACGCTGCCTGCGACGGTGTACGCTCGGAGGCGGACGCTGAAGTTTGCTGTCGGTCTGGGTAAGGATTTTACAGTTTCTTTACTTTTTTCTCATTAATATTGTTATTTCTACGCTGTTCTTTTGTTTTTTTATCAAGGTCATTTGGAGTATATGACCACATCTCAAAAGTTTTGTGTAGTTGAAGTTAAAAGACCAAATAAATTCTTTTAATTATTGTCATACATACATTTGTGAGGATTTTCTTGAGAGAGGTGAGAGTAAAATTTACTCTCTTTTTTCCCTAACGCGCCAAAAGAAGTATAACTTCAAAAATATTTAATCATAATCTTTTTGTAGATACAAATGCTGCTTATGCCGGGGCCGAGACATCCCCCCACCGCATTTAGCGAGAGCCATCGAAGCACCGTCAAAGCCAGCGGGACAGTTGACAGCCCTAGCACTGGGGTTGGCTGGAGAATACTATGTTGATGATGTATGTCTGTCACAACGCGGTGCACATCATATGAAACAGCTAGAAGCTGAACTCGGAATTACCCATACGAGACGCAAGCGCCGGTTCAAGCATGAAAATAATGAGAAAGATGCCGGTAAGTCAATTTTTGTCTTTATTAGTTTATATGTTTAAAGAACTTTATTTCTCATTACAAAAATGTATTTTTATTTAGATGAGAAACTTAATTTAATATAAATATACGAACGAGATACGCGTCGCCATCAGCAATCCCAATTTTAGTCTATTAGACTCATTCTAATATGTATATTTAATGCCCTTTTGAATTTTTTACCTCTTTAAGTTTATTATAGAACCAAATATTATTTCAAAAGTTAACGAAGCCTTAATCACAGTTATGTAGTAAACTAAATATTTTTATTAGCAATTTAAAGATTTTATATTCCTTAATATCACTATTTACGTCTTATAAATCGATAAAGAGTTGAAAATTTCACTAATTAAAAATTTCGAACGAAATTCTAGATTAGACTTAATAATTCGTATGATGACCGTAACGTAACGCGTTGTCCCCGTTCCTAATATACGGCAAACGAGTTCTCTATCCGTCCCTCTCTTTAAGGTATATAAATATTATCTATCTTTGTCACTCGCATTTTCTATAAGTTTACTAACATACTCTACTCACGTAAGAATTTCTTTGTTTTTTTTTAATTCTTAAACTAAAAATCAATTTTTATGTATATTTTTCAAATCATCAAATGAAAACTACTCGACGGATGTATATAAAATTTGATATAGAATCAAAAGAATGAACCATGACGCAATAGTATAATACATAGTTAATATATGTATCATATTATGTCTAACTGGTGTTTTTGTGTTGGACGCTCGCTTTTGGATTAGAAATAATGGCATCTATTGAAACAGTGGTTCAGAACGCAGAAGGGGATGGTGATGACGGCAAACCTGACACTACTACTGAAGTTAAAGAGGAGCCAGGTATTTAACCATTTAATACTCTATCTCTCTCTCACTCTACTCATCTACTATAAAAAACAAGGCATACCTCGTTATAACTAAGGTTATCAGTCTCGTTGATCAAAGTTAAATATAGTTTTTAGAATCAAAAAAAGTAATGGTCCATATTCAAATGAGTAGTTGCCTGGTGGCTTAACCGTGTGACTCTCATCTCTGAGGTCGTAGGTTCGATCTCCGGCTGTGCAGTGTGCACTAATCGACTTTCATTCTATCTGCGCATTTAACATTGGCTCGAACTATTGGCTATTACATTGGCACTATTATGAAGGAAAACATCGTGAGGAACGTGCCTTAGACCCATAAAGTCGATGGCGTGTTTCAGGCACAGGAGGCTGATCATCTACTTGCCTATTAGATTGACAAAAAATCATGAAACGGTTACAGAAATCTGAGGCCTAGACCTAACAAGGTTGTAGCGCCACTGATTGATTTTTTAATATTGAAAAATGTGTCCGCCAAATCATACTTAAACATAAAGGTTTTTAAAGAAAAGCACTATACTGACTCTAAGAATCTCAGCTGTGATGTCAATAATGAAGCGAAAAGTCATTCGCTATGTTAAAAGCAAAAAATTGGCTTTTACCTGTAGGGATCCATATATATAAATGCAACATTTTATTTTATTACTGGCTGTTGTTGGGTCGTATATGTTTGTATTTTTATGGAAAAAGATAAAACTTTTTAATATTCAAGTATATTTTTTTTATTAAATAGGTTTATCGACAAACGCCAATCTAAAGGAGGGAATCCTATGGAACGTATCGAACGATGGTCCGGTACCAGAGGGATTTACGATTTACACAACCGATTCGGGTCTTACAGTACTTAGAAGAAAGAGACAGCGTAATCTCAATAAACTCGGTATAGGCGGGTTCGTTGTGCGACAGAGACAAACGACGCTCAAAGCTCAAGCAGATGAAGACAACGATGGGACACAAAATGCAGGTAATATCAATAACATAAGAATTGTTGACCTAGTGGCTTCAGCGTGCGACTCTCATTCCCGAGGTTATAGGTTCGATCCCCAGTTGTGCACTAATGGACTTTCTTTCTATGTGCGTATTTAAAATTCGCTCGAACGGTGAGGAAAACATCGTGAGGAAACTGGCCTAAGACCCAAAAAGTCGATGGTGTGTGTCAGGCACAAAAGGCTGATCACCTACTTGCTATTAGATTGAACAAATGATCATGAAAGAGAAATAAAAATCTGAGGCCCAGGCCTAAAAAGGTTGTAGCGCCACTGATTTTTTTTATACACAAGCATAAAGTCTGAAACTGTTTTTTTTTGTATATCCACAACACACACCAATGACGCTACAACCTTTTAGATCTGGGCCTCAGATTTCTGTATCTGTTCCGTGATCATTTCTAATAGGCGTGTAGGTGATCAACTTGTATATTTTTAGTAAATTTTGTTTAATAAACTTGAATTTAATACATTATTTTCATAATAACTCAATATAAAAGTTATCCTTTCCAGTCCTCTTTTGTTATTTGTTTATTATATTTAGTTGTTTAGGGATAAACTACTAACATTTATTCATATATTGTTCCTTAAATTTATTTCTAGAATCTCCTAGCAACAAGCGCAAGCCTCGTCGTAAGCCGCGCTCCAAACTCATGGAACAGTTTCCCTCATACATGCAAGAGGCATTCTTTGGCAAAGATCTCCTGGAACCGAAGCCTGCAGGTATATATTTACTTTGTATTTTATTCCTTTAATTAATAATAAAACCATAGAATATTTTGTTAATTGAGGAGTTGTTCGGATTAATACCTGCAGCTGAGTTTCATTATCGGACGTCGAGGCAGTACCATACCATCCGTATCACCTTGACGTCCGCCGTTCCACAACTGAGCGTTTTTAAGCCATTTTTGCCGCGCACCACCACTATGTGGAACCAGCTGCCCACTGAAGTATTTCCGAACTAATTCGACTTAGGGTCCTTCAAGAAAAGATCGTACCAATTCTTAAAATGCCGGAAACGCAATCGCGAGCCCTCTGGCATTGAGAGTGTCCATGGGCGGCAGTATTTCTTAACATCAGGTGAGCCTCCTGCCCGTTTGCTTTGTTCTATAAAGAAAAATTAAACAACATTGTTAGGTACTTTATAAACATGCTTGTTTACTATTTTGGGATATCTGGTGCACCACCAAGGTTTTAGGGACTGATGAATGTTTGCCTGGATTTAACAATGAAATTCATTTGTTGTTAAAATTTAGCAAAATATTCAGGTGATGAAAACGGTCAACGGTCCCCAGAATTGGGTGCGTTTGAAAATTCTGACTCGGACGGTGAGGACGTGCTCACGGCGTTGTGCACGTACACGGAGCGACATACCACGTCCTTTATAACGCTTAATCAGGTAATACATTATTAGAAATAATGTATGTTTAACATTAATTTGTCTTCCGTGTAAATAAACCGTCTATCAATACGAATAGCAATATTTTATTACGCAATTTAGGTACCCTCAAAAAATATGACACCAAATTTTATAATAAGTAAACTTATTAACGAATCTTACGATTTTAATTTTTAACTTCATAAAAATAAGAGAAGGGTTTTTTGCTGATATTGGAAATGGTTATTAGGACTGTTTATTTTAATTAAAATCGCTTTGACTTCAAATATTCGCTAAATCAAGTTTGATGAACCTAACAACCCTTAGTTAACTTTACTATTAGTAAAAATATATATTTCATACATATAACTCATTTTAAATACTTAAATCATATAGGACGAAAAAGAAGTACTCGGCACGCTAAAGCCAAAAGAAGAAAAGGAAGATTCCTTCAGCTCAATAACAGACATCAAAATAAAGACAGAAGGCGCTGAAGACTGTCAATTGAAGCATACAGAAGATTCCACCGCACTCAAAAATGCCATATTGGGTCCCCATCACACTGAAATGGACCAGGGAGTGTCGACAACTGATGGAGTGCCTCCGGTACCGCCAAAGACGGAACCAAATACTGGTAAGTTTTGTAATTGAGGGTAGGGTAAAAATTGTTTCAGAGGTTTTTTGTTTATCAGTTTCGTTAGTTTTTAATGACGTGGAATAAGTGGATACCTGTATCTTATGTTCCATAATAAACATATTTTATTTTTTTAGACTGTCACAGGTTTTTTATTTTCTACGCGAGTTATGTAACCTAACGTTAGTTACGTTGCATGTATATTTTAGGTAATATTTAGAAGCGCATTTGCTTTGCGCTTCTAAATATTACTACTAATTATTGCACACTTGAAGCCAGAATGAGTCCTTTAGATTTTCCCAAGCCCATAAATTAGAATATAACATTCTCGTTTCCAATAATGTCCAATAGGGCGACTACACTTATATTCTTCATAAATTTTTACGCTGACGTTAATAAGGTTATCTATATGTATAAATTATATTTGGATTTCATTTTTTATAAGAATTAAGTTATAATTTTTTGTGTCTTAATATATACAGTGTCAATTTATAATATAGTTTTAATGTACTCCAAACACTATAACAAAATTCATACAATTCACGAATACTATCTCACAAATACACATGCATGGATTTTTTTTAGTTGATGAAGTTATTTTATTGTAAATGTATTTTTTTGTACTTGGGAAGAATCTAGTTGCCCATAACACTGAAATATCCTACACCAGCGACTGTATCAAATGCATAATTAAAAAATCTGATAAAACAAAACTAAAATCGACTATTCTAATCCAGATAATGCATCGTCGTCACAACCGGCTATATCGCCAAAGGACGAGTTGTCTCTGCTTGGAGTAAACTTGGACGCGATGGTCCGTGACACATTACCGGACATGGACAGTAATGACGTCGATGAAATATTTAAGGGTGTGCTGACTGATGATTCGCAGGTGAGAATTTTTTTTAAATACAAATATTAATACAAATTTAGTATTTATGATAGTTATACATACTTAGTTCGAGTAGTGCTGGCCATTCTATTGATTTTCGAGGTGTAAATGAATGCGTATTTGCTCCCGATAGTAGCACAGGTATGTGGGACTCGATCCACCACAGTCTCTACTATTCAGAGACTTGGTGAGCAATATCCACCACCACCTCGGGTAGTTCCTACAAGGCCGCGTTACAGCGGCTCCGGGGTCGCTCACGAATTCTAACGGGGCTTCAACGTCATAACTATAACGGTAAAAACCTCCGGTGCAGAATGAATTACATAGGAGATGGGCATATCTTCTCCTATTTTCTCCTCATCTTCTGATAATATGACTCGTTCTAGTGTGCTATCTGTCTCGTTCTGCTACCTTCTATTACTTGCTCACAGAATTGCATTTCATACCTCGTCACTGTCGACCATTTTTTTGATAACAGAGTAGACAGAGAGCGACCCTCAATTGCAACTGAGATCATGCGTTCGAGTCACTACTGGATGGATTTTCTTTCTATGTGCGCAATTAACACGCTGCTACAGTGAGGGTAAAAATCGTAAGGAAATCGTCTCGAATCCAAAAAATCGATATACATAGATGGCTGATCATCTACTTGTCTTTAAAATAATGATCTCTGAAACATGTACTCTGCTAAAATCTGTATATATTAGGGATAAGATTCAGTTGATTCAGTTCCAGTCCTTCTACTTCCATACAAAAATGTGTTAAATTGCGTATACATTAAACAGTGGTGGGCAGATTGACGGACTATTTTTTACTTGATTTCGCTGGTCTTGTCCAACAAACAAAACTTGTTATAATAAAGAGAAATAGTTTTATTTTAATAATTCATAATTTTCTTTGTCTGTAGGAAGCTTTATGGTGTCTGACGATGCTATCCTTTTATCATTGTTTAAAATGAAAAAACTATTTTTAATTATAAAGTTGAAGTTTGTTTGAAGGCGCGAATCTCATACTGGTGTTGAAGTCTTGATTTAAATTCTTATGATTTTGTTTATATTTACAGGAATCTCAAGAGTCGTCGGTGTCGTACGTTAATTCGATGGCAGGTACGCCTTATTCCCAACAAAGGCAGCAGCTGCAAAGTCCAATGGAGTATGCATCACCTTATCATCACACAGACTTTGGTAGCAGGTAAGTTTTTTACTACTCCTAGTTACTTGTAGTCAATGCATGGTGTATGACCAGGAGTTCCTAGGTTCGATTTCCAATGAAAAGAATACTCATAGAATCACTCACTATTTTAGAACATTGTCAAATTTAATATATACCTACTAATTAAGTAAAACTTTTAAACAAGGTGTACAAGTAGCGGCACGAAACTCTAGCGCTGACCGTTATTGCGCAGAAGTAAAAAATAAGATAACTGAGGGGGGCTAGCGGGCGCGCGTAGCGTCGATTGGCTCTCCAGTCGCATTCCGTCCCCCGCGCGACAGTACACATGCGCAGCAATCCCCTCCACGTATCGGCCAGCACTAGACTTACGTGCCGCTGCCTATATAGGAGAATATAATGTAATATTGTTTATTTCTCAGTGGTAGCAGCGCCCTAAGTCCGCTGTACTCTGAAAGCGGATCAGGCGGCGGAAGCGTGAGCGGAAATGGAGCGGGTAACTGGCCTGAGTCTAGCGCTCCACCGCCTTCGTACAACCAGCGAAGTGCTGATAAGATGCGGGCTGATGAAAGTACGTAAATATTAACCTTATTTTATTAATTGATAAAGAATTACGATAATAATAATTATAAATATAAGATAATTAAAGAACTATGTAGGGTTGGTTCACAGTAATAAACCGACAACCGTTCTTATTATATTTAATATATGATATTTAAAAGCCGTTAAAGTTTTAAAGATCGGCAACACACCCACAAGCGGCAGGTCCATGAGCAGCGGTTAGCACTTTGTTCAAAATGTTCCGCCTAGCATCATTATTCCTAAGTTAAATAGACAAAATTGATATTTTATTGTGATTAATATAAAGACTTTATCCGTTTCCATGTAAATAAAGTCCGGGCAACATTTATTTTCATAAATGTCCAGTGAAAACGTACGATGTTATTGTTAATTAATATTAGTCCACGTTTTATAGGGCGAACCTTTATAACTCATTGAACACAGAACTTATTTCTACAGATCACTATCCTGCAATTATTTAAAATAGCAATAAAAATAAAATAAAAAATTACAACAAATTTAATTATTTTTTAATATAAACAAATCTTCACCAGGCCTAGGTTCCGCAGCGACAATATCAGCCGTCCTCTACGCCAACACAAACCATCCCGAATGGAAGAGCGAGTTCCCGAACTGGGTGGATCGATGCAAGCAAATACTTAAGAAGTGGCGCGCCCTACCTGCAGAGCAAAAGGCGCCCTATTTGCAACGCGCGAGGGACAATAGGAGCGCAATTCGCATGAAGAAAGCCCAACAGGTGCGTGCTTTGTGTGTGTTCACCGCAATTTGTGCTAACACTCACTTACACTTGTGTTTTCGTGTGCCAACTAAATTATACAATAGTTTAAGGCGATGTAAGTTGATTAAATTGAACCGTTCTTGGGTACATGTTAAATTCGCTTCATGTCTCTTAGTGCGTAGGCCTGTATTCCAGAAGGGTGATATTCAGATACAAGACTGTGTTTCAAAAACCTGTCAAAAACGTTTTGGATTGACATACGGGAGACATAATTAGCGTTAAGTCTCGTTTCTGAATCTCATTCGAGCCTAGTGTTCTATTAAAATATGTCTGACAAAATTAGATAAAGTTCACTACTTAGGCGGAGATTGTGACTTTAGAATTTTGGAATTAGGGCCTTAGGGAGCGTTCAAGTATTACCTAACGAATTTGGGGGGGGTGGGTCCCTTTTGAAAAACGTTACGATGCGGGACGGTGATTGAATTACGCGTCATTGTTAATATTATTAACGACTTTCCGGAACTTTACACCACATAATGGTAACTTTTAGGTATAAAGAGTCTCTAGGTGATCACGATACGTTTTAATATTGGGTACAAAAAACGTTACGGCGCATTACATCGGGTCAATAATCTCCAAAAATTGCGTGACATAATACTTGAACGCTCCCTTAGTCCCAAGAATGTAAAAGCGATTAGATTAATTATTTTTTTATTTAATAATCGCCCTTAAATTATTGTACACATTAACATAGCGTATCGGTTAAGTGTACATGACACGCGACCGCAGCTACGTTCACAATTTGCTAAATTCAATATCGTGCTATTTCCGACTATGTATAACAAATCTACTAAATTGAAAATCGAGATTTGCATTGTAACTGTATAATTCCGGTAGATCTATGGGGTCTTAGAATGCTATTGTTATCACGTATCAGTATTGTCTGAGTGGTTAGACTAGTTGTATTCGCGAAATTGGATCACCAATGGACGTAATGAGCGATTGGTTGGGGCAGAGTTCGAGCGGACCGAACGAGGAGCCGGCGACATCACCGGCACCCGTTAACGTGACGACTGTCAGTGGGGTCGGCGTGACAGGGGTGTCGGGCGTGACAGGAGTGACTGGAGTGACGGGAGTAACAGGAGTGGCAGGAGTGACTGGCGTGACGGTGAACACGGTGCGAGCGCCCAACGTGACAGTGACGGCGGGCGGACTCCTGGAGGCGGATTCTCATATCCGCGTGCTGACCCCTTCGGAGATTATGCGCACGCTGCCCCGGCTAGCTAACGCACCTCCCGCACCGACACGCAACACGGTACCCTCGCGACACTTGCCCCGTCCCAAGCACTTACACTACCCTTTATTCCTACCCGCACACACTAGCATTTCAATGACAGCCACTCTTAGTAAAGTGAAACGCTAACGTACCAAATACCTGTGCGAAATATTTGTATGAAAATTATTCATATTAACAGTTTACATACAATCATTTCACACGGGCGTATTTTGCGTCTGATACTTTGTGAAACTCGCGGTAATGCTACATATTCGAGACGTATACCAGTGCGTGCGCGTTATTCTATATTATAAAAGATTAAAAAATATCATATTTTACAAGTGTTATAAACAAAAAGTGTGTTTAAATGTGCGAACATCCCGTCCATATTAATCCAATCCTAGAAATCCCTTCAAATATCTGTAATTCAATGGCGTCGTAAGCTGTGTGATTACTTTTATTTTAGCTTATTAACAGGACATCCGACACACGATGCGCCTCCCGGACTCTCGTCCGCTGTATACGTAACGTTGTTTTATTTTATTTTCGCTTTGCCTTGGTAGAATTGGCTTTAATACGGCTACGGTTACCACATATTAAATGGTCTTGATTTATTCTATACTAATATCACGGCTGTTTTGTTTGGTAACTATAGTAACCGCTGGTTGTGGTGTGCTAACGATTCTAACATTTATAATTGTTTTATTACGTTGCAATGTATCGCTAGTAATGGCTGTGAATTAGTTTTTAAGCGTGGTTGTATTGTAATATAGTTTAAGATTACTAATTAGTGTATGGTTTAGGACCATGTGTTAAATACATTTTGTTATTAATTACACATTTGTTTTGTATTTATTTAAACAACCGATTATAGTGATTCAATTAGGATTTTATTGCATGAATCGAAAGGATACGTTTTTTTAATTAACACAGAAACGTAACACGCCTTGTATTTTAATGTAGCGATATCTTAAGGCATGAACACAATTACTAAGGAAAATTTTGCAATAATTTTAAACTTAAAAGACACGATATCAATTAAATAAAAGCATGTGATAGTTAAAGTCAAATATCTTCAGTATATATTATTTATTTTGTAAATTCTTTTTACAAAATTCCTGACATATATAATAATGATATAGGACCAGGAGCGAGCTTGTAATCAGCAAAGAAGCGCTCGCGAGGCGGAACAAGAGCGGCAATGGAAGCAATTGCAGCAAATGCGACAGCAGCAGACGCAGCAGCAACAGCAGATTATACACGATCAAAGGATACAAGGTATCTTTGGACCCTGCTTGGAAAATGTTAATTCTTTAAGATTTTTTTGTTGATTCTCAATCGATAGTATTTTGGTAATACAGTGGAATCTCTATAACTCGAACCTCGTTAAGTCGAAAAAAGTCCCTTCCGCTGAACCCCTAAATACGCGATATCTCGAATTATTTAGACTTAGTAACTCAAACAAAATGTTATTTCCCTACGAAGTATTGATAATACATTCTTATACTCTATAACTCGAATTTTAAAAAGAAGACTCCGTAAGTCGTAGTTAGTAAAATATAATGACGTCTTTCTTGGAATTCACTGAAATAATAGCAATAAAATCCAAAATAAACGTACAGGTTCGGGGCTTCTAATCTATTGTTTTTGTCTTGTACACGTGCATGAATGAATACATTTATGGGGTAAATAAATTAACCACCATTTTTAAAGTGAATTAATTATATTTAATGTTTTGTTACAATTCACTTAATATATAAAGAAGTAAATATAATATGTGCATCAAATACAAAGCCACCAAGCGCACCGTCCACGTACCACGTTACCTGCGTACACGCACACATTCGCGCGTATCCTGCATGACCAGTTTGACTTTAGTTCTGTGCGAGTGACCATAATATGATATAAAGGGTGTCCAGCGGAATATTTTCAACTTTAGAATTTAATATTAAAAAAACTACATCGTTTTTATTTATTTTTATTTCAATTAAATTCAGAATAACAATGCGGATTTTATTTTTTAAAAACGATATCATCCAAACGATGGCCGTTTTTTTCAATGCACTCTTGCAGTCGGACCCTTACATTTACGATTACGCGACGGCAAAGCGCTGGAGTAATGCTTTGAATTTCATGGCGAATGTTTTCCTGTAGGGCCTGAATTGTCCGGGGATTGTTGATTGAGACCTTTGATTTGAGGTATCCCCATAAAAAAAAAATCGCAAGGTGTGAGGTCTGATGACCGAGGCGGCCATGGAATGTCTCCGTACTTGCTGATCAGTTTATTCCTTAACCTTTCCATCGACACCCTAGCTGTGTGCGGAGTGGCACCGTCCTGTTGAAATTGTGTTCGGTTGTTGTACCCTGAATACTGCTGCAATTGCGGTAACAGAAACTCGTCGATCATACGGCAATACACCGGAGCAGTGACTGTCTCACCTTGGTTAAAAAAATAAGGGCCAATTACCCCGCTCGCTGAAATGGCACACCAAACTGTCGTTTTTAAACAATGTAAACGTTTTTGATGGCGCTCTCTAGGGTTGTTAGGGCACCAGTATCGCATATTTTGTTTGTTAACATAGCCATCAATATGAAAATGTGCTTCGTCACTGAATAAAATGTTTCTAAGCGTAAGTGCTGTCCGAAAACGTCCCAGCATTGTTCTTGCGAAGGATTCTCGAAAAGGATAGTCATTTTCGTTGAGATACTGAACAATTTGCATTTTGTACGGGTGCAGCTTTAATTTCTTTTTCAAAATAACAAGCACTGTTGATTTTTTATTCCTGTGGAGGCCGCAATCTTCCTTATTGATTTTCGTGGATTTCGAATAATTTCATTTCGAACTTGAGACACATGTTCTGGCGTTGTTGCTGACGTTGATGGTCCAGGAATAGGTCTGTTTACCATTGTGCCTTTTTGCCTGAATCTTTGTACCCACGACCAGATAAGTTGCGTGCTCGGCCCATCACTTAGTCGTCGAATATTAAAATGAGTACAAAAAGCGCGACGTGCACGTACCAATGATTCACTGCACTTCAAATATTGCTCCACCGCAAACGCGCGGCGCGCTCCCGACCAGTGACTCATAGCGACTAACAAATCCGCAAATCGTACACTTTGAATGATATCCCTCCTGCTTACGTCACCCCGCTATTATTTCGATAATCGCAATTTAAAGTTGAAAAATTCCTGCTGGACACCCTTTATTATGTTCATATTTTACACGAGATACGTTATAATTTATTACATTAAAGGCCTTGGTACAGCAATGTTGTGAGAGGGCATGCTTTATTATAGTTAATTCTATTCTTATACATTTTTATTCTTATAAGATACATTATTTATTTGGTATATTTGCTTTGGTTTCAAGTTGCGAAAAGGTACTTAGCACTATTAATAATCTTAACTACATATGATAAAGAATTTAAAGTCTATCAGTCAGATACTCTGTAACAGTGTAATAACATTTCTTATATAATAATTCCTTTAAATGTTAGGTAAACCTCAAGTTATTTAATGTTTCATTCTTCAAATTTTCTGGTAATTTGTTATATATTTTTATGGAGGAGGTTAATGGTCAATTTTAGTCTGGATAGCTATGTCCCGCACCAATTATGTATTCTAAAAAATCGGTCCATTTAAGGTCGTTGAAAGCGACACTCGCAATTGTTATGTTGCATCGCCTGTCAATTAACACAACGCTCAACGCGAGCCCTGAAACGTCAGGTTGACGTAGTGTTGTTGATTTTCAAGCAGCAATGCAGCGCTTGCGTACAGACGGCAGTCCTCCCTCAGGCCTTCCCACGGTGCTGCCCTCGGGACCGGTTAACGCGGAAGCCCCGAGGAGTGCGTTCCCGGCACAACGCTTTCCACTTCACTATGCGAACGCAGATGACAACATTAATCGCCAGTTGAGGGATCTCCTGCAGAGGCACCCGGAGAAGATGTGGCCGCCGCGTATGTAGCTTTTTCATATATTTCATATATATTTCGCTTGTGCTGGATCATCAATCTATTAGATATATTGAATTATATATATAGTATTGTTAGAACCGCGTAACCTAGTGATCCAGAGGTACGATCCCGGTGAAAGAATATTTGTTTTAGATTTGTATTTGACCTGCGTCTATTTGCATTCCATTACGAGACTTGATTTGAATTGACTTGGTTTAAGGAGGAGCCTACGTAGTCCACATTTTGTTGACGCTATGTATATGTCGCAGCCAACTAGATTAATAAGCCGGTCAATTTACAACCGAGGTAAACAGCGCCGTTTAACTACCGGCCTGAAAGATATTCAGCTAGTTGACCAAACACTAGGCGAATGACATGAATCGATGACGTTTCATGGTAGCTGTACACACTCGGCGAGACACCCCGAGACAGGCCGAGGGCGAGAGTGTACAGTAGAGCTCTCGTCTCGCCTCGCTTCCTCGCAGTCGGTCTCGCCTCTCTCGGTCGCCTGTCGGTTTTTTGCGCACGAGTCAAAGGGTCTCGCGAGTAAAACGAGAGCGACCTGTACACACTCGTTCAATCACTTGCTCGATGACTGTGGTTGTGACAGGACGTATCGCACAATGTGGTCTAACGAACGCGAATTAGAGTTTTTGGAGTGTTACCAAAGGGAATCGTTGTTATGGAATCCGAAGGATGTAGGACACAAAAATAAACAATCTCTACATGATGCTTGGATGCGAATAAGCCGGCCGATGGATATCCCAATTGAGGAACTAAAGAAAAAGCGAGATTCACTCATGGCTACGTACCGTGGACATAAAAGAAAGATTAATGCATCTATACAATCAGGCGTTGCAGCTGACTCTGTCTATAAACCAATATGGTTTGCGTATGATTTTATGGATTCCTTTTTAAGTGATATAACTCAATGTAGAAAAACTATAAATACAGAAACACTAAGAAACACAGTAAGCAATTATTTTTATTCTTTATAAGTATGTAGGTTAGGACTTCGAACAATATACAGTATTAAATAAGGTTATTAGAAACAAAGGCCTAGCTGGTAAGTTTTCTATTCAAACCATAATTAGGTATACATTCAATGAATTTACCTTAATAATAATAAAAAATTTGCACATTTGCCTGTAATCGTCTCTTTGGCAGGCTTATACAAAAATATAGTTTTCTTAAATAAAATTATTATTAAGGTATACCTAAATAATTTAAGTTGTATGGAAATCACTATAATGTAAACTATATTAATAATTATGCTATATAACTATTTAAGAAATATGTTGCAAATTCATCTCTAATTTCATTTGCATTCAGTGATGATCTTTTTGCTATTTGTTGTAAAGGTCTGATGGCATTTTTTTTTATGGTAAACGTGAAGAAAATTATAATAACTTATTGCACAAAGACAAACAGCAGCAGCGGTTTCCACGTCCATTATTAACGGTGTTTTAAATACAAATAACGTAACGAGTGTGTACAGGCTGCGCTCTTCTCTCGGTCCTCTCGGTCGAGACTCTCGGCGAGAGGCTCTCGCCGAGTGTGTACAGCCACCATCATATCTTTCTTCAAACTGACAATATGGCGTCGGTAAACCACAACTTTAATGGTGTTTTCCAAAGTTTAATGAAAAACAACAAGTACAATAATAATGTGAATTTAGCTGTGACTCAAGCAATTTAATATTTAAAGAAATATTTTTATGTCAGATGTTTAATTTTTTTATTTCTGCCACATGGTTGCTCTATCGAATGGCCTAAGCATTAGCCAGCCACTTTATTCAATGTTGTTACAAACGCCTACGGCTAAATATCTTTGAGGCCGCTAGTTAAACGGCGCTGTTTAGTTAAAAGGCTAGGCTGTTAATTTAACTGCTTATTAAGCTAGTTGGCTGCGTATATACTGCCAAGATCCTGGTAGAATTCGAAATTGAACGCGAGGTCTTTGATGCGGTCGTGTTGCTACTACCCGAGGGGGTTTAAGTGGCTATAGCTCACCCGGTTCTCGCATACCCATACCCGCTGCATTTAGTGCGGGGAATGCGTAAACGTTTTTCCATCTTTGTCATAAAACAAGAGACTTACGACGTTACCAAATTAAACGTAAAAAAATAAAACGATTTGTTAAAATATATTTTCTTTGTTGTTCTGACCCCAGATTGACTATAATAAACTTTAATGCCTATTGCGTCATAATTTTTCATGAAATGATTTGTTACAAAAATATTGTTACTTATATTTCCGTAATTCATATAGAAGCTGCAAATGAAGAAGGTAGCACTACTAATATAGGCACAGAAGGACAGGCATTCAGACTTCCCTTACCCGTTGGAGTCAGACCTCGTACTCCTCTCCAGTCAATGAATAGACCGGATCACCATTGTGAGTATATCACGTCTTTGTGTATTTGTAATTATGAGGCATTTTATAAGTTTTTAGGTCTTAAATGCTAACTGCGTAAAATGTGAAAAATCTTATGAACACTAATGCGATGAGATATTTAAATTGTAATATTACATTTAAAAAAATGAAAAAAAAAAAATATTTATTCATTTGACAACAATGTTTTATAATGTGTAAGATATAAGGGTTTGGGAACCCTTTGGGAAGTAAATAAATACCTGTGTCAGGGTTCCCAGCTCTTTCATAACAAACTTAATAGTAAATTCTATTAAAATATTTAAATTAATAACTTTTTTTTACATACAAATATTTTAGACAATTTTGTTAATTATTTTTATCTTTAAGCTTACAATAGGGACACTAGTTTAACTATTTACTATATAGTAATATAAAAAATAGTAATATAACTATTTTTCGTACATACCCGACGTATTCATTTAATGCGCTGTTCGTTCATTTATTGACATTATAAAAATCAGGATGGGAAGCTTTTAATAAAGCGTTTAATAATACTGATTTAATGATAGTACTTCGGCCGAGTTTATACAATAGTTAAAATTAAAAAGCAGTAGTGGTGCAACTTTTGCGTCTCAGATTTATTAGCCTTCTGTGCCTGGCACACGATGTAGATTTTTGGGTCTAAGACATGCCAGTTTCCTCACGATGTCTTGCTTAACCCTACGAAAGTCAATTGTGCATAGAAGAAGTCCATTGGTGCGCAGCCCTGATTCGAACGTGAACGAACTGAGGTCCGTACCTCAGGCTTTAAAAGCGCTTGGATGTTTTTGATAAATCTTAAAAAACAAACATAAAATTGTTATTTTCTAATTATAGAGAACTGATGATATAATTAATATCATTTATAAATAAGGAAATTATTATCTGGTTTAATTATAACTTTTTCCTACTTATGAAGCTTACAATGTGTATGTAATGTGTGTTCCATATCTAAAGATATATTATATTTTAGTGATAATGCAACAGCGACTAATCGCATCAGAGGGAAATCAACAGGGAATGTCCAACGTAAATCAACAAAATATGGAGCAGAAACAAAATGTTCAATCGGGAGGTAAGAATAATGAATGCATGTAGAAACGTTTGCTTTAATACAGATATTTATCGGGTATTTTGACACTTAAAACTGGTGAATTTAAACACGATTTGAAAACTATGATGTTTTTCTTCATAAAGATTTTTTATAATTTATGTTAAGGGTACTAGATTGTATTGTGTTCTGTGTGTTAAATTATGAATAACGTTCTATCAATTTACCTTTGAAATATACCGCATGCCCTTGTTTTCGGCAAACTTCGAGTTCGACTAGTGTACCTTTTCCATACTATGTAACATTCTATTCTACATAAGGGCAGAAATGATAGAGCAAGCCCGGGATAGAAAAGATTGGTTAAAAATAAGATAGGCCTATGTCAGAAGACAACCCAGCCATTAAAAAAAAAGTCAATTGTTTTTTCCAATAATTCGTAATTGACTTTGTCCGAAAATAAACGTTTTATTTTTTATTATAACGAAAATTTATCTTCACCATTTAAATTGCTAATTTATACAGTATTGTATGAAATATCCTCAAAATGTTCTCCACTCTCGTTCTACAAGTTTAATAAAGACATTTTAACTTGTTTTTATAGTGGAGTAAATTAACGGCATATTTTATTATTTGTATTTAACACCATTGTTATTTACTACATAATATGCCAACAGATTAGAAAAACCAAATGATTTTGTCTTCCTAAATATATTAGATTTATGATCATGAAACAGATACAGAAATCTGAGGCCCTGACCTAAAAAGGTTGTAACGCCATTGTTTTTTTTTAAATACAGTGTAAACTCTTTATAATGAATTTCAAGGGACCGAGCATTTCGAATAGAAAAATCAACCAAATTTAAACAATTACAATAATTTCTAATTTTATTACTATCAATAGGTAAATTATTCTAAACACGGTGACGGTGGTGCGTTTAGTAACTGAGATCAAAATTTTCTACAGGCAATGTAATCTGTTTATTGCCTCAGGTGTCTTTCTTAGAAATAGCACCTCAAAAGGTTAGTTTTGTAAGCTGATTATAAAAACAATTACACTTAAGTACGTTGTTGATGTCTAAATATGAAAATATGTCTTCGTTATAGAGATTGGCTGTAACGTTATAGAGAGTTATTCGTTATCACGAATGACGTTAAGGAGTTTTACACTATTTACTTTATTTATTAGTGATTAATGTTATGAATATGTGAATAGGTGACAAGCCAGATGGCGCTGATCAAGGGAGCGATGAGATGGACATTGGCGATATGGATAAACTCGAACAAGATTCTGGGAACATTGGAGAGGTATGGTCTTCTGTACAATTTCTTTCTGCTATTAAAAATATTCTCCATTAAGGCCGTGTTGAAAACACCTCCAATTAAGACTCGACTTTGAAATTTGAGGGTTGTTTTTTTTAATGGAACTGGGGGCAGACGTGATTCCGCCGCCGCCCATGGCCACTCGCAATGTGAGTGCGTTGCTGGTCGGTGGTCTGTAATCCGTCGTCTTTCGTATATAAGTTGAGAATTATAGAATAAATAATTATTACATTCTTTTCTTCGCTTTCAATTAAAATTTAAATGTTTGTCCGATTAAAATTAAAAGCGCGATTTAATATTTCACTTTAATCTTCATACAATTTGTGTTGAGATTATAATAATAAGATTGTTGTAAAAAACCTTAAAATTTATGAAATTGTAATTAAAAATCCTTTATATTTATAAAATTATTGTAAAAAACCTTAAAATTTATAAAATTGTTGTTAAAAAACCTTTACAATTACAAAATTGTTGTAAAAAAAACCTTAACATTTATAAAATTGTTGTTAAAAATCCTTTGCAATTCTAAAATTGATGTAAAAAAACTTTTAGGTGGATATTTTAACCGGCCTCGGCGGGGAAGACGACGAGCAGTTATTGGAATCGTTGACAGCGGAAATTGGGGAACAATTCAATATCTTGGAATATGCAGATCCGGAATTAGCAGCACTTCACGCTGCAGATCACTTGTTGGATTCGTTGGATCTGCCTGATGACCATCACCATGCCTCCAATGCGGGGCAAGGGGCTGGAAGGAGGTAATATACATGTGTCCCATTGGGGTTTTATTAAACAACCTTAATGTGGGACCTTATTTTTTTTTTATCACGAAAGAGAAATTTGAGGTCTAGACCTCAAATTTCTCTTTCATTATTTGTCTTTTCTAAAATGCAATAAGATGATCAGCCTTTTGTATCTGACACAAAATAAAAAAGTAATGTATCTATATCACAAATACACCTATATATGTATATCTAATTTTATTCTCAGAACGGACATAGAGCAAAAATCGGATACGAAAATGACAAGCGAACTTCAAACCGTAAAATTGGAAACGAAATCGGAAATTAAATCTGAGGTCGTGGAAGTGAAGTCGGAAGTTGTTGAAATGAAGACAGAAGTACAATCACAATTCCAAGATGGCGTACAAAGAGTGATCACGCAGAGCCAACAGATCGCTTTACAGGTAAGAATATTGTTAGAAATGTCTAAATAAATTAAGATTTGTTTTTTTTATGTTAAATGTATATTTCCTTTTAGCTAGGTTTTAGATAATTATAGGGTTGAGATATGTTTTGACTTGCCTAAGGGACCGCTCTAGGCATATATCAAGATCCTGGGCGTACGACAGCATTACCATTCGCAATGTAAACTACATGTGTAATTCGCACCACCACTATGTGGAACCAGCTGTGCACTGAAGTATTTCCGAACCAATTCGACTTAGGGTCCTTCAAGAAAATATCGTACAAATTAATTAATAGGCCGGCAACGCACTCGCGAACCCTCTGGCATTGAGTGTCCATGGGTATACTAAACGGTAATCACGGTATCACTAAACATCAGATGAGCCTCCTGCCCGTTTGCCCCATGTTCCAAAACAAAAAATAACACCGATTTAACGTCTCGTCTTTGGTTACTCTATCTTGTCATGTTTCTCATAGAACGTCAAGTTTCTATAACGTCAGAAATTGCGTAGTCTATTAACACTATTTGATCTCCGACATCTTTTATCTGTGTCCATTCTATGGCAGAAAAGCAACCTTAAAATCGCCATAGAAATTCCATATCACTCATTTGGTCGTGACAACCCACAAAAACCATAAATTACAATTCGCTTCGACCGGAAATCTAGATGCTAAGGTCGTTTAGGAAACCTTCTATCTATATCCAGACCAGATGCCGTTTTTTTGATCCAAAGTTAACAAATATACAAGTTTTTAAATTTACACGAATTATATATTTCAGTCTGCCATGCAAGCGATCAAAGCGGAAGTGAAGCCAGAATCAGAGGAGACTAAATCGGAAAGTGATTGGCAGCGACCGGTGTTCTCACAGATGTTTGGAGTACAGGTATAAAACTATACTGTAAATTGTATAAAGTGCTCTATCTATTTATACAGAGTGGAATTCAGTATGTTTGAAATTTGTTATTTTTTGTATATTTGAGTACTAAACTGGATAAAAATGTATTTATGTACGTCGGAGACGTATTATTTCGTCACTCCATCAATATTGACACCGTCATTACCGGGTTTAGTGGGCGTCATGCGGGTAAAGTACGAGAACGAAAGACACGAATAATTATCGTACAATATTTAATTTAGATTGATTCCTTTTAACACTTAAATTGTATTGAGCAGCGGGTTCAGGGCCCCGATCTCACTTTTAATCACAATCTACTAGATTCCAACTCGATTCAACCTCTCATCACCACAATGCTCCACTGACCCGCGTTCTCTGAACGCTGAGTCAGAAGTCAAGGTGGCGCCTCGACCCCACTCAAAAAATTGCTCGGCTCTGATTGGTTGTAGCAATATTCTTCCTTTTACTCGTTATGTAATGATTCCCAAGTATGAAACCATTAAATAATTAAAATCAAATTAAAATCGAAATAAATATGATTCTTAAAAGTAATAGGAGAAATGTCAATAACAAAAGCCACAATGAAAACCAACGGTCAATTGACTCATACTGCTAGGATTATGAGTCAATTGATTCCCTGACAAGTATTTCATTGATTGTTCCGAGTAAAATTAGGAAATGAAGTAAAATACTACTATACAGGATATCCTTTAAATAACGACAATCCACAATCAGATGCTAGGGCAGTGGTTCAAAAATGATGATGGATTTATGCATCCTATGTGTTCTTTGTATTACATCCAACTATCAGACCGTGTTGAAAGAGTGTACTATGCAGTTTTGGCTCATGACGTAATTTTTTTTTGTCCATATTCCTGGTATAGAAATTTTCACAATTTTTGTCGCAAGCACAAACTATAAAACTTGTGTATTTGCTAAAGATCGATATTTTTTTCTGGTACGATAATATGCGTCTATGCGCGTTACCTGATAATCCCCAAAATATTAAAAATGTTAATAATTGTATTTTTTCAGCAACAGCAGCAAAGACAAATTCAAGGCGCGAGGCCATTGCTCGTAGATGGTGCAAGACCACAGTTACAGTTCTCATCACACCCCATGCATTTTGCTCAGGTACTATATTTCTATTTTTAAAAGAAAAAAAAAACAAAGTAGGAATACCTTCAAATTTACACAAGTTAATCGAGGTATCTATATTATGCATGCACCCGCCAAAAACAAAAAAAATTGGCGATAAAAAAGAGTGGTGGAGAGTTTATTGCCAGTTCTTCTCTTCCGTTCTACGCCCTTGATTTGAGAACTGGCAGTGAATGTAAAATTAGAAGCATTTAATATATATTTTTTGACGTTCATAAGTGCACATTGTGTTACTTATATAAAAAGATGATTTTGAATTTTTGAATGCGGTGATACCCATATTTAAAAAAATACTGAACCGATTTGGATAATACTTGTACTGGTTCCTTAGTTAGACATGATTTTCATTCATACCAAACTTACGATTTTTAGTACAAATGCTTGGAAGTCTAAATAGATCACATAGATAACCCTTTTTTGAAGTAGGTTAATAAAAGAAATCTAAAAATAAATTATTATTCAGGGTAATTCTGGCGTAACAAGTGCAAGTGCAGCCAGTATAGTCAGCGCAATGACAGCGCAAGTACAAGCAGCTTTAGCGGCTGGCCGATCTATAGCTCCCGGCACCAAATTGCTAGGAGCAGATGGCGCTGTGGGCGTGGTACGACACGATAGATCAGTTCTGCTCACGGCCTTACCGCACTCCGGTACGTATTTATATACCACTAGATAGATTACTTGATAATGAGTATGCCTTTGAAAATATTATCAGAATTGAATAAGTACGACTTGTTTTGACAACTTTGGATCAACAAAAAAAATGGAATTAAAAATTGTATTAACAGTTGGCACGTTTGTCATTTGTCAGTTTCAGCGATCGAGAAAAGAAAAGAAAAACTAGTTTTAAATTATAGTTTTTTTGTTTAAATTAAAGTTTTAAAGAGATCGCTTCGTTTTCATATTTCTTTTCTTCATATTTTGTATAATAAAACAAATGTATAAAGAATTGTTAAAACGGTCACGAATACGAATATTAGTAAAATCAACTAATAATATTTAAAAAAAAGCAAAGAAAGATGTAATTCTGGTCTTAACTGACTCTACGATTAAATCAGCTCGTGCGGCTCCGCCCCCATACCCAGGAGTACGACCGACGGGCTCCGCTCCTTCGACACCAACACCTTTGCAGCATCAGCACCAACCGATATCTCAGCACCATCAGCCACCACCGCCTTACCCTCAACAGGTACGTAACATTTTAACATGTATTTAGTTGAGCTGTTGGCCATTTATGAATTTCAAGTTATTTTTCAATGTAGATTAGGTAGTTTAAATATTATTGGTTAAAACAGGACACTTTATTGGAAGGTTTATACTGTTCAAGGTTTTCAATAAGTTTTATTATAACTTTATAAGTAAAAAAAAATCGGAAAGGAACATATTTATAATATTAAATAACATCTAATAAAGTTTAACTCAAGAATTATAATATTCAGGGATAAAAGAAAGGTCATGAATGGTCAAGATTACTAGTATTAAGTAATCCTTTTAAAAATTGAGAAAGATTTTCCAAATCGATTTTATTGGCTGTTAATTCCTTTGAGAATCTTCAAGTGACAATTTATGGATGTTTTCAATAAACCGTAATATGAAAATTTTATGAGATTCATTCTATTGAAACTAGAGAAAATCTATTAAGGAAATTCTTTTAGAAACAAACTTATTAAAAATTTTAACCTCGAAATAAATTTAATGAAAATTAATAATTTTGGTGGACTATCGTGCATGTAATTATTTTAATGTTTAGGGTTGAATTTCTGTATAACAAATTCAACTGCTTTTATTGTATGCAGTATAAATACGGTGATTCATATTTATATAACTCCTAAATAACATAACTGTGAATCACCAAATTTCATGAATTCGCTTAAATTTGATCGCCTTGCAGTATTTTTGTGTGGAGCGTACATCCAGAGCAATTAATTTGTTTGTGCTTTGGTGGAGGTAAAATTGTATAAGTTGAATTGCTTGTTCTATGTCAACAAGTAAAACTGACGTGCATGGTTATAAATTCCGTACATCTTGTTTGCGTTGTCAATATATTTCCTATATCTGCTGTGGAAGTTCTATAAAGTGTGTAATTTGCAAATTTTCGACGAGATGTACAGAAATTGTAACAATATACTACAACACTCAAGAAATTTGTCATCAATGTTTCGCTGATAGGTAAGGCCAAAACCAGGATATTTTCGCTACCTTAATATTGTATGGAGCATTACGTGTACGCAAGTTTTTATAGACGCGTACGTGAGTACGTGCACGTACGTACCAGATAGGTGTTATTGAGTGTTGTAGTGAACATTTAGGCGATACATGCGTGTTGTTTGCATGTCGGTGATTGGTTGTGGCATCAGATGGCGTATGAGATGTGCGAGGCGTGGCCCGACTGGCTGCCGCGTCGCCCGCTGCTCTTGCAGGTCAGCCCTCGCCCCTATACACCCTAAAACCCTCACCTTACACCTCACAAACCACCTTAACACTATATGTTATACCATCTACATATAAAGTAATCATAACATTTAAAATAATAAGAAAATTAAGTAGCAATTAAACTGATAATAAAATGTTGTTGTTTTGTTTTTAAGTTGGTTCTTCAAGTGTAAAAAATATTTGACAATGTTACATAAAATACCTTAAGCTCACTTATAGATAACGACACTTCACAAATGAGAAAATTCACCTCGTAGTACTGACTGCACTTAGGTATTCCTAAACTTTTCCCTCCTTCCTTCCAACTTAGAGGGTCTTGACACTGCTAATCTTTAGCGCTTCTCAGAGCTATTTGCACGCAAGCTTACTACTAACCTTTGTACCTTTTCAGCATCTTCCCTAATCTACACTAACTTGCTCATAAATTACTAATTAATTAATAAAACTGTAATACGATACATGTTGAAGTCGTATTATTTACGTCACATCGCGCGGTGGTGGAACTTTACAATATTGAAGTATACTCATGTTTAAATATTTGCAGAAAAGTTCGTTTCGCTTCTTGTGTTTTTATGAATTAACTTTTGTATTCATACGAGATATTGTCAATGATTTGAAGTAAAATAAACCTAATTTACAAGTTTATGTTAGATATACACAATTTCCTTTACAATATTCATACTTAAGCTCCCGCTGCCTAGTTTACGTCACAATAACTTATGTTAACAATTATTTTGCTCTAGAAATCTTATAGTATTATGTTAGCACTAAATATAAGTTTCACAGCATTAGAAGTACTTTAAAGATATTAAATGTCGTACTTGAATGTTGCAACATTGCACCTAAATTATAGTATAATGTAGTTAAATTATATTTCTTGTAGTATTGAATGTTCGCCTTTTGCTATTTATAAACTAAAATAGTTAACTAAAAGCCTGACGCTCGTGGAATGTCAACAAATAATTATTTACAAATAAAATTATTTTCATAACAATACGAATATTTTTTTTGTATTATAATCGTTAAAAAAGTGCATTATGATTTAAATGTAATCTAAATTAAAGTAGTCGTCGCGAGGAAAAATCACCTCCCTCGTACGTAGTACACCGCGAACAGAGAATCGTCATGAAGTGACGCTCGCCGCGGCCGAGAAGCGATATGAAAGCAAACATTTAACCATCAGAACGTAAACCAGGAGCAACCGTTGCTTCTGGAGGAGCTGTTGGAGCAGGAGAAGCGCGAGCAGGAGCGCGAGGGTGGGGAGTGGGGGGCGTCGGCGCTGGGGGCGGCCGCGACTCAGGCGCCGCCCCCCGCACCCGCGCCCCTCTACTCGGGGGTGCCGCCTCCTGCGCCGCCTCCGCCTCCCGAACGACCCGTCTCCGAAGCGGACCACCACGCGCGGCTGCTCTACGAACAGTGGCTCAAGAACTACAACGCCTACGCAGCGGATCAGCTGCGCTACTACGAAGCGGAAGTACAAAAACTCCGCAAGATACGCAAGGTGAGTGCGCCGTAGTGAGCTTTCGTGTTCGTGTGCTTTGTAGTCGCGTGGTAGCCTCCTCCGACTCCCGGTTTTACGTTTCCTCATTTCAGGTATTGTCAAATATTTAGTTCACTTGTGATAACCGAATGTTTGTAAACTAACGGGTCTCTGGGTTCACTTAGGTTTAACGGTCTGTACATAGCGCCACGTAACGTTTCAGTCGCTGAATAGTAAGCAGCGTCAATTAAGAAAGTCCGGTAACGAATTGATGCCGAACGACGCTCAAGAATTACAGCGTGTTTCCACCGAACAATCGGCTTTACAAAAGCATTTAGAGGCGGCCAGAAAGCAAGCAAGGCAGCACAGTATGCTGGTCCAGGTATGAAATCTATTATTCCTTATAAAACAAAAATGTAAAAAAATAGAACTAAATATCAATTTTTTTACAGGAATACGAGACGAAACAACGTCAAAACAATCCCCAATTGACTCAGCAGACAGTTATAAATCAACAACAAGTAACTTCTAATCAGAATAACTTCAATCAAAATCAGAATATGGGCCAATCCCAACAAATACAACAGCAAACGATTAATAGACCGATGCAGATTGGGCTTCAAGGTTCTGGAATGCAACAACAACAGCAGACGCTTATACGTACCCAACAAACGCTTCTTACTGCTGACGGGCAACCATTGCAACAACAAAGAATAGGCTTGGTGACGTCACCGCTGAATGCTCAAGGCCGTATACTTCAAGGAGCTCGAACTTTGGTTATAGAACAGACTGGAGCGCCACAGCAACAACTAGTCAGACAACTTTCTGGAGTGCAAGATCGCGCTCAATCGGTTGGCGGTATAGTGTTCGGACAACAGCAACTTCGCAACCAGATGAATCCGGGCAGTCAAACGCCGCGTCCTGCGGGTTCGCGACCGGCCATGTCTCCCCTTCATGTACAATCTCCTCACTCGCAATCTCCACTGCACTCGATAGCTCCACAATCTCCCCTACACCACCTCACCTCGCCGATGCAGTCGCCTTTACACTCGCAACAATCTCCGTTGCATCACACTTCTCAGTCTCCACTACATTCGTCGACTCAGTCTCCTCTACATACTCAACAATCTCCGATGCACTCGCAGCAGTCTCCCATGCATGCTCAATCAGGAAATCATCCCCAGCAGAGTCCGATGCATCCTCAGCAAAGTCCAATGCATCCCCAACAATCGCCAATACACCAACAGTCGCCTCTTCATGCTCAGAATCAGATGACTGCACATTCGCCGATGCATCCACACCAGAGTCCGATGCATCCACAGCAGGGTCCCATGCATCAACAGCAGAGTCCCATGCATCAACAGCAGAGCCCCATGCATCCACAGCAGAGTCCCATGCATCCCCAACAAAGCCCGATGCATCCACAACAGAGTCCGATGCATTCTCAACAGTCGCCAATGCATATACAACAATCTCCGTTGCATACTCAGCAATCACCTATGCAGTCGTCTATGTCTCCGCAACATTTTTTGCAACAACTGCAAGCGCAAAGAACGAGCCCTCAGTTGCCTACTCCTAGTCGCAGTCCCCAGGTACTTAATTTAGCTACATTTTCTCTTTGGTTAATGAATTGATTAAAGTGAATATAAGTGCAAGTCGAAGTGAAGTATCTCGGACACACAAACATAGTGTCAAAACATTTTAGAATACTAAGATTGTTAATTTCTAGTCTAATTAATAATTATAGTTCTAATTTCTTAAACCTATTATTAAACAAAACAAACATTACAAAAAAAAACAATTACTAATCAAAGACAATTACTAAACATAAAGGTACTTATTAGCCACAATAATGGTATGTCAAATCGCACTCTCTTTTATGAACTTTAGTAAGAAAAAAAATGGATGAAGTTTAATAATAATTATACTTTTCAGATTTATCAACAATCACAAATACAGAGCCCGGTGACATCACATTCGCCGCAGCTACAAAACGTATGTAATAAGGGTAGCTTCTTCGATCATCGAATTTCATATTACATTTACATGTGTACTATTTTTTTATAGAACGATTATTCGTCTGGGAGATTTTCTCGGCCCGCACCAGGCTGTTCCCCGCTACCAACTAGATTCGCAAGACCACCTCTTCACCAGCAAGGTATTTAATATTTGTATTTTCAAATACATAATTTAATTATTTCGTAAATTTAATTTTCTTATATTGCTGTTTCTTGCTCTTACGTACTCAAATGGTTTCACCTCTTGTTTTCATGTAATATATTTGTGCACTATATGTGAAAGTATTTTCTTTTAAGGAATGAGAGTTGGCGTTCCGTTCGGTTCACGTCAGCAAACGTCGCCGTTGGGCAGTCCTCAACCGCTACCGTCGCCCGGGAATACTTCGAATGAAATGGCGGTTCGTATTTTTCCTTAAATTATATTATTCTTATACGTAATAAAATACAGTAATATACGTAAAAGCGAACAGTTTTCATTGATAAAGTCAACAATTGTGTATATAATAACTCTCCTGTCTATCGTAATATAAATAATGTATCTTATTTTCAGAGACAGCAAATGCTTCAGCGTCAGCAATACAGCCCAATGGGTGGAGCTCCGTCGTCGCCATCAGTGTCCCGTTCGCCTCACGTGGCTCGTACCCCGACGCCATCTGCGTCGCCGGCAGCCTCCCCGGCACCTCATCACGATCACGGAGGTGGTCATCATCACCACATGGCGCCAATCCCCCCCGGGTATAGATACTTCAAACCGGGTCTTTTCGGTGGAGCCCCAGGATGGCCACCCAAAGAAGAGGATAGGCGGAGAGGTCACGCAAGCAAAATATCTATACTGAAGCGTGGAACTCCACGGCCGCGTTTCTCGGGCAAAACTGCCGCTCCCGAAGTGCACCAGGAGGAAGGAGAACACAGCGAGGCTAGAAAATACATTCTTTACTCAACGGAAAGCGTCGACTACGCTTCCACTGATGCTAGAATGAGTTTCTCTAAAGAGGACGACGAGATAGGAAACTTAGTTCAGCACATGGACGATGACGATATAGTGGTGGTTGAGCCAGGCGCAATCTCGCCCGAAGAGCGCATCGCCACTGAAGAGGATTTCGAAGAACTCATCGATAGCGGCAAACCGGAAGACGAGGCCGAAGAAGAAATTCAGCACGAGAAAACGCTGACCCGAACTGAAACTACGACTAAAACTGTCGCCGTCATAAGCTTGGCGACCGCAAAACAACCTTCAAGTAACTTGCAGTACAAATTAGTGAACACTTCACAAAACTCAAATCTTTCTCGTTTACCGATGTTAAGCGCGACTGTCCTTTCGCCTCATTCGAATACTAAAATACTGAAGGAAGTCTCGCAAGCAACTGTCGCTTCAGTGTCAATAGCGAACCAGACTATTTCGGTTCCAGTTTTGAAGAACCTCTCGGTTCCTATTGGCAGTGTAGGGCATGGCGGTGGGCTAACCAAAGCTCAAATAAAAAAAGTCCCACTCAACATTACAAATCAACAGTTAAATTTATCTTCCCAACAATTGAGCAAGCCTATGAGTTCTGTGATAAGCGTGATATCCTCCAATGTTCCCAAGGGTTCGTGTATCAATCCCGTCATTACTCTTGCTACTTCCAACACTATGACGGGTCAGACTAGGGTCCCAGTAACTATAATGACCCAACATCAAGTAAAGCAAAAAATTGTTAAGACAATTGAGAAACCAATGGGTTTGTCTCTTTCCAATACAAAGTTGTCAAGTTTGTCCGTAACTCATGATGCAACTTTGCCAGCTAAGATTTTTCAAGATGACGCCGCTTCTCCAGACAGTACGGTCACCTCCGAAAATGCACAGGAACCGCAGGCGACATCTACCACTTCACAACATAATATTATGCTCTCTTCTTTGACCCAGGAAATAGCGCCAAAGGAACCTAAACACACTTTAAAGGATTCCAATAGAGATATCGATATTGAAAATGAAATAAGCCAACAAACTGAGCTGCCTCATACACTCTGTTTAACTGATAGGACACCATTATTACTAGGTAAAGCTGACATTAAGAGTCCGGATCCAATACCAGAGAAAATTCCAGATAATATAATGGAGGGTGATGATGAGGATAAACCGGAAGATAATATACAAAGCAATATATTATTACCATTCAATAAAGCAAATAATGAACATGCCACGTCGTCGGAGGCCAAACACGAAGACAATGTGGTTAAGACAATAAAAGCTATTGCTAATCAAACTAAAGAAATGGTTATAGGTTCCAACATGCAAATTTCATCTGATTTGGCCCAAGAATCCGTTCAGATATCTATTCCTTCACCGACACCGTCTCAGGAGCGATATCTCAATGACATTACAATGCGTGAACACCCAGAAACCTCTGAAGGTAATCCAAAACATGTGGAATCCTTTGAGGACATGTTATGTATGCTCGACAATATAGGTGACGATGGGAAAAGTTTTGGAAACAAACAGCATCCAAACAAACAAACAGTTCAAGCTGCAATGCATAATCCAAACCACCCACTTAACAATCCTACGGCTCAGCGAGTGAATAAAGAACCACAGGAACAGCCAACATTTCAGGCACGAGAACAAGAAAGACTCAATATGCAATCGGCAACAGTGCCCCAACTTTCGCCTTTATCACAACCGGCTGAAATGACATCTAACATGGCCAGTGTATCACAGCAATTGAGAACTATAATGTCTTCCCTTAATACTAATGCGTCGAAAGTGGACACCCAAATAGTCACCAGAAAAGTTGACGCGACTCCGACACAAGTAAACTATGAAAATCTTCTACCATCCTCAAAGGTTGAGGTTACAGCTTCGAGGCCACATCCTCCACAAAAAATTGAAAAACCCCCAACATCTATTTCGTCTTCTGATCCATTGCCTATGAGTGCGGCGCAAGCTTTTGGATCACGCGTAAATACATTGTCCACATTGGGACAAATGCGAAAATCACCGACAGTGTCTCCTATCAACTCACCGAGCGTCAATTTGCAAAGTAATTTATTAAAATCGCCTGCTCAGTCGCCGCTTATGACAACTCAAACAATCACAAATCAAGGATTTAATTCAGGAGACGATACCATTACTACATCAATGCAATCGCAAATAATTCAAATGCCCGCCTTGTCGAAAATTCAAAGTAATTTAAATACATCACAGGTTATGTACTCTCATAGTAACAACACTGTAACTACAAGTATAAGTAATTTCCAGAAATCTCAGGCTCTACCTACGAGCATATTAGGTAATACATTGCTTCAACCTGCCAGACAAATCAACACAAGTAACCTGCAATTCAATCCACAGTCGATAAGTTCAAGCCAACCGCCAGCGCTGGTGATGACTTCAAGATCAATAATAACTAATAAGGAGCCTGCCCCTAATGTCACCGTTCGTACACACAATATTGTTAATACTGCCATTAACCAGATGCAGTTAAAACAAACACAGGGGCCACTTAACTTCATTACTTCTTCCAAACTTTTGCATACACAATTGACTTCTCCTTTAAAAAGATCTAAATCTACAGATGAGCCAAAGAGTGAGGTGATTGTAGGCCATATCCAACCAACAAAGCGTCATAGTGTTGAGTCCGTAATAGTCAAATCGGAGCCAATGGAGACTGATGACCACAACTCGACTATAACAACTGCTGACAATTCGGCAAATAAAACTTTTCAACTGCAAAATGCAATCCAGAGGAATGATGAGTCGCAAAATGTTTTATTGAAACAGCTATTACAAACCTCAACCGCGACCACCAGTGTAAGCGTACCGCAAAGAACTGTGACAATTCAGAGGACTGCACCAGCCTTAGGCACTATTCCGTCGTTGGAAGCACAACTGGCCAGGCCTTCTATTCCACCTCCTCCTATATCTTTAACACAAGAGGTGGAAATTCCTAAAAACTCTCCTAGGCATATCACTAGTATTAGTCAACCTTTTACAAGTCGATCGTTGACATCTATTCCGACATCATCGATGTCACCAATGATGCACTCATCTACGCAGTCCTTGATGGATGTTAGAAAACAACCCGTTAAACTTTTAAATAAAGAAGATACAACACCGATACCGGAATGTTCTCCAACCATGAAGACAATGCCGATGTATCCAATGAGTGTTGAAAGCCAACAACTATTGCATCAACAAATGATCAAAAAGGAAGTACTACCACCCCAGCAAAGTCCGGTACATAGGCCATTCACACCTATGGATGTTAAGAAGGAACTTCTAGATGAAAGCTCCCAACAATCTGCGACTTCAGGAATATCAACTGCATCGGATCAAGGAAAGCTTGACCAACCTATGAAAGAGGAGTATCCAGAGAGTGTGATAATGGATCATGCATCTGAAATAAATCCGTCAGAAACACCGTCTGAGGCGAAAAAACGAAAACGAAGGGAATATCAACAGAAAAAAAGAAAACAAATGCAAATGAACTTGAAAGCTGCTGCTGAAAATGGTATAAATGCTGCAGCAAAGAAAAGACCTCGTAAGGGTTCGAGATATGAAGAAGATTACGATACATTTATTGATAACTTAATGGTACAATTACGCCTTTTACCTCCTATGCAAATTCAGGAGCCATCTTTAACAACAAATTTTGCAGTTTGTCCTTTGTTCGGATCTGGAGATTTAACTAAATTAAAAAACAAGGATTACGACATTTCGAAAGGAGATTTGTTAGGCGAATTTGGTAATGCTAGGATTCCAAATGTTGCCGATTATTATAACACAAAGCCGTTTGGTGATGAGGAACCGTTACCCGAGAAACCACCAGCATCGACACAAAGAGGCTTTTATGATCAAGAATTTCAACCTATTCTATTTGAAGAAGATCCTGAAGATAAGAAGCTTGATTTTATTTGTAAAGAGCGTGACACGGATACTCCAGATACAATTGTTAGTTGCTCAAGTCCTGAAGCATTTGAATTTGAATCGGATGATAGATTTCCTGGACTCAAACTTATTGATGATGATGAAGAGGAGGAAGATGAAGATATGCTGGCACCTGGTCGAATTTCTCCCATTATTCCTATTATAACTCCTATACCTATTCGTGTGAAACCTTTGTCGTTGAAAGACGACGAAGATGGTCACAAACAATTGAAATCTGTAGACGCAATTGTTAAAACGAAAATGGAAGACTCTCCTAGTAATCCAGAGAGTAATGAAAACGTTACCGTTACCCTCACCCTTACATCAGGAGCAGCTGAAGATATACTGGGTGTACTTAAAGAACTTGCAGGAATACTGCACATTCCGCCGCCAACAGCCTATCAAATAGTGGAAAGAACTGCGACACCACCTTCTCATAAATTAGGACTATATAGATCGAAAGGAAAAGATGGTAAAGAAGGAGCACCTATCGATATCCAAAGCATTTTGAACGGAGCGGCTAAGTTCTGCCGTCACTGCGATGTTGTTATACTAGATTCAGTCGTCAGAGCTAAGGCTTCCGAGTTTCCACTTCTCGCAGCTAATAAGGGAAACGCTGAGGAAATCCTTTGTGACAGTGACTCGGAGCTTTATTTCTGTAGTACACAATGCTATGAACGATTTGCGTGGCGCCCAACGAATATTATTCTTGATGGAAAAAAGACGCCGATTAAGGAAGATAGCAAATCGGATATCGAAACTAATCTGTCTAAAGATCGCGATGACTTCGACACAGCGTCAACCGAAAGTATGGAAACTGATGAATTCGACATTAAACCCGATATCAAAGATGAAAAAATGGACTTATCATTTATGGATTCGTTAGATAATGACGAATTGATGAAAGAAGTCGGTGACGATGTGAGCGCGTTAGACGAAGACTTAAAGAGTGTCGACACTGATGAAAAAAGTAATCAAAGCGTTGAGAAAGAAAAGTTCAAAGGTATTCGTTATAAATTATGGACTCCGGGATGCATTGGTCCGCCCGTTAAATACAAACGACCGACCGATAGAGAGCTTACTGAATTGGTTTTCCGGACAGGCGTAGCTATAATGCCTGTTACAAATGAAGATTTCCGAAAGTGCGAATTGTGTGGAATTCAAGGGGACGGTGTGGCAGACGGTGTATCGAGACTGCTGAACTCAGACGTAGACAGATGGGTGCATCTGAATTGTGCGCTTTGGTCTGAAGGCGTGTATGAGACTGTTAGTGGAGCGCTCATGAACGTAGATAACGCTTTAGCCGCCGGCTCCAGTGCAACTTGCGCGGTTTGTAGAAGATTGGGAGCAACTGTGAGATGTTTCAAAGTCCGCTGTGGAAGTGTTTACCATCTGGGATGTGCTGTGAAAGACAATTGCGTATTTTACAAGAACAAAACTGCATTCTGCGCTTCACATGCTCCAAAGGTATATATTGAATTTTAACTAATTAAAATTATATTACACTTAATTTTTTAATAATATTAATATAATTTGCATGTCTCTTTGGCGAGCGTTCAAGTATTACGTAACGAATTTGGGGGGCGGGGGTCTCCTTTTATAAAACGTTACGATGCGGGGCGGGGACTGAATTACGCGTTATTTTTAATATTATTTTCTACTTTCCAGTACTTTACACCATATAATGGTAACTTTTAACTATAAAGAGTTACTAGGTGGTCAAGAAACGTTTTACTATACTTGGGTACAGTACTGTACTTGGGTACAGAAAAACGTTACGGCGCGTTACATGGAGGGGGGTCAATTATCTCCAAAAATTGCGTGACGTAATACTTGAACGCTCCTTTACACAGTCACAACTCTTCTGTTTCTTGTTGGAATATTGTAGTCTATATAATTGATTATTTGTATATTATATACTAGTTTTCGGTTACTAATTATACTACTTCTATAATTTAGAATGAAAAGGACAACGAGCTGACAACCCTTAGCGTCCAGCGTCGTGTATACATATCCCGAGATGAGCAGAGACAGGTGGCCTCTGTGATGCTGCACTCTGACACCAACCACCTGATCCGTGTGGGCGGGCTCATCTTCCTCAGCCCGGGGCATTTGCTGCCCCACCAACTGGCTGCATTCCATACCCCCAACTATATCTACCCTATTGGATATAAAATCGTAAGTCACACGAGAATAAATTTCTTAAGACATAAAGATTGACTTATTCAATAATTTTATTCTTTGATGTATATATACTGTATGATATTGAATTGTCTTCTGCCCCACCTAGTGGACATAGGATTTTTAGTATTTAAATTGTACATCATATGAAATATAAATTGTTTCTGAAATGTTCTGATACATTAGTTATAAATATTCTGTGGTTCATACTCGAAGCATGTTTAATTTGTACAATTCCTGTGTCAAACGGACTCCTTAAAATAAATAGATATGAAAAAGAATAATGAGCAGTGTTGGCCTAGTGGCTTTAGCGTGCGATCTCATCCCTGAGGTCGTAGGTTAGTTCCCCGGCTGTGGATCAATAGACTTTCTTTCTATGTGCACATTTCTTAACTTAACTTAGACTTAACATTTTCTCGAACGGTGAAGGAAAACATCGTGAGGAAACCGACATGTCTTAGACCCAAAAAGTCTACGGCGTGTGTCAGCACTGGAGGCTGATCATCTACTTGCCTATTAGATTAATCAAATGATCATGAAAAATAAACAAATCTGAGGCGCATACCTAAAATAGGTTGCAGTGCCACTCATATATTTAGATATGAAAAAGCACTATTATTTATTCCCGTACAAAATGTACAATTAAATGTATATTAAACCCTATAGACTCTTATCTGCTTAGAGATAAGCAGATAAGAGCAGATGTTCGCGGTGCTTATAAAGCTAAAAATTAATTAATTATTGCGCACAAAACTAGACCTACAATCATAAATTTCTTCTTTGTCAGGTGCGTTTCTTTTGGTCGATGAATCGTGCAAACAGTCGTTGCCGCTACGTGTGCTGGATATCAGAAGAGGAAGGTCGGCCCAAGTTCCACGTGCGGGTTCAAGATGACTCCCGCCATGAGATGTGCGCTCCTACGCCACGTGCTGCCTGGGCTAAGGTAAGTTCATACTAAATATCTTTACGCCTATAATAACCTGCCTGGCCTGGTTTACACTTGCCGAGTTCCGGATAGGTAGTGTCGAAATTTGACTATTTATGACTAATAATAATACTTGACTAATAATAATAGCCTTTTATTTCAGATACTTTTACACTTAAACTCATTTATATCATCTCACCCTTTTTAAGTATCCGTATGTATGCCCATTTCTTGGTAAAAAAATGGGCATACATACAGATGCACATACATTGGCCCTTCAAATCCCCCCATTCCTGCCTGTACTGTGTCATTCTTTGCTCTGAACCACCTGCTGTTTCCTTAATTTGGTCTATCCACCTTCTGAATTGTCTTTCTCTTATTCGTTTAATGTTCCTTGGACACCAGTTTATTACTTGAAAGAAGGTAAGGTAGCATATGTTACAATAAATAAACTTAAATGGAAATGCGCGGGGCACATGGCAAGAGGAACAAAAAATAAAAAATATTTCGGGATTATGGTTGTTTCTTAATAGGGAGGATAATAGCTAGTCTATATTCTAAAACATCTTTACGGTGTAACGAGATATTAAGATATCATTGACATAGTTGAAAAACATATTAACTCGTGAAAATCAAAGACGTATTTGACTATAAATGTGTGTTGTAGGTACTAGACACTGTAGCCGCATTGAGAGAAGGTCGAAATGAAGATGGCATTTTAAAACTGTGGCCAAACTATGTCACCGGAGAAGATTTATTCGGACTCACTGAGCCATCCGTTGTCAGGGTATTGGAGAGTTTACCTGGTATGTAATATGAGATATTATCATTTTACACTTTTATTTAATATATCTATCGTTTTTCTGTTCAAATTTCTAAAAAGTATTAAGTTATCATCATTTATAGAGATATATATGCTGTGATTCCTATTAAAATTTCAAATTAATAAAAAAAGAAATATTATAATAAACTAATTAAAGGTATGGCGTAGAAGACGACATCTTAGTCTTCCATATTATAGAGAAAGATACAAATATGTGCTGAAATGAAATTTAAGTTTGGTTGAAGTAGAATACGGTCTAATAATTTATCAAAAACCTTGTGTACCGTCGTGTTGTTTTACAGGACAAATTATTACGTCCTAAAAGTTGTTTGACGTTTAAAAAATATTAATCTATAAAATAAAAATAACCTACTTATTGCATTATCATCTTTGGCGGAGACCCTATATGGTGGAAAATAATATTAGAATGAGAAAAGAAACTAGAAAAGTAAAACAGCGTTTGGAAGAAAATATCATAATATAAGAATACATATTTTAAAAGCACTATTAGAATTATATAAAATTATTTAAAAATAAATAAATAAAACAAATCTATAAAAAAATAATCAGTGGCGCTACAACCTTTTTAGGTCTAGACCTCACATTTCTGTATTTGTTTCCTGATCATTTGTCAATCTAATAGGCAAGTAGGTAATCAGCTTCCTGTGCCTGACACACGCCGTCGACTTTTTGGTAATGTTCAATGCGCACGTAGAAGATCCCCCCCCCCCCCCCCCCCTCCAGGGGATAAGTTGCACGCTAATGCCCACTAGGTAATAAAAATAAATAAATGATAGGTATCGAGACACTAACCGACTATCGCTTCAAGTTCGGTCGATCGGCGTTGTTAGAAGGTGGCTTGGACATAAATCCATCCGGGGTGTGGCTCGTAGCGAGGGGCTCGATGCGCTCGTATGGGCGTATGGAGGGGCACTCGCTCGTTCGTTACCCCCAATGTTCGAAACTTGCCGCACGTACAAAGAGAAGTCAATATAAGAAGATGCAAATGCAGCGGAGGAACGATCTCTACGACCTCAATGCAATTTAGTATGAGTTGCTAACAATTTGCAGACTTGCCTTATTAGGTACTTAAAACAAATCTTATATTTGTTACATGATATAAATGATTGTCCCATAAATTAACAAGCCAAAGGTATAGAGACAACTAGTGGTAACCGTTACTATTATTGCATTTAAGTTCTAAATCATGTTCGCATCGGCGTTGTTAGAAGGTGGCATATAAAGATGGCGCACTTATTGTTCCAAGAAAGTCTTTCCTCCACCGAGGTGTGCTTCGACTAGCGAGGCTCGTTGCGCTCGCGTATAATTGGAGACGTAACACTCGCTCGTTGGTTCCCGATGACCCCAGAGCTGGGGCTTTCCCCACCCGCTATCGCAATACAGCGAGGAATGCGCCAGCGTTAAAAGAGTACTCAGTACACTGCTGCCGGGCCAACTTTTAGATTCGATTTAATTCAGTGCATACAAATACGATTATTACAATATAAGTTAAGAAAATTGAAAATTGTTTATTTGAGTTTGGAGGTTTTAATAATGAATTGTATTATTGCAAGGTAAATACGGAACAAGATTTTTTCATTTTATTGCTTACACTAAAATTAGATTTAAACAACTTTGCAATTTAAATATAAATGCTAATAAAAAATTCAATTTTTTTTTTTATTAAAGAGTCCCAGACTTGCCAAAGGACGTCTTGAATTTATTACTTCTAATCACATTAAAACTTTTTTTCTTTTTTGTAATATGAAAAATTTTTTAGATTGATACATTGAAGCGAGTATTTGTTAATGCCAGATATGACTAATTAATGTCTCCCGCTATCGTTGCTTGAAGAGGGTCGAACTATGCGTATGAAGGAAATTAACAAGCTCAATTAATCGATACCGGTGATAGGACATACTAGGCGTGGTTAAGGTCGAGAGAAAAAAATTAATATTATTAATTGCCATTTCGTAACCGCACCACAACTGCAAGAGATCTACAAAAAAATATCTAAGATGCATTGTTTGCATCCCTAAGATGGTCGTTTTTCATAGCAAGTGCACATTGGAAAAAGATAATCGCACTTGAATTGGGTCCAGTGCTTTTAGAAAGTCCTTTCCTCCAACAGTTGCGATTTTGTCTCCCTGTTGGACTAGAGACGCTTGGGCCGTGGGGTCCAGGATTTTAGCAAATTTGGATGTGCTCTGTGATGGTTTAGGGGCGGAGTTAATTTGGACAAGCACAGATTTTAGTTGGGCGCCTGGCTCAACTTACTGCTCGAAGATCATGTTTGGCGGACCCAGCAGCTGGTATGGGCCCAGATTTCCTTCAATACGCTAATGCCAGGCCAAATATGCAGTATCACGTCAATTACTTATACAGCAGGAAACCGGAAATGGAGGCCTGCCAGCGCTAAACAAAGCTACTTACAGTACAGCGTCGGACTGCCCCAAACACCAGCAGCTCGAGTTTCACAGCAGGACCAAACTTTTTAAATTTATTTTAATTTTCTTTTTATTAAGCTTTTTTAATTACTTATTATTAACTATGAATATTTTTTGATGGTTACAGAAAGTTTTTCGTCTACAATGAAAATACTGTTTATTTGATTGTTATGTAATTAGCAACTAGCAAGGTAAAAAATAGCGTACAATTTAATTTAAATCAAATTATATTTAAGCAATACAAAGGAGAAAAATCTTGTTCCGCTAATTGTTTTGAGCAGTATATATACCTGCAACCTGTATATGCATATTTGTATATCTATTTTTATCTAAACCACATTTTGGTTCTTTGTTTTTTACAACACCACATTTATTCATTTCAGATATACATATCTCCATGCTGTGAGATAGATTTTTTTGTTTAGATTATCAAAATAGTCTTAACCTACATCGTTATAATAATTATAATCGATAACAAGAAAACTAAAATAAATTTTTATTCAAAGATACGTGACGAATGTTATAGAAAATTATCTAAGTAAAAACATTACAGGTCAAAAATTCAAGGCTTAGGACTGTACGCGGCGCGTGATCTAGAAAAACACACGATGGTGATAGAATATATTGGAGAGATCATACGATCGGAGTTATCCGAGATACGAGAGAAGCAATATGAAGCAAGGGTAAGTTTGTAAATTTTTTCATTGTATTTAATACACTTTTATTAATGGTACTTTTTTTAGGTAAGTTAATAAAAGATTTCATATACAGATTAAGCACGGACTTTACGATAGCTTCGACAAGTTTATGCCAATGTGATATCAATTTTTGATAAATGTATTATAACCAAAATTATTGTTGTAATCTGTTTTGTGATTTTTTTTCTAATAGCCAAGTTCTAATTAAAGCCATCTCGGTTAGTCTTCTGTGCCTGATACAGGCGTAATATTTTTGGCGTTAATTAAATTATTGAGGTCGCAGCAGTGCGAAATTAAGTTTGATAATAGATATCTTGAAAACACTGTTACGTCATTATAGCTTGACAGTAATGATTCAAATATAATGAAATAAAAATGTATTACTTGTGGTGGTCTGAGGTGATATGGATGCCATTATCATTTGATCATTCACTCACACACCCATACATTTTAGGCACACTTATACTAATCGAAATTTTTGAAGTTATACTTCTGTAGGCGCGTTATGAAAAATTGATGAGAGTGAAATTTACGTAATGTCAGTGTGATTATAGCGTGCGCGAGCGAGATGGGAATAAGACAATCTTCAAGTAAAAAGAAATAGAATATGCGTGAAGTTAGCAGCTATGCCAAGAATTTTGAATGACCATAATGACATTTACCTTTTAAACAAATAAAGGAATTTTAATTATTTTTTCAAAGAAATTTAGCAATGCTTTTTCACAAAGACCTATTGTTACTTAGTTAAAAGGTTATGAAACATACCAAGTTATTAAATTGAATGAATAATATAATAAATAATAATTGTTATTAATATTAATTAATAATTGAATAATATACTAAATATTATTAAATTGTTTACGTTGAATATTAATTATACTTAAAAAAAATAAAGAAAGCCAAAGAAGTATAACTTCTTACGCGCGTACATAAGTACACGCACCATTTTTTTAATTCACTTTTTACTGTGTATTTTTAAGTACTAAGGTGCTCTTTTATCCTCGAAAGAGTCTGGTCACCCACACACAGGAACAGGAACTTCCTAGTGTGGGGGACCTGCGTAAAAGCATGCAGCAATAGAATAATATTTAATTAATAAAGTTGTATTATTATGATATATTTTTCGTGAATAAATGTAATAATGCGTGACAAATAAGGATATTTTCCAGACTGTTTCGTAAAAAAGTTGTTCAGTTAGCAATATGTGTTTAGAACCGTGGCATCTACATGTTCCGTCTGGACGAGAGACGAGTAGTGGACGCGACCCTCTGCGGAGGGCTCGCCCGGTACATCAACCACTCGTGCCAACCGAACTGTGTCGCGGAGACCGTGGAAGTGGACAGGCATCTCCGCATCATCATATTCGCTAAACGACGCATCTCTAGGGGCGAGGAGGTTTGTACTTAACCGACATTTAAAAAGCAGTAAATAAAGGATTACTGTTGGCATAGGATAATATGATCATAAATTTCAGTATTTTAAATATACAATTTAGTAAGTGTATATTTGTTTAAAATATCATATGAGGTTGTATTCCTATTTAAGGACCAACCCGTTTAATAGTTATAGTGATATGGGTATCCACGTGTTGGAGGGAATATGAAATATGAAGTCAGTTTAATTTTTCTAAATATTTTTTTTTATATAGAAATTAGCTGATTATTTTAAAGTTTATTTTAGCCAACAAGCTATTTAATAAATGTTTTAAGTCACTCGGCATTTCTACAGCTGGCGTATGACTACAAATTCGACATAGAAGACGACGCACACAAAATCATGTGCATGTGCGGAGCACCCAATTGTCGCAAATGGATGAACTAAATGAAGACATGTTTACGAGTAATTTTTCCCTAGAATATTAAAATTACGAAAGAAATTCTCCGATTTATTCGGCGGATAGATGATGGCTATGAGTGTTAGTTGTACCAAAGTAATTTTACATTTGTATAACATTTGACACAGTGTGAATTTTCGACTAAGATCATTGTTATTTTTTTGACGAGTTTTCCCGAATAGGTTAAGTATAATTTTATCAAATCTTTTATAATTTGACATTTATTATAACTTTCGAATGTTTATTTACTGTTGCTATCGACATTATTCTATCGAAATTGTAAATATGTACATTGAGGTCTGTGGTTTTTTATATTTATCATCTATAATCTCGTCGGGGGTTGCATTTAGTACTTCGGTTATTTGTAGCATCTGTCTTCTTTGTTATTTATAAAATGTCATATTCAGTTTCTCTATTTCATGTTTTCTTTTCTACACTAACTTTAAACTTTTTTTTATTTTTTGTATGAATTATATTGAATGACTGCTTCTATAATTGATTTGTGCAATCCTTTGTATAATTGAAATAATTTTTAGATAATTTTAAATAACTTTGTGGACGGATCACCACATCGTGCCTCACAGTTTTGTATGTAGCGTATATAGATAGACATACGGACACCAGGGCGCCTTGCTAGTGTTAGGTTAGAAGTTGACCACAAAACCTGAAAGTTAACACTTCGTTTGGCTTAAAATACTAATAAAATTATGTTATTTTGACGTATTTTCATATTGGGCTCTTGGTTTTTTCACGGCCAATTTTAAATGAATAAAAATAATAGTGTAATTTATAAAATCCAAGTGAAGTGTTAAAAACTATTAATAGTTTTAAATAGGTAAAGCTGTGTAGTTATAATCCAATTGTGATACCTCACGTAGTCACGACGTAGGCAATTTGGCGCGAGTGCCCAACGTAAGTTAGAGTATTGCATTTAGTTTAAGAAATCCATAAATGTATAGAAAAAGGTAACGCAAACTAGATGTTATAAGATTTCGTAAATAGATTTTTTGTATTTGATACGAATTTGTCGCGAGGTTGAACTGCATTATCTATTTCCATACGGTGTTTTCCTTTACACAGCTAATAGTACCATTGTGATAAAATAGTGTTTATCTATTGATAATCTTGACTTTTATAACAGTGCGAGTCTCAATCCGACTGAAATGAAACTGAGTTACGATCGCGTAGTTTTAAGTATTTTGTGCAATATCGTGAGATCGTTTTTGTAAATAAAGTCAATCAACAAATAGGAATAATCATGAATGAATTTTGTTTATCGCTATCCAAGTGATACTGACATTGCTTTACCATCAGTTATTTATTTAAGGCATTCCCATACATTACACTAGATGAGTATGTTTTCACAGAAGGAATTGTGTATGAATATTCCAAATGAAATATTTTTGTCACATTATTTTTACTTTCATTAAACATTAATAAGTAGCTATGTCTTTTCTTTATTCCTATTCAAATGAAACACTGAATTTGTTTGATAAAAATTTTATTACAAACATTTTTTGAACTTATAATGCAAAAATAATATACCGAAGAACAATCCTAAGTAAATCTGGAACACCAGTTGTTGATCGCAACAAACTGTTGGAAACGGCCCGTCGTAATTAGTAAAGCCATAATTACAGAATTTGAAAATCGATTCTGAAAATACCAAATCAATTGACTATCCTACTTAAAACTATCCTTTGAACTCATCAATATCTTCATGTGATGGTAACACTAAGTTCTCGTAGAATATTCATTAGTATCTACTGTTGTGCTTCGTTCGTAACGTGTCTAACGGTAGAAAGAAAAGTACAACATACATAGACCAGCCGTTCCGTTGAAAATTATACTGATATTACAAAAATAATCATTGTAAACAATGTATGTTTCATGATAGGTATCACTCAAATGGAATGAGACTGATAATACATATTAAACTGTATCAAATCATAATAAATAAAAGGCCAGACACAATACTTAGGTACTATACACAAAAGCAAAATTGCACCATACTTATTAGAATGGTTTCAAAAACCAGGAAAAAATCCATTGAATAAGTAGGTTTCTGCATTTATGTCATGCGGTTAAAATTTACTTAATGTCACTGTATACGCGTGACATAAAATCCAGAAATAAGAAAGAAATTTATCTAAAAGCTTCATTAGGACAGAGTCCAACCGCTTTAAAGTCCACTCGCTCACTTGTACACTATATTTGAATCAATTTAAAAATTTACACTGAAGTTGTAAAGGCTGCTTAATTGTTTAACTGTGACGATTTTCGAATTAATTTTGACACTTGCCATATCAAACTATTTTTAAACAAAATTTAAATACGCAAAGTTCGTTCGTTATCTTAATAACAAAACCTTTGCACTTTTAAGTCTGTTGAACTCATTATGTTGTGTATAAATTTTTTATATAGCATTATTAAATTAGATCTCAAGGAATATATACAAGAACTGAAAATTTAATGTCATTATTACATAGGTCTTCATAGATTCCCGTGTGATTATTAACCCCTATTTAAATTGGCTAATCTTAAACAATATTATTATTATAAAATACAGAAATAGTAAACAATTATACCACATATTAGATTAAACATTATGTTTCTTTTATGATAGAAATGAATTTACCGACTGCAACTAAACACCACCACTTTTAAAACTTTTAATTAATGAGAAAATTTGTCCTAAGTTTAAATTATTGAATGTTTAATGTAACTATTGCTTATTAAAACAAAAAAGGACGAATTAAATGTATTTAACGTATGTCCGATGTGAGCGCCCATATGGGCATGTGGGCGAGGTGAACGAGCGCTCATGGGCGGTGTGTTCAGTCAATGTACTGGGCGAGCCAACGGAAACCTTCACCATAGCCTTGGCGCTTTAGAACTGAGCACATGAAAAGTTCTAGGGGACGGCCTGCTAACTCTGATCTTGGTACTTTGCCCTGTTGAATATAACTCACACTAAATAACAATGACAAAAATGATGAATTTAGATGCAAAAATACGCATGATAAATTTCTCTATAATTAAATACTTCTACTAGCTTCCTTATGACAAGGTTACACAAAGGAAATATAAATAAGTCTTATTAAATACTATAGTATTTAATAAATAGTATTGCCACAAGATATAAAAATAAATACTATGTATATTCACCTTTCCAGTAGTCAACTGATATAACTTGAAGAATTGCCTAAGTTCATCTTCACTGGCAGCTCCATGTTTATCTATTTTATTGCCGAGGATCAATATGGGACAGTTGCTGAGGGTCTCATCAGTGAGAAGCGAGTCTAATTCGTCTTTTGACTCCTTAAAACGCTGTGTGTCACAAACATCAATAAGGAAAACAATAGCATCTACAGCAGGGAAATAATCCCGCCACACACGCCTAGCTTGTTCATGGCCCCCCAGGTCAAAAGTTGTAAATCTCATGTTGCCTATTGATAGCTCTTCTGATGCTGTAACCAGTTTAATATTAAGTTAGACATATACAACAATGGAGAATAATTCCCTCATCAATATAATAAAATGAAATTATAAAATAATTAAAATATTAGAAATTCAGGCAACATTTCTTAAAACATTACTATCAATGACTAGACTTTGAGTTTAACACTCTGAAAGATTATATATACCTAAATAGAGATTATTTTTATTTTGAAAGTGTTAAATTAAGTATTCAAATTCATTATGAAGGTCAATAATATATAAGATTACAACTAAATTCTAAAAAAACCTATTAATATATTATAGCAAATACTTCCTAGCTAATAAATTATATAAATAAAACAAAATTTGTTAAAAACATTAGCCTTAACTCATCTTATTAATAAATGTGAAGGTTACTTCAAGGTATTTCCAGCTTAAATAAATATATGATTTCATTAGATCATAATACATTTTGTGGATTACTTACTTGGATGTAATGTAGGCACATGCTGGGCTAGTCTGTCGTCTTTTAACATATGCAACAAAGTGGTTTTGCCTGCATTATCCAGCCCCAGAAACAGGAGCTTGCCAGATTTCTTGTAGAGACCTGTTTAGGTATAACATTTGATAAACTAATATAAAAGGAATTATTCTAAGTATTTAACAATATGACGTGTTTTTTGCTGTTTAATTAAAGAATTTACATAAGGTATTAAATTAACATCACATTATTTTTAATTTAACTTTCTGATACTAAGTCAAATATTAGTAAAGAACCTATGTGATAAAATAATTATTACACAGCAATTCCTACAAAAGATAACAGAAGGATAATTATTATTAATTTGTTTACATACTAATCTTATTTATACTATGGATAATGTTTTAATATTCATATTATTTCATTTAGAAAATAATAAATATATTTAATGCATTATGTAAATTAACAAAATGCTTACCCAAGAATCCAAGAACACCAGTGAACCAATCCCAGATAAACATTATGACTCTGGAATTTTATATAAATTTTAATGTTTATTATATCACAGTTAAGTCTACACCTTTTACTTTATATTTTTTCTTTAAGGGAACACAAAGACAATCCAAATATGATGACTTGCATTAAGGTACTAGGTCCCTGTTCATAAGTTAAATGCGTTTACGACAGTCACTTTACAAATATTTCAGGCAAATACTAAAGTTCCAGGCAAGGGTATCATAGTTTAATTTAACTTCAAAGATCCTAGGTATTGAGTAACGCGAAATGCGAATGACAGGACGTCATGCGTAGTTGGAACCTTAAACAAATTACACGTCATTTTAATACTTACATTTGAACAATTTAACTATGATAATTAATACTACACTTTAAACAGTTTGAAATTGCAATGTTTAATGCAATATGTTTTGTTAAAAATTGTAAAATTTTCTTAATTTAGGACAGAGAGAAATTTATTTAACTTGGAAGTTGGAACTTGGCAAATTTGACGTAACTCCATGCAAACCATAGACATTGGACAGATTACAGTGTGTGTTTCCGGCGTTAACGGATGTTTCAAATTCCAAAGATTATTAATATTTTTAAAAGTATGCCAATAATAAAAATCATGTAATAACACAACAAATTTAGTATTTATTTTTAAGTTATACTTCTTTAGGCGCGTTATGAAAAATTGATGAGAGTGAAATTTTACGATGCGCGCGCACCTGAGACACTAAGTTGTCAGTGTGATAATGTGCGCGAGCGAAATAGGAATAAGACAATCTACAAGTAAAAAGAAATAGAATATGCGTGAACTTAGCAGCTATGCCAAGAATTTTGAATGACCATAATGACATTTACCTTTAAAACAAATAAAGGAGTTTTAATTATTTTTTCAAAGAAATTTAGCAATGTTTTTTCTCAAAGACCTATTGTTACTTAGTTAAAAGGTTATGAAACATACCAAGTTATTAAATTGAATGAATAATATAATAAAATAATAAATAATAATAATAATTGTTAATAATATTAATTAGTTATTGAAAAATATACTAAATATTAAATATTATTAAATTGTTTACGTTAAATATTAATTATTAATTAATTATATTACAAAAATATAAAGAACGCGCGTACATAAGTACACGCACCCTTTTTTTTAATAAACCATATACAAATTAAGTAAATAAATAAAAAAATCATAACTTACTATAATTATTGCATGCATGATCATAATAATTATTGCATACCGATGGTAAATAAAGCAAAACTTATGAGGTCGAACTATTACTATCTCGTGCAATATTTGCCTACGCGAAGTAATTTTAACATTGTGATATTTTGGCTGTCCATAAAAAATAACAATAATGTATTCTCTACAAAGAAAACTTGGAAAAACAACCAAGAAACAACTCCATTATGAGGGAATCTAAATAATTTACAGATAATAAATAGTACCTAATCTTTAAATATAGTAACTAAGCTTGCTTTTTCTATGCTATCTTCGAACATATAAAAGTGACATTAGTGAGTTCTGAGTTCTGACTTCTGACAAATCACAAAATGTAACATGATTGACATTGGCACATTGTCATCCACCTGTCTTTTTAGTGTTTTATAGCTTTAATGCTAAAGGTATTTTTATTTTTCAGCTTATTTTTTCAAGTTATTTAATGGAAATCTAAATAAATATACAAATATTTTGAATTTAAATATTATATTAAATCGACAGACAAAACATTTTGATTGTCAGGGAAGGGATTTCAAAGATTTTTGAGAGTAAAAAAGTGATTGAAAAGTGTTGTGTTTTCAGGCTAAGTCATGGCCCCCAGAAAAAACAAAGTTGCAAAAGAAGAGGTGCAAGTAACTCTTGGACCACAGCATTTGGCTGGTGAGACCGTTTTTGGAGTTGCACACATATTCGCTTCTTTCAATGACACCTTCGTTCACGTTACGGACTTGTCTGGCCGGGAAACCATCGCCAGGGTGACTGGAGGCATGAAAGTCAAGGCTGACCGTGATGAAGCTTCACCTTACGCCGCTATGTTGGCCGCCCAAGTAAGTTTGTGTAAATAGTGAAGCTAAATTAATGTTTTGAACTTTATAACCTATAAAAAGTCATGTATTGGCATCACCTAGACGTACTAAACGTCTTCATCACGTTAGTTGTCATTCTGCTGTTGGATAGTGTAAACATGTATTATACCAAATACCTTATTTGGTGGTTAAGGACGAAGAAAACCCTTTTAATAAAAATTTTTGCATTTACATAAAATTTGTGATAGTAACAGTAGTAATCTATTTGATTACTTTCAGGATGTTGCTGAAAAGTGCAAACTTCTTGGAATCACAGCTCTACATATTAAGCTCCGCGCCACTGGCGGTAACAAAACCAAGACCCCAGGACCTGGTGCACAGTCTGCTCTCAGAGCTCTGGCCCGTTCAAACATGAAGATTGGCCGCATTGAGGATGTCACACCAGTGCCATCTGACTCCACCAGGAGGAAGGGTGGTAGACGTGGTCGCCGATTGTAATTCTCTAGTTTAAGTTTACGAATTGTATACTGGAATAAAATGGTATACATTTATATTTCCTTTTTATTTTTTAAATCATACTTTGTGAAAGACAGCTGCTTTAATCATATAATGTTAACATTGCACTACTTTGTTATATTGTGGAATTTATTGCACTAGATTTCCCTCCTGCTGCCGCCCCACAAACTTTGTTTTTCCTAAGTAGGTATATTTTTTTTATTTAGTCTACGGTTTTAGTAGCTGTATACAAAATTCTGGATTATTTTACCATTCTACCCCATAGACTTACTTTTTTGTAATAGTTTTCCAAATTTTCTCCATTAAAACCTTCGTTAATATAAAACATTTACTCAAATTTAATTACTTGCGCACGCACGTCAATCACGCACTTGGCAACATATCTAATACGATTCAATTTTATTTATATTCATATGAACTTCATCTTGCAAGAAAAGACAAGTTATCTTAATCTGATTTAATTCACAGTCGACACTCTTGATTAAACATTGGTGTTCATCAATTCTATTAGTTGAAATTTGAACTCTTTTAGTCTACTTTTCTTAGTGTTTGATTACATTTGGGTCCAATTTAATTAATTGATCATTCAGCATTATGAAGACCTTGTCTAAAGTTGAGAAGGTCCTGTCACACTATGTATGTACATAGAATATGTACACTCGGCGTCAAAAAATCGCACCTTTCCTAAAATTCGTGTTAAGCGATTATAACTCCGAAGATCCTTCCTGTACCCTATCATTATTAGTATCATTTGAAAGCTAATGAAATCCCTTATTTGAAAACGGTAGGAAATTCGCCACCACCCTCATTAAAAAAGAAAATTCTGGGAAATTGTGAAACAATGTGTATTCTGATCAAAATTACAAATAAGAGGAACAATACAAAAAATAAACAATGACAATCCTTAAAAATTACTCTTAAAACCTAGTGTTATCATCTATCCCTCCGACCAGCTTCGAAGCGGTCAGTCATGGACCTGATGAGCGTCACGACGTGTTCCTGGGGAATGTTGTCCCACTCCTCGATGACGGCATCTCGAAGCTCATCGAGAGTGGCAGGAGCTGGATTACGGGCCCGAACTCGCCGTTTCAGCTCGTCCCAGAGGTGCTCGATAGGATTGAGGTCGGGGCTTCTTGCTGGCCAGTCCATAACCTTGATGCCAACTCGACGTAGGTAGTCCTTGACAATCAAGGCTATGTGGCACCGGGCGTAGTCGTGCATGAACTCGAAGTTGGCGCCGACAAAACCTGCACATGGGACCACATGCTCCTCCAAAATCTCGGTGATATACCGGTGGGCAGTCAGAGACAGGACATTCCTCCACTGGTCGAATGTCCACGGCATGTGCGTTTCGTAAAATCGCTTCCTTTTCGTCCGGTGGATGGCAGTCAATAGGGGGCCTGTAGCAGCTCTCCGGGGCAGCAAATTCTTCTCTCACAGCCTTCTTCTGATAGTGGAGATGCTGTCAGCTGTCCTTCGAGGAGCTCAAAGCCGCTGCTGCAGCTCCACAGCGTTGAAGAAGCGGTTCCGCAAAGACGTTGACACAATGGAGCGATCACCTCTGACGGTACTGCAGCGACGTCTCCCGGATCCATGTCTCCTGATATAACCTCCAGTCTCTTGGAACCGTTGGTATACCCGTTGCACTCGAAATCTGCTGATTTTCAGTTGCCAAGCAACTTCAACCTGCCGTAGTCCGATTTGCAGTAGGGCCACCACTTGAGCTGCTTCTTTGCCGTGGTATCCATTTTCACTGGGTTTTTTCTTGTCGAAGCTCTTCAGGAGTGACCTCTGTGACGTCTGGATAGCGAATAACCCATCATTGACTTTTACCCCCTCGTTATATACGCGTCCAGGGTGGTACAATTAGTGAGCCTCCAAACGCGTACTTGGCAACATATTGATTTGATGATGATTTTCCGTAAACAAATGATTATTTTTTTGAAAGCTTATTAATTGAGCTTTTAAATGATACTAATAATGATAGGGTACAATCTTAGAAGTTATAATCGCTTGACACGAATTTTAAGAAAGGTGCGATTTTTTTGACGCCAAGTGTATATAAAAAAAAATTGATTTTTTAGAAGCATTTTGCGCATGCGTTACTTACTTGGTCCATGTTAAAGCTACAGTGTATTCAATGTTGTATTAGAAGGCTGAATATAATTCAGGCTAATAAGTAAACAGCGTCGTTAAGCAAACATAAGCTGCCGGCTCATAAGTAAGCTATCGTAAGCGTATTCATGAACGTGTAACGTTTTATTATATATTAAAAGTCATAGTCAAGTAATAGAAATAGGCACCTAATGGCGACCACACCAGGATGTCGGGTTACTTAAACTGGACCCGCGGTTATACGGCCCCTGTCTAATCTCCTGTAATCCGACGTGTCTATTATTATTGAATTTTTTAACAATGTTTGCTAACGACAATAATGCATGATTGAGTGGATACAAGACTGCAACTTGTACGCGCCACCATTTATTTGACGCGTCGGTATTGTTTTCGGATCGGATCGGTCGGATCAGATTGCATAGTTAGAATTTGACTACATGTGATAGCGTGGGTTCTTAGTTTACTGTTTATTCATTGTGTAGGTATATTACGTATTTCACCAAATATCCAACCTCCTACGCTTCCCCTGCCCCCACCCCCCCCGTTTTCGCCTATCCAGTACCGTGCCAACGCACCCAGCCGCATTTTTTCTTGCTTTCTAATCGCATTTTAGTGTTTTTGTTTCTCTGTTTGGTGAAATATTACATAAACTACCTATTTAGTGCTGTATGTAAGATGGGTAGGTACGAGTATCAATAAAAATAAGTACACAAATAAAATATTTTTTATTTTTACATCTTCAATTTTTTTGCTATCTCTCCAGTTTGTATGACGTCATTAAGCCAGGTTCGCAGATATTTCCGACGACTTGTACGTTATTTTCTTTTATTACGTAATCCTACCTAGTAAAGTCATAAGCCCAGAAGCGACTTAAAGGAAAATAGGAGTTTTTAGACCGCATACTGAATCTTTCAGTAGTTTAACGAGTGAATTTGACGTAGGTATGTATAGAATCGTATAATTGGAACTATAATTTGCCGGGTTTTTTTACAAGTCTTGTAGACTCTTGTAAAATTGGGGTTGTAGGTAATAGGTACTCAATTATCCAACAAATTAGATACCTAGTTCGACACTGTCCTGTAAAACGTATTATCGGATTACCGGAGAGCCACTGTTACTGATATTCCTAAATCATCTGATAAACTTCATACAGGCCCAGGCCTCCCCCTGAAAATAAATGGTTACAGTAGGTTATCCTTTAATAAAACAAACGTTGCTGTTACTCATAATATATTATTATTTCAGACAATAAATTACTATGTTTAATCAACTTTAAAAATGAAAATCGAGCAATGATTTGTACAATATTTCATCTTTGTAAATAAAAATAAAATGTAATTTGTTTCATGAGATCAATATTCAGAGAAAATAAATCTAAATGTGTCAGGTTTATTAGGCAAAAATCGTGTTCTCACAATAATATATATAATATAATCTTTTTTCGTGGTAATTAAGTTAATACGGGATATCGATGACACGTATGTGACAACGATTGTAAAAACAAAATGAAAAGTTACAATCAACGGTGGGATTTTAGAGTTTCATAATCGATATACATTTGTAAACAATTTTCTAGTATATTTATGCAATGAAAAACCACGTGACACAATTTTTATAAGACGTCAAAAAATACAATTTCCAATAAAAAGTAAGCACAGACTAACTAACAGCTGTTATTAATAAAATTGATGTTTTTGTGCTTTACTATAATTCCAATCTAAAAAATACATATAGAACGTGATCAATTTTGAAACATTTTTTTGTTACATTTACAATTTAGACGTGACAAAACTTATACGTCAACTAAATTCTTTATAATTAATTCCGCTCTAGAGAAATTCTTAACAATACAATGTCGCTTTTCTAATTTTGAATTCTAGATGCGGTTTAATTTTTACTTTGTTTTTCTATTAAATTTATTAAACGCCTAGTATGAAACAGTAATGATAGGCCCCTACGTCTGTTTATCGTCATACTTGTTAATATTAATCAGAATAAAGACAACGTTAGTTACAATACAAAAACTCCTCGACAGAGACCTAAGCGATACGAAAACCATAAACATTCCTAATTTCAATATTATTGCACATTTAGCGTTTTTTACAAATGTAAAATATAGGTAATATAAAATTATGTAAATAACTCAAAAATTCACTACATACGGTTAGAGCGGCGTCGGCGATGTGCGAAGGGCGGGCCTCGCACGCGGCTTGCGCTACAAAGCGGTCTTTAAGCGGATTTTCTTGAGGCGGGAAGGGGAGGGGGTAGGGAAGGACCTGCGCTTGGATCCCATGGACATAGTATCCGGGTGAGTCATCCCACTCGGGGACCCCAAGACGGTCCCGCCCGCTACGTCCTCCCAGGTCCCACTTATCAAATCCTCCGAAGACGAGGAGGCCATCGCCCGACAGTGGTTGGCGGATCTCGTGACGGCCCCGCGAAGGGACCTGGCGTAGTTCCGTTTGCTGAGCTTCGCAGAGACTATAGAGGCGCGATTGTTCTCGGCGTCGTCCGCAGATCTTCTGTTCGCCTTAACTTTGACCACTCCGCCCACTTGGGTCTTGCTGGTACTGGGCTTTCTGATCGCGAGTACGTTGCGTCGTTTAGTGGACAACGCTTTAGATTTCGGCTCGTTCTCCGTCAAGTAACGAGTCCGCGAGGGAGTCTTCACCGGTTCGTTCTTTTTGCCGTACTTCATGTTCATGTTGATCACGATTTCGTGGCCGGAGCGTTGGGCCAGAACCGAAGGGCTGCGTCGTCTCTCCGAATCGGTCTTGGCTCCCACGTAAGCGTTTTCTTTTCGTTCCTCGGTAACTTTGGCTTTAGACCGGGCGTAAAGTGGCACCCGCGTGGGTGACGCCGTCTTGGGTCGAAGTCGCGACATTGTCAGCTGAAAATGAAACAAATGTTACGATCGAGTCATAATTAAATTTGACAAATAAATATATTTTAGTAGAGAAGGGTGCGTGGTGTTAGTATATCGGACGGGACGGCACATCACTCACTTTAGCTTCTTACCATACTTTTAGTAAGAACCTGCAGTTTAATAGTAGATTTGGGGACCAATTAACACTGAAAATCAAAGATAGGTTTTAAAATATAATAATATGAAATAGAAAACGTCAAGTTTAAATATATTAAACAAAAAAAGAGAACATTAATAGGAAATAAATAAGGAAATAACTGTATAACATTAAAAAATAAACATATTTTAGACGGTGGTTTAAACAAGAATGAACACTTATTATTTCGTGCTGTTACGCATTTGTTATGCATTTGAGTGCAATTATTTGCATTAGAATTTTGTGTGCGTATACGCACCTGCGGTCGCATAGTGCGCGTGTGCGATCGGAGCCATTCCCGTAGTGAGGTTAGAGTGCGATGTTCGGAGCAAGGTATACGCGAATTCGGATGTTGTCCTGTCAGATCTAGAATAGACGCTCCCAACGATCGACCAACCTGTGGAACACAATGACTATAATTGTGGAAAATAACTGTAGAAATTTAAATATATTTTAATTCATTTGATTTTAGAAAATTTTACATTGAGACTCGCTTGAGGCTGTAGTAGCGGTAAGTGGTAACATATAATATAATATCTTTTTCAGTATTCGATTTAGTTCTATCCTGATTCATCTCTGATCTGAACACTGAAATTAAGCTCCGTTCTACTTCCCTCAAATAATTAATTTATCCTTCTTAACCTGACCTTTCAAAGCTTGTTAATAGTAACAATACATTCGAATAGAATATTGTGAAATAACCTAAAAAATTGAGCTGTCATAAACTGCCATCGCCTTGACAAAAGTGTCGTAAAGCCTTTCTCACTATACAATGTGTCGTTTTATTCCTTAATAAAACTAGTACGATCTGAATAATTCAATAGAATAGTGACTTTACAGCGGCGTGCAAATGGAGACGATTTGAAGAGACATCCCAAGAAGAAGCATAATCATAAGTTTAAATTTCTACCGAATCTAAATACATATTGTTTGAAAGTGGTACCTTCATTGGGTCTATCTCTTCGAACGCATCCCAATTCTTAGCACGAAGCCTTATCTGAAATGTATTGCCATTTCTAAATATTTGGCACTAATTAGGGAATTAAACGTCTGCTTTTCTACTTATTTTCACATCTGCATATGCCGTTCATAGGATTATTTTATGCACAAACCGTATATGCAGGTTTTCGGAACCAAACTGCAATCGATAATTTGATTGAAATTGTATTTTTCATTTCAAGCTATTTTTGTGATTTAAACATAAAACTTCAAACTAAATATCGATTCATAAAATTGTTTTAGTCAAAATAGACACCAAAAACGATAAATGAAATTAATAAAGAATCCGAATCGAAGGACCAAAAAATTAAAACGCATGTAGTTCCGGCATATTTGCCACGTACCTAGCTTCTTAGCATCGACTGAAGTTTGGTCCACATGTAGCAGGCAAAACATTGTACCTGGAAGGGGTTTACCTCTTCGAATATGTGCGGCGTGTACTTGGGTGGCATTCCGGCGTGGGGGGCGGTGGGTAGGGGGGTGTCTCTGACGGCGGGGGGTAAAACGTTGACCAGGCGGCCGGTGTTGTAGTTGCACTCTAGGGTGTAGGACCGGACGAGGCCTGTCGCTTTCAAGACGGCAACCCGACCAGAGCCTTCGCGGGACATACCGTCTCGGCGATCCCTGTTGAGAATGAATGTGTTTACCAAGTCTAAGAAAGGGTGTACATTTAGCTGATGGTTTCTTAGTTATTACTGAAATCGTCGGAGTTACGCCTCAAGAATGCAACCAGAAGCAGATTAAGCATAACATCTACAGTAAAAAAATCAGTGGCGCTACAACCTCTTTCTTAGTTCTGGGCCTCAGATTTCTGAATCTGTTTCATGATCATTTTTCAATCTAATAAGCAAGTAGGAGATTAGCTTCCCGTGCCTGACACACTCTGTCTTTTTGTGTCTATGACATGTCGGTATCCTCACGATCGTTTCCTTCACCGTTAGAGCGATTGTTAAATATACGCAACAGTGGTGCACAGCTGGGAATTGATCCTATGACCTCAGGGATAAGAGTCACACGCTAAAACCACTAAGCCAACACTGCTCTAAACATCTAAACTTTCATAATATCTTATTAACAGTATTGTCTATTTCGTATGTGCCTGACCGCAAATTTATTCGCCTATTTATTTTTAAGTACGTACGAAAATCGGTATAGCGCGCAGAAGTACGCGTACTCGCCGCTCGAACGATAAAACGGATAACATTGCACAATTCCGATAAATTAATAATTATTAAAAAGTTAATTGAACTAACTTGAGATACATATTTCGTTCTGTGAAGTTGCAAGAGGAGAAGTGGAAATGTAGGTTATTCAGAGACATGATGCGAGGCAGCAGCATACACTCCACGGAACTGTCCACGTCCTCAAAGTGGTTCCCATACATGAAGATACCTGATGGCAAGAGATAAAATTTATCTCCTAACCTAACAACGGAATGGCACCTGGGCACAAAATTTTCGTTACAGATAGAGTCAAAGAGTGATACAAAATTAAATTTGTGTACTTTGTCCATAAACCTTAACATAAAGCAATATAATTAACAGTAATAATGAAACAATGAGGCTGAGCTTTAAACAGGAAATTCTTCGGAAATTAAAATTTGGAGCTTACTGTAAAAAGTAATTGCAGTTTTGCTTTTATCAGTTATCTTTTACAGAATAAATATACGCGACAACAAGTCAAACAAGGACAAAGGTACGACTTGCCATTTAAAAAAAATGTAATGGTAAGAGATATCGCCGTCCATGGACACTCACATTGCCAGTGCGTAGCCGTAGTACGAATTTTTACGCTCAAAAAGTCGAAGTAGTTCGGAAATACTTCAGTGGGCAACTGATTACACAAAGTGGTGCTGCGCGGCAAAAACTGGCTTAAACGCTCAGTTGTGGAGCGACGGACGTCGAGGTGATAAATACATTGCATAGAAATACGTTCAGTGGATTCATATTAAAGTAAATATTTACTTTTGCATACAAACAATATATTCTAAGACTAGCAACTGACAAAGAAATTTTAATTGGAACCAGTATGTTCTCTCATCGCTATTAAATATATTAATAACAAACAAATTAAGTTTATTAGTATACCTTTTTTAGACGCATGCCCATGTAAGTCGATGTACAGGTATAGTCCACTATCAGGCTCCTTATAAGACGGCTTGGTAACTGCTGTTGGAGGCACTGGTTGAGTTTTCTTCTTAATCGATTTCAATGGAGACTTGGGCTTCTCCTTTGGTGGCTCCTGTGAAATATATAATAATGTGTCGTATAATTGGGCTTTTATGTTAACTCTTTTATCTCTGCCTTTTAATCAATTTAAAAAATGTATTAAAAAGCTGTGTAAAAAGGCTTACTATAAAGTTAACGATTATCTAATTGATAAAAGTTCTACTTCTAATTAATTTGTTTTAAAATAAGTGTTGTTTGATGATTTGCTATTTTAAAAGAGTACCGAGAGTTTTTTACGCCGGCTTTTTCTCTCAGCTTTCACTCTCTGTCTTCTTTGCCGATGAGTAGGGATTAATAATGCAATGACGTGGAATAAGTTTTTTTTATTCCTTTTAAATCTATCTGCAATCAGCCTCATGGCTTTTATCAGATTTTATGGGAAATGATGGCAATTAGGGAACGCAAATCCAATAATTATTATTCCCTCCGTAATTTGTAAACTGTCAGACTGCGGCAAGTTTCGCCCTTTTTAGCCGATACACACTTTCCGTCGTTTCCAAGAATAAGTGGAATAAGTGATACCTGTATCTTATGTTCCATATTAAACATATTTTCTTTTATTTTTTACGTATAAAATTGACGTTTTGTCGTACTGGCCACTTTGACCTCAAATATTTCCTATTTGGTTAGGAATTTCAAATTCAATTTTTTTACAGCTAAAATCAATCAATCATCAATCTTTCAAAACCATGATTCATTTATTTTCGCGTTGTACATTTTTTTTTATTCGCGTAACTCTATTTATAAAATGGAAAACACGAATATAAGTCTATTTTTTGGTATAACATGTATTTATCCTAATTTCGTGATCTAAATCATTACCTTTTCAACGACCATTCACGAATGCTGACAACATAATATACTTACCGAAATAATGACGTCATCGGTGTTAGGCAAAGGCTTAAGAGACGCGCACACATCGCCACTGTCGCCCACGCACACACTCACACCCAAACTAGTGCACGATAAGGGTTCTGATAGTTTCTGTAAAGATCACCAATAGGATTAAAATGCAATACTAAATTGTTAATACCTATTGGAAATAAGGTCGGACCCCGAACACCTTGTGGGACTTCATAATTGACTCTGAGATCTGTACATAAATCTGTTCCAATATTTACTCTCTATTTTCTATCACATGAGAAATCGGAAGAGATCGTAAGGTACTGCCCTGATTCCAATCGCATCTAACTTTTGTAAAATAATGGCTACTATAAAAATATTATTTTACGTTCATAAGTGTAGTACATTAAAAAATAAATACTATAATCAAGTTAAATAAAACATTACACTTAAAATACACTCACAATCTCCTCATTATACTCCGAGAATACATATCTCTTGAAGCAATTGGTACAGAAGTACACCGTAGCGTCGTCACCTGGATTCTCTGTATCCTGCAACTAAAACGATTAAATTTTAATTATAATTTTTTTAAAGGACTATAAATTTCGTGTACATCAAGTATGGGTATTTATAACACTAATCAAATATTGCAAAATATTTAGATTTTTACTAAGGCTATGTTCACATGTAACGCGCTAACGCCCGTTCAACGCGAGATCAAATTGAAGAGCGTTCAGATGTGAGCGCGAACGCGCGTTGCGAGAGTACGCGAGTCGATACTCGTTGGTAGAATTAGAAAAAGGAGTGGAAGAGGCTACTTATTTAGTGGTTTTTAAAGAAAAATAGAAAATAAAACGTACACATTGGGTTCATCCATTTTGAAAAAAATACAAATTATACTATATTTTTTATACAAATTTGCTATTTTCCAACTTTCTGGCCTTTTTTTTTTTTTTTCTTTTTAGTAAGTCGATGTCAATATCTTCAATTTCACTCATTTTAAATGCGAGGAAAAAAATTTAATTTGGAAAAAAAAAAAAAAATATTCCCCCCCCGGGGTTATCCCCCCCCCCCCCCTTTTCAAACGGACATTACACCCCCGCCCCCCCCCCCCCCCCCCCCCCCCCTTTTTCCCCCCCCCCCCCCCCCCCCCCCCCCCCCCCCCCCTTTTTAATATCAAAGCCGCGCCCCCCCTGTTTCTTTTTTTCCCCCCCCCCCCCCCCCCCCCCCCCCCCCCCCCCCCCCCCCCTGTAAGTTGTATGAAACTGTCTAGTGCGCGATTTGAAAACGCGCGTCAAGTTTTTGCCATCTGAACATAGCCTTATAGAGTCATAGAGTGTGTGGATTGATATTGTATTAGTAAAAGGGAGCGTACGTATTTAGCAAAATATACGTACAATAACTATAATTTTTCATTTTTGGAATTTAACAAGTTTCGCTCCCTGTTAAACTCAAAATAACTTTATTAATATGGCTAACCGAGTAACATCGACAGAAAAGACGTTAAATTAATTCTAAATTGACATTTACTATCAGTTCGCAAGTAAGGTAGAGCGGGCAAGAACTGTCAAGAAACTTTCAGCAACTCTTTTTAATCGCCAAGTTTAAGTCACACACATTATTTGAACTGGAGAAAATCAATCCCAAGGATTAGGATCATTTCGATAATCGTCCAATTTAGAAGGAGCTTTATCGTTTAACGAGAGTTTTGAATTTATTCAGTGATGATTCTCTCTGTTCTTTTTCCAATTAATTAACTATGTAAAGGATATAACATACATCTCACATACAAGAAATAGTGAGAAATCAAGATTATCTTATATTATAAACACAACTGAGTCAGTGTCTATCTAGAACACTAAACAAATATATATTTTTTAAATAGATTTCATAAGTAATTGGTAATATCTAGGGTGAACTAAGATTACGAAATTATAAGAATATGCAACATGAAATTCGCATGTTACGCACTTTTCTCTCTTGCGCGTCAACTTGCTGCCTCTGATGTTCGCGATATTCATCTATGGAGGTGTACTTTGGAGTATCGGCCAATATCTGTTTTGAAAACACCAATATAATTTACTAGTGAGGAGTGTTAGCCGTGTGTTCGAACTCTCGTTGTGAGTCGAGGTGAAGGAAAATAAGAGAAACCAGCAAGTCTTACGATAAGACTTTAAAAAACTGTATTTCTCATGTCATTTCACTCCCGTTTGTAAAAACATATAGTATTTGATATATGGAAGTCATACTGAGCGACAGGTCTTCACTAATCGTTCCCCTAAAACTCAAAAATTGATATAAGGCATTAATACAAATATCTAATAGAATAAAAATCGATAAAACAGATACAGAATTATCAGGCAAAGACTCTCAAGGGCTATACCGATCCACGATGATAATCACTAGGGTAGACACATTTCTACGTCTGTTAATCGTCAGCCACCTGTGTCTTTCAAACCAAAACTTTTCAGTTTTTAAAACAGGCGTTTCCTATAGATACTACTTTCATATTAGATTTTTGTGCATAACACCTAAACACAAAGTAACTAAGACGACATTGCAAATCATGTAATAATGAAACAATCTTGCTGGTATCAAATCTAGATGGTAGAAATACAGATAAAAAAAGCTGGAGCTATTAACTTCCTATAAGAATTGCTTGAATAATCCAATATTAAATTAAAAAGCCTATTAGAATGTACGTAAAGTGTACGTACCATAGCGCTATACCCCGGCACCATATTAGCGATACCCGGCATTGTATCTTCCAAACGACTCACAGCGCGTTGGCATTCTTCGCACCAACCCATTTTGATCTTCGCAAGTCTGGCTTCTTTGGCCTCTGCGCTGTCGCTGTGGAGATTATACACCCATAAATAGGTCACTCGAACCGAATGACAGCGGGAACGTCCATACGGTATATAACAAATCAAGAATTCTTAGTACCCGAATAATATTTTTCTTTTTGCAGTAAAGATTTCTTGTAAGTTTTGATTTTGATAATAGCTTAATACATATACTAGGTTCAGAAGATTTTGGCAAACGAGTTTATTTTTGTCAAACTTTCGCGTTTATAATTATAATATTACACAAAACAAGATCTCCGTGATGTCGTCCCAGTAGGTAGTAAAAATTAGCGGAAAATATATACATTTTAATATAACTGTTAATTTTTTTTTAAATGTGTTATTTTTAATAAATTTAAGGCATAATCAACTATTACAATATTGCTTTACAATATATGATTTGTTATGCCAAAGATTTATCATGAACTATTTGAGAAAAGCACTTATTGTATGGCGTTAGACTTATAATCATTTTCCAAATCCATTTAAAAATTCTTCAAGGGGCTTCTTTTAATGATTATTCGAGTGAAACATTGTAATTTATATTAATTTGATAATATTATTATTATTATTTTCTTCGTAGTATCCTTTACTGAAGGTCGTGCCTGTCTTGAAGCCCTAACCGATACGTCGACTTGCTGCCTCCACACCACTCTATACTCAGCTTGTCTCATAGCATTAGGGAAGTTGAAAACCATAATTGTCTTAGTCAAACCAATGGATAGGCGGACCCCGACTTCTCCCTCCTGGCAATAAGGCCAAAGGCACCCGATTGTAAATGATAGTTAAAATTAAAATAAAGATAAAAGATAAAAGTTTAAATGACAGTCTTGTGGTGATCTTTAGATGGTTGAGAATTTACTTAAGTTCTTTTTGCAGTCCATGATATTTGGAACATTCTCGTCCAACATCACAGTAATTATATAATAATGCTATAGATGGGATAATGTATGTACAGTCAAAACCGTTTACGACGACATCGTTTAGAACAACATACTGGTTATATTGACCAAAATCAAAGGTCCCGGCCGAATTCTATTGTATTAGGTACTTAATAACGTCATCGGCTGTTAAGACTATCTGTTTTTACGACCAAATATAAGTAGTCCCTTCGATGTCGTTATAACAGATTTTACTGTACTTAATTAAAAATCAGCTACTAAATAAAATAATGAATTATTACTATTAAGCTTTTAAATATTTGCGCCCCTATTATTTTAATTTCTAAACAATGAGAAATCTGGAATTACAAGAGACTAAAATATAAAGAAATCTACAAATTCTGCTTACCCAGTGACAGAAGTACTAGACTCCATTAGAAGGCTTATGCTGTTCTTCAAAGTTTCGCGAAGAGGTCTCAAAAGATTCCCTCCGTTAATTTTGAGTTCCTCACTCGTACTCAAGTGAACGGTTGATCCCAAGCACGATCTCAATACGTTGTCATTGAGGAGCGATGATGTCTCCTCTAAGTTGACAGATTCGACAGTGGATTCGTCGTTCGTTTGAGACGGCATTTCTTGGAGTTTCATATCGTGGACCTGGTTAAAAATTTAATAATAAAAATATAAGCAAAGGTCAACAAAATATAAATGTTTATCTTATGAAATACTAGCGACCCGCCCCGGCTTGCTGATACTAAATACACCACAGAAAAACTGTGAACGTTGTATATAAAAAGATAGCGGCTCCGGTTTCGCACGGGTATTAAATATATAGCCTATGTCACTCACTGAAAAAATGATTAAAATCGATCCAGTAGTTTGGGTTTGTTCATTACTACCCGTGGCCCGCACGCGTTAAATTTGGATATTTTGATTAATCGAAATGTAAGCGAAAATAATGTAATTATTTACGACATCACATTAGAAACCTCAAAAATACATATAAACCTTCCTCTTCAATCACTTTTTCAATAAAAAAATCCGCATCAAAATCCGTTGCGTAATTTTAAAGATTTAAACTTACATAGGGACAGAGAAAGCGACTTAGTTTTATACTATGTAGTGAAAAGCAGATATCAGCCAGTTGGGCCATAAAAGTACATGTTTTAAGAACTTTGGTCTCACAAACAAAAATATTTTTTTTATATGAAAACTTAATTATTCAGTACACGTCGCACAGTTAATGAATCACAAAGAATCGGACAGTTTTATTGTTTTCTATCTTTAGTCTTATAGGCTCTGACTGTGTAATTAAAATATATGGTGCAAAAACATTAAATGCACAAAACTTATAATCGATACATATCGAGAGAGAGATGAAATGATAATTAACGAACGCAGCAAAGAAGTTCTAGAGTCCCACAACTGAGCGTTTCTTTAGGCAGTTTTTGCCGCGCACCATCACTTTGTGGAACCAGCTGACCACTGAATTAATTCCGAACCAATTAGGGTCCTTCAAAAAATGAGCTCCAATTCTTAAAAGGCCAGCAACGCACTTGCGAGCCTTCTGGCAATGTCAGTGTCTATGGGCGGCGGTATCACTAAACATCAGCTTCATGAGCTTCCTGCCCGTTTTCCTCCTAATACATAAAAAAAAGCTTGTCGTTGGTCAACATAATTATGAATTATATGTATGGGCGAAACAAAGAAAAAAAACTGATTTATGTTTTTTTTCGAAAGTAAAACTTAATAATTAGCATAAATATCTCACAGCTAGGTTCAGTATTGTAATCTCTTATCTCATGTTCATACCGCAACAAAATCGACCTCTTATATTTAATAATCATTACGTTATCGCCTTTATCATTCTAATTATATTTCCACATGAGAGGAGAATATTAATTATTAGGTGTATTTTTAGATAAACGACCCCTACTTCACTATACGGGTTTAATTTTTTTCGCGGTAGAGTGAATAGAATAATGAGATTTAAAGCACACAGCATCTTTGCAGATACCTAGTAGATAACTCGAACCTTCAAGTGCTTTACTCAAATCGTCGAATAATGAAAAACATTATATTACCTTTATTTAATAATAGTAATAGGATAATAGATAAATTACAACACTCGCTCTTATTCTAACGATATTATAAAATGTTATATTACATACAATAAATTAGGGGAAAATTTAATAATTAGTTTATTAACTTTTGAATTGAATCAGTTAAAAAGTTTTATTTACATTCTCGCGTAAACCAAAGATTTGGTAGATTAAGCTATGTGAAAAGCATTAGGGACAAACAATCTTGTGAATGGTCAAAATGGTTCAAATAGTAGATATACAATTTCATAAGTGCATATATAATTATTTTAACTTACTTTTGATAATAAAGTATGAATATCCTTTGTTATCAATGCAGTTTTTTTTAATTTCGAGTCCGTGTGGAACCTAACCCTTGAGTTTTACATGTAAACATACGAAAAAATATGTCTCGACTTACGTCGTTTCGATTTACGTCGCGTATTTCGAGAACCTAACATGCCGTAAGTACGAGGACTGCCTGTATATATATTTTACAAAATAAAGTGTATGTTTTTACGGTACAGTATATTGGGGCCTCGCCAAACTAATGCAAGTATTTACAAACAATTCTTTGTAAATAAGCTATTTTTAAGAAGACCATGTAACAGTTTTTTGCTCTTCTTACATTGGCTGCATACCAGTTATTTTGCAATAAACAAAATTTCATATTCGTGATAGCTACTAATATAATAAAAAATGTTTTAAACCTTTTGATTATTTTATGTTTCTCACTTTTTTATATGTGTATTCTTGGCTATATTTATAGTAATTGTATAACAATATATATTTTTAGTTAGTTGTAATAAATAAAATACTTTAATTTCTTACCTGATCGGCTAAATGTGAAGCCTCTCCTGTGAGAGATTGGGCATCCTTTGAGTCTTCATTGGAGGCTCGTTTGATGGTCATAGACGATTTATTCCGCGAAAGGGATTTCGCTGACGATGTCTTTTCACGTTTGTAATCGCTGCCCTTAAGTGGGTTTTTCTTCTTTTTTGTGTCTATGAACTGGAATAATAAGACAAAACAAGATATCAGTAAAGATTTTAGGCTAAGATTACAGATCTTGGACCAAGTTTCACAGACACGTCTACGCGAATTGTCAAAATTATTTGTAATTCCGTCACGTTAAACTTCTTTTACGAAAACACGTTATTTGATTCGATAGGAGTTATGAAGATGTATAATAGTCAATCGTTATTCTACATAATATTGGAGATTAATACCACGTAAGCCTCCTAAATCATCTTAATAGTTAAAACATTCAAGGTAACATTATTTATAAACAATATTTTTATCGAAATAACAATACCTCCGCGCTTTCACTAATATTCCCAATACTCCTTGAGGTGATACTTTTGAGGTCATCGAAAGCATCTTCTTCCTTTTCATAACCGTAATGATAATATCTGTGAAAATTAGTTATTATATTCTATATTCTTATAAATTCAAATAAATAATTTGAGATTAATAATCTTAAGGTAACTGATTCCCTAAATCAACTTAAAAGAAGGAATTGCGTAATAAAACGTATATGGTTACTGCAAAACTAACTAACAAAATATTACTTATTAGGGAAAAACAAATACCAGAAACCATTATATATATAGTAAAAAATAGAAGTTTTATTTTATTTAAATTTTATGCTCAAATAAAATTCAGTCATAATTTTTTTTAATAAAAAACAAAAATATTTAATGTACATACCTTATTAACGATCGCGACGCATACACAGTGGGATGATGTACCAATGACGGATTCAAATACACCCTATTTAAATTGACTCCCCTTGTATCAGTTCTATAATGACCTCTGGCAACACCGTCGGGGTTCAAAAATGGTATCATTTTAAAAACATATAGCTTTCTCAATTGTATGGCTATGGGATCATTTCGGGTTAGTAAAAGGTTCAAAAATCCGTTGAAAACGAAACTAGACGGCGTCTCACCGGGATGCACACGGGCGGACATGAATATTACCTAGAAATAATGTGCACGCTTTATAAACAATAAATTCATTTAAAATATCATAAGACAGTAGGCATTTGGTTATGGTTAAATTTTCTCTATAAATATGATGGCCGTTGGAACAAATAGGATAAATTCATTTAAATTTTTAAACACTTAAAGATTTAGAAAATTTTTCTAAATCAAAAATTTTATAACAATGAAATAAACGAGTCGCAATTCGTATCGTATACTAGTCAGTAGATTTCACAATGCTAATAATTGTACATATTATATTATTTTTAATGTAAATCTTAAAGACCATGTAGATGGAGAGGCAATTTTAAAATGACAAAGTTTTAAGGCATAAAAAAGACAAGAAAAAAAACATTGTTACAATTGCTTACATATATGTATATTGATTAATTAAGTCTATATTATTTTGTAGTCCCACAATTTAAAACATGGGTAAAATGCCTGATTAGATATAATTTACTAACCTTTTTGTTCTGAAATTTGAATGGTCTCTCTTGATTATCAGGAAATAGATTTTTGAGTCTATGTTCTTTTTCTGTTGTGATACCATGATGTGAAGATATAGTTAACAAATCAACGCGTCTACCTATAAAAAAATTGATTTTAAAATTTTATTAAGATAAAGGAACAGAGACAAAATCTTATTTGTAAATATGTAGATCAGAATATATATTCTTATTGAACTCTAAACATATAAGAATAAATCTAAAAATAGAAATAAAATATTGTCCTCAATTACCTTCAAGAGAATAAATAAGACATTCTCTATAGTAGTATATGTCATCTGGTGACTGTGCAAGGGGTAATGGCAACATTTTAAGATCAATTGAATTTAATGCTATCTGTAATTCCGCAAAAGAGAATGGATATGTAAAAGCAAAGAATGTTGTAGCTTTTGGATTCTCACTGGTTCTGTACTTGAAGCTTAGTGTGAAAGTATTATCATCCGTCTGAAACACATATATAATAACATGTAATATTACAGACATTTAAAAATATTGTTCTATTTAAATGTAGATTTTTACTTAATTGTTAAAATGTAAACACCATATTCGTGAAATGGGATGGTACTAAAGATAGTATATTCTTGTTTTAAGAAAATCTGATGAAAATAAAAAAAGTGGGTACTTACGTATTAACGCCAACGCGGCAAAAATTTTGTTTGGTTAGTATAATAATATTTATTATTCTAAAATATTATTTAAATAAAATATTAATATACTAACCTAACCAAACAATAATCAATAATATCAAATTTGGGCGACGGATTTCTACATCGTTACGAGAATTTTTGCCACATTGGTGTTAATACGTAAGTACAAAAAATGCTTACAGAATGAACTGGACGATCTCTTATTCTTTCCCACTGCGGCTTTCCAGGCAGTGTTCTAGTCACAGGAGCCATTCCTTGATTGTACATTTTTCCTTGCTTGTTTAAATTTATAATGTTTAAACGCACCTAGATAAAAATTGATTAAGTTTTTCATATGTAAAGAAACTATTTCCTTGTAATAAGCAGTAGTTTGTTACCTGAACATTTGGTTCTGCTGCCTGAATACCAAAGTAAAACCAGGTTCGGTTTCCATTCTCAAACTCTGTACCAGCACAATCAGGTCTTGTCCATATGTTGAACTCATAATCTGGAGTTTCAGATGTGTTTGTTTTGAGATTTATTGTTGGAGCTGTTCAGATATTATAAAATTGATTGAATGGTTTTTTTTAATCTTATTAAATATAATCAGTACTTACAAATAAGTTCCGTCGGAACCCGTTCAACATGCCCGAGATTTCCAGAATCAAAATTGTGAATAAAATAAAATCCACCGCTTTCTATTATCTTATTGCGATCCATAACTAATTATATTGCCCTACATTATATAAAAGACACTCATTAGACTAACTTTAAGGGTTTTACTTTAACTTTAACACAACAATTTGTGAAGACACAAATTCATTTCAAAATACATTTTTACCAATTTCAAAATAATGACACCAATAATAAAAACTTCACTGTTTTTCTAAACAAAATTATGTAATTTTGTTGACATCGATTGACGGATAACAGCTGATTTGTTTTATTGGTAACTTTTTATATTTAGAATGATATAAATATTATTATAGAAAACTATATGTAATGAAAATGGATTTAATTGGCAAAAATTTACTTCAAATTTATCTTTTCTTGTTATAACAAAAACATGCATTCACATCTAATTAGAAGTTATTCTTTTTTCCATTTTCCATTACAAAATAAAATTCAAGATGGCTGCTCTTCAACACAATCAACCACAGACTAGAGTATTATATCTAGATGAGCCAGACTATATATAATCATAACCATAGACTATTAAACAAAACCAAAAAGTAACATCGCCATTAGAAGCCACCATTCTTAACTCTTTTATTTATAATTTTTTTATTTCCCTTGCTTAAAATTAAAAATTATTTTTGTTTATATTAGAGGGGGCAAACGGGCAGGAGGCTCACCTGATGATAAGTGACGCCGCTGCCCATGTACACTGACTTTACCAGAAGGATCGCAAGTGCGTTTCCGGACTTTTAAAAATTGGTACACTCTTTTCTTGAATCCTAAGGAAAATTGGCGCGGAAAAAACATGCCTCAAAAAACTCTCAGTTGTGGAACGACGGACGTCGATGTGATACGGGTGGTATTTCGTATTCTCCCATGACGTCTGAATGATGAAACTCCGCTGCTTAATCCAGTTAAATTCTCTAAACACTCTCCATGGTAAAATCCGGTAGAAGATGCAGAGAGACCCCACATCTCTACGCAACGCCAAGGGATCAAGCGGCTTGGAAAGGGATTGGTTGTCGACGATTCGAACCGCTATTCGTTAAATACGGTTAAGTGGTAGGAGCTGGTACTGAATACACCCGCCCAGAAGTTAAAACAGTACTCCATCTCGGGCTGAATTTACGCTTTATACAGTTGCAAGCGATAGCCCGTAGTGAGGTACCGTTTCATCTTGCTGAGCACACAAAGCTTCTTAGAGGATCGCGAAACTAAACGTCGTTCGATATGTCAAACCAAAGTATTCGATGCTATGGCTTTAAGGAGGGTGTCTGCGAAGAGGAATAGTGACAAACTGTGTTATTTTAGCGGAAAAAGTTTAAATTGAACTCTTTGTCTGCGTTTCTTCATACCCATCAAAAATCATGTACTTCTATTTTTAGGTATTTTTATTTTTCCTCTTTAAATTTTGTTTATTATTGAAATTTTATGTTAATATCAGTTTCAGCTAGTTCAATAAGTAAAAATGATGATTGATTAAAATTAGGGACGCTTTAATATACAGTGCTTTTATATGTACATACATGCAAGGCATTCTTTCTGGCGTTCGCGTTAAATAAATAAATATCTGCTTTACTTAAACTGATTCATTTTATGTACTCTGTAGTTGGAAATAAACGGAAGTCTGAACATGTATCATTCAATATTTCAAATAGAATTCCTATATTAAACTTTACAAACTGTTCAATCTAGAACTGGAAAATCGTCGCGTTTGAAAATATTAGTTTTTTACAACTAATATTTTGAATATTGTTTTGATGTTTTGAAGGTTTATCTTGCCTCTTGTTCTACCAGTCCAATAAAAAAGCCTTTTAAAATCAAAATTGTATTTTTCATTTCATTAACATTTAATTACTTAACATTACTTAGGCATGGTACTTAACTACGAATTATAAAAATTACTTGTCCTATAATTTCAAAATCAATTGGCCAATAAATGCCGTCATCACATAAACATTAATGTACCTAATTAGTATTTAAATAGGACTTATTTTTAATGTGTTATCACATACACCTTAAGTGTACGTAATTATTTATTTAAGCCACATTTCTGTAATATGAGCAAAAAATATAGGTAATAATAATAATCTACACTTTAAAAAATGTGTTAGGTTTTTTCAATTAAAAAAATAACTAAACATACAAAATATCACAAAAGTTAATCGAAAATATTGTATTTTGTTCCATGTTGAGGCAATTAAATATTCATAATGTTTCTTGGACAGAAATGTTGCTAATATAAATGTTTGCTTAATTTTTTTATGTGAGCAGAAAGATTTAACATGATTACATATAATATGTAACTAACGCATTCTATTCTTTATGGACGTGATGAATTTATAATTTGGCAACACTTTTGGCTCCTACTCTCACAAAGTGAATTACCTTTTTGGCGGGAAAAGGAGAGCCGCGTTTTTTCAAATAAAATTTTGTTTTATTTTAAATTAAATTGTCTTTTTCAAGACAGAGTGCTTTTGGAGGAGAATAATGTCTTCAGAGAGTGATGGTGATGAAGACGGGTCTACAAAGTTACCCGTAGACTCGAAAAGAGGCGATTTGATAACTCTGTAAAATCGAACGATGTCGATAAGTATAAACCTTACTCTAAACCCGAGTATAAGCGATCCTACCCGGATAATAATAACATAGAAGAGTTTCCCGTTTACGTACAGGGAATTAAAATGGAAGATAAGATAGGTAATAAAAATCCTTTGCATTTATCAAAAATATTCAAAAACGTGAAGGGCATTAAGGAATGTCGTCGAGTTAATGCGGCCAAAATTATGCTGGTTTTCAAACAAGCTGCAGCTGCTAATGATTTTCTGAGTCACGTTAGCTTACGTGACAATAATATGAAAGCTTTTGTACCAGCCTCTTCGGTGGAGCGAGTGGGTAAAATTCGTTTTATCCCTAAAGAATGCAGTAACGCGGATTTATACCACAAACTAATGGCTGACTCTGAAATTGTTGGTGTTAGACGTTTTATGAAAAGAACTTGTGATGGTCTGGAACCTCTTACTACTATAAGCGTTACCTTTGTAGGAACTGTTCTCCCTCAGTATGTTTATTTAGACAACTGGCGTTACAAAGTTTTCACTTATATTCCTCCTCTCATGCAATGTTTTAAATGCATGAAATTTAGACACAGTGCCAAAGTATGTAGAAACAATCAGGTTTGTTCAAAGTGTTCAGGTGGTCATTCCTATAAGGAATGCTCAGCTGAATTTTTAAAGTGTGTTAACTGTGGAGGAGACCACTTGGCAGTATCCAGGTTTTGTCCTCAAAAAGCAGCTCAGATTAAAAAACATGAAAATAATTATTCATCTAAAATGTATTCAACTGTATTATTGTCAAGTGATTTTCCTCAGTTACCTAATGATAAATCAGTTGTAAAGTTGGCTCACAATAAATTAGCTCCACCTACTGTCCAACCTAAGAAAAAAAAGTTATCACAAAATTCATCAGATAGTTCAATTTCAGTCCAGTCTGCTCCTCCTAATAGTGGTTCCTATGATCAGCTCATTAAAGATGATCAGTTCTTGAGTAAAATTATCAAAACTTTAGTTATGTTAGGCAATTCTAATACAGTAAACACAACTGCACACATTAAGGATATATTAATACAAAACTTAACAAAATAATGGATTATTTACGATTAATGCAACATAACATACAGAGTATCAATAATAAAAAACCACTTCTTAAATCTTTATTATATGATAATAAAATAGATGTGTGCTTGCTGAATGAAACTTGGTTAAAAGATTCTGGTCTGCCTTTTTATATACCTGGTTATATATTTGTTGGAAAAAATGCTAAAAATGAGCATGGAGGTGTAGGTATATTAATAAAAAATGATATTAAATTTAAGGTCTTAAAAACTACTTTCTATCAAAATATTCAATTTATAGCTATTTCTATAATAACAGGATGTGGTCCTGTCTCAGTGCTCTGTGTCTACTGTCCACCAAATAATAGCTCAATTAGTTTGATTAATTTGAGAAAGATTATTTTGCAATTACCCAAACCTTGTCTTGTATCTGGTGATTTTAATGCTCACAATATAGCTTTTGGTTGTGATACTACCAATTCAAGAGGTCGTGAATTATTTGATATATTTGATGATGCTGATTTATGTATTTTAAATTCTGGTGACCCTACTACTATTTCTAGACCTGTTAATAATGCATCAGCCATTGATGTTACTTGTGTTAGCCCTGATATTGCACCACTTTGTGAGTGGTATGTCGGTGATGACTCTTTAGGGAGCTATCATTTACCTACTTTTGTTAACATCATTACCTCAACTCAAAAATATACAGTTCAAGAGTCTATACATAAGTATTTATATAATAAAACAAACTGGAATATGTACAATGATAAATCCAAAGATATATTTGATAAATTTTTCTCCCTTCAACAATTGATCCTTTAGTTCAATATGATGAATTTTCTAAATTACTATTTAGTTTAAAAGAAAACTGTGTTCCATTGTTAAAGCATAAATCTTCTAGTAAAAAGTCTGCTCCTCCAGCTCCTTGGTGGAATGATACTTGTGCCGAGGCTGTAACCAAATCAAGAGAAGCGTTAGCTAATTATAGACGTAATATGACAATGGACAATTATATAGAATATAAGAAAATAGATTCGAGGAAAAAAATTATTATAAAAATGGCTAAGAAAGACAGTTGGAAAAGTCTTTGTTCGTCTTTTAATAGATTCACTCCAGTATCCCGAGTGTGGAATTTTATTAGAAGATTTAAGAGAATTAACATTAATAGAAATGTGTCCAAAAATGATGAGTGGATAGCAAGCTTTTAGAGAAGTTAGGGCAACCTAGTAATAACAACGATAATATTTCTGGTTTATTCGAATTTAATGATGGAAGTCAGTGGAGCAAGTTTCTACTTAACTCTTTTTTGTTTTGAAGAACTTGACATGGCTTTGTCTTCAAGAAAGAATACAACCCCTGGTCTTGACGATATTCCTTATATTATGCTTCAAAATCTACATGTTTCTGTAAAACATATTCTACTTAATATTTTAAATTCGCTTTGGTCTCATCAATTGATTCCAGAATCCTGGAGGTTGCAATGTGTCATACCAGTGTTAAAACCTGATAAACCCAATGATCATTTTAATTCGTACAGACCCATTTCTCTTACATCTTGTGTAGGGAAATTGTTTGAGCAAATGATTAAGATTAGACTGGACTATTTTGTTGAAAACCAGAAACTTATTCCTTCTTGTCAGTTTGGATTCAGAAAAGGCAAAAAGTGCAGCAGAAAGTTTTATAGCTTACCTGACTGATATGAAGAAGTGTTTGTTATCAGGTTCTACTGCAATTTGTGTTTTCCTTGATGTTCAGGGGGCATATGATAATGTAGATCTTCACCAATTAATTAGGGTGCTATATTCCTTGGGCATCCCAGGAAAGCTTTTAAAATGGATTTTCCATATGTATTATGGTCGTTCTTTATACATTAAATACAATAATGTTTTTCATGGTCCAAAATTAGCATTCAAGGGGTTGATGCAAGGGTCTTCTTTTATCTCCAATCCTGTATAACCTTTATACTTCACAAATATATACATATGTGACTGAATCTGTAAAAAATATTACAATTTGCTGATGACATCTTAATATATAGTGTAGGCAGTAATTTACAGGTTACTCAAGCAAAAGTTAATTCAGCTTTATGTCAACTTAACTACTATTATACTGAGATACTTAAATTAAATATAAATAGTAGTAAAAGTTCAGTTTTAGCTTATGGTATTGATACTAATGTAAATGTTAAGTATAACAATAATTTAATCCCTCAAAATAGCGAAAAAAAGTTTCTTGGTGTAATTTTTGACACTAAATTAAAGTTTACCAAACACATTGACTATATTTGTAGTAGAGCTTTGAAAGGTATCAATATTTTGCGGTCCTTAGCAGGAACTTTTTGGGGTTCTGATCCAAAAATTCTTTGTTTATTATATAAAAGCTTAGTACGTAGTCATTTTGATTATAGCTGTCTGGCATATATGAATATTAGTCCTGTATTATTAAAAAAGCTTGATGTTATCCAAAATATTGCTCTTAGAATTGTTACTGGTGCAATGCGTACCACTCCTATCAATTCTATGGAGGTTGAGTCATGTGTAGAACCACTATGTATTCGGCGAGTATTAATTGCTGAAAAATTTTGCCTGAAAGTAATAACTTCTCAGAATGATGTTCTTCTTCCAAAACTTTCTTATTCTATAACTATCACTAATACACCAGATTTGCCTTCAAGTATAACAGCGACTAATGTTCTCAATAACCAGATCCCTGAATTATTGGGAATTATGAGCTTTATGACTGATTTATCTGATAATATGTACAAATCTGAACTATGGCCTGTATATCTCTGTAAATATAAAGCTCTTATGTGTAAATTAAATATAGATATGTCCAGTGTAGTAGATAATATAGACTTTCTGGATTATTGCTGTACCAAGCCTAACAGTTACAAAGTCTACACTGATGGCTCTAAATCTTCATCTGCAGTGAAATCGGGTTACTATGATCCTCAGGCTAAAACCTCAAAATGTTTTATGTTAAGTAATACTTGCAGCATATTTACAGCTGAAGCTTATGCTATCTATCAAGTTGTATTGTACTTACACAGTTTACAAAATAACGATAACTACATGGAGTTCCTAATAATTTCAGATTCAAAAAGTGTGTTAATGGCTTTAGACAAATGTCATACTCATTATAGAAATAATTATTTATTGTATAAAATTAGAGAAGCATTGATATCTTTGGATACTCCAGTAACATTTAAATGGGTGCCCTCTCATAGGGGTATCAAGGGAAATGATATTGTAGATGGTATCGTCAATTCTAATTATGATGAGGATCATAGTATTACATGCAGAGTTCCTTTTACGGATTTTCTTTTCGACTTAAAACAAAGAAGTCGCAAGTTATGGGAAAGCTATTGGAAATTATCCTCACAGCATAAAGGTAGTTGGTATGCAGAGATCCAAAAGGAACTCCCATGTAAACCTTGGTATGATAAATACAAAGGAGCCAATGAACGTAAATTTATAACCATTATTAATCGTTTGAGGTTTGGCCACTGTCAGACTCCAAGCCATTTATTTCGTTTTAAAATTATAAATAATAACAGATGTACATACTGTGGAGGAAAGGAGGCCGACTTATCCCACCTCATCTTAAGTTGCCCGACCTTTAAATTTCAACGATTAATACTAGTAACGGATATTATGAAGTTGATGGATTTTGATGAGAATAATCGGACTAAACTTGGAAATTCTTTAGCAAATAACCCGACAAGATCAGCTTTAGACTCATCAGCAGTCACTGCAAATGGTAGTCATCAATGTCAACCATCACAAATAGAAATTCCCCGCCGTGTCCAAGATTTACTGAAATGTCCAGTTCTATTCAAAGCTATTCACTATTATATAAAAAAACACGGTTGAGAAAATTTAAAACTCACCATTGTTTTATATTAATTGTATTTTATGTTAAGTTAGTATAGTAAATAGTTATTTGTGTAAGATATTTTGTTATACTTTTTTTTTAAAGTGCCAATGGACTTTGTATCCGGCTAATAAATAAATTAAAAAAAAAAAAAAACTACTCTCACAAAGTGAATTACCTAAACTCACATATTATATCTGATAATTTAATGTGATTGGTATCAAACAAAACATGTCTAATTAGCATAAAAATATTGTAAAATAGATTATATTTTAAAATTTCCAATATAGAGAAAAAAAACACAACCTTACAAATAGAATACATCTGGGGAAAACTTTGAAAATGGTACTGGAAAACAATTTCTAGAAATTTAAAACAATCTATTTCAGTAAATTGGCTATTCTTATATATCGAGTTAACAATCTACGAGCAAGTTATTAAACTTGATATTCATGTTTAAAAATTATATAATGATTAAGTGTATTGATTAAAGTTCAAGTTACTATAGAAGATGTTCTGTTTGTATGGACGTGATGTTTGTGAACTCTGTGAAGTTGCACACATGTAAGAATTACAATTTTATATAAAATGTATCTATCATTATATTATCGCATATTTGTATTTCATAATGTCATTGAAAACGCGTCCAAAATTAACTCTTAGACTTTTGTCCTGTTTTTGTTATTGCTACAATATAAGAGGGCGTGGTACTTTAATGTGTATTATGGACTAGATTTAGGAGTGGTTACATATTTTAAACTAACCTAATCAGTTTATAACGAGTACCTATTTATAACTAATCAGAGTTTGAAGCCATTTAATTATTATCCTAGAAAAATCAAGTCTGTACAACGTAGGAAAACCTAGATACATCAAAATACATATCTTAATAATATATACACATGGAGACAATTGTTCATGTCGATCAACACGTAAATGCATAAAAAAATTTTAACCTGAATTTTAAATAGCATAAACACTTTCAAAAGAAAACGACTCTTTACGACGTAACCCTGAGACAGGCCTATTTCTGCAGACTTGACACGCATTATACGACGGTGTGTTACTTTAAGGCAATTTCATGGGCTTGAGACAAAATAACTTTTCAACAAGCGTGTCCCACTAACGCTAAACGAGCATTTTCATACAAACTCGTTTGTGCATTAGGCCGGCTCCACACGTTGGCCCCAATGTTGGCCCCAACGCTATTCGTCCATCGTGTGGATCTAGAAATTGGCATTGGTCCCAACGTTGGGGCGAGTGTTGGTAGTTGGCCGGCTCGTGTCGGTTTCATCAAAGGAATCTGCGCCAACGCTCGAGATCTGTCCACACGTTGGCGCTTTGCTTAGTTCTGCTACAGCACGCAGCGAGTGCGTACGTCGAGCGAGAATGGCTTCCTCATCCACAAAATCGCCACCGGCATGGACAAATGAAAAAGTAATAGAATTTATTGAACTTTATCAAGCACATCCAATAATATGGGACGCAACTCGAAAGGATCATAAAAATTAAAATTTAATAGCTGATGCATGCCGCACCATTCAACAAAATATGGGAATGAATTTCTCAATTGAAGATTTTAAAAAAAGCGAGAATCGTTAATGAGCACATATCGCCTTTACAGCAACGCTCGATTTCTGTATCGGACATCTTCCCATTGGCCCTGACGGGACAGAACTAGTTTATTAGCCTACGTGTGTACGCCTCACCGAGTTTGCAGTCCAACGTTGGTACGAGCGTTGGGACCCACATGTGAAGCCGGCGTTAGTAGATGCCTGTCGAAAAGTGATTTTGTCACTAGCCACATGTCCGTTTCAAGTGGCTCTTTAGTAGAAGTCACGTGACAAGTGTTAGACGATCACGTTTGCTTAAATAGATTTTGTCTAAGGAAGATTTTTGGGGTCAACTACACAGCAGGATTGATTTAAGATTGCAAATAATCCAAGTGAAGATTCTTTCCTTCTTATTTATTCATAAAATCAAGTCAGTCTCATTGCACTGTTTTAACAACAGTGGTCTTTCATCTGCTTCTGTCTGTATAAACACAATTAGACAGAGTTCGTTTTTAAGAATAAGGTCTTCATTTCGTTATGTTACGATAAACACAATTCTATTTCACAATAAAAAATCAATCTCGGCGCGAAGCCTCTTACGGTATCGAAACCTAATAACAGATTTAAATGAAAATACTGCGAGTAGTAAGTGAACGCTAGCGGAAGACCGATGTGATTGTTTGAGCAGTTATGTAAAGCTTATTCGTGGACATCGACTTGTAACATTATGATAATGTTTAACCCACCTAGTTTTATCGAATAATGTCTAGAGATATAGCGAAAATCTCTCACTTGTTAGCATACATTACTGGCTATAATAATATGAATATAATTTTACACAAAGATCGTGTATCATCATAATATTACAAATAAATCTTTACCAAAATACAAATGATCGAATAAAATTAACACTGAAAGTCATTTACAATCCGCATGGTATTGGAATGCACTCGTTTGATGTCTGTTCACTGTTTACACTATATTATCGCGTGTTAACCTTTGCCTTCGTCAGGTATTGTGATACGAACTGTGGCAGGTTTCTGTTTATCACTATGGACACTGGGGTATTTATCGCTCGAGCGTATTTCGTCTGTGGTGGTGAGTTTGCATTCCACGACGCGGTAGTTGCAGATCGGGGTCCCGCAATCGAAATGCGATGGCACTGAATTGGGAATGTCGCATAACTTTGATTCTTCCTTGAATGGTGGACAACTGTAAACAAATAAGGGTATTAATTTATTTTTAAATATACATATACCAGTAAAGAATTAAATTAAATTCAATAATAATAATTTATTTATTGCAAGAAAATGGTACAAAAATGTGTATGTTGGTACAATCGTAAGTTCGCATATTCTGCCACACACAATGGCGCGCAAATTTGTCTTTATAGGAATTATACATTTTACATTATTTGTCATTTGAATTGGTGAATTCTTATATTATTTGTATAATACATATCATATCATACTTTATTAAATTTAAATCAAATCTCACGCAAATAATCATTTATTGAAAAGTACTTTTTTTTTCCATAAGTAATACACCAAGTCGCTTTTTAAAGACTCTAGTCGGAAGATCTTTTAATTCTTTTGGTAACTATATACTAACGTTTATCTAAATGCGCGGTTGTATTAACCATTGAACTGTTAGTCCTAATTTTATTTAATTACCTTAATGGAGGAGGTGTCGGTGAGCGCGAAAGTGGAAAACTGGCAACTTCTCTCGAGATGGCCAACGATTTTATTGAACCGAAAGTTTGTTCGGGACTGAGCGGTGCTCCGAGAATGGATGCCATTCCTCTGTAAATAATATAAAAGTAATTAATATATGATCAATACCAAGTAACTGAGTTAGGTAGACGATTTGGAAAATGTTACCTAGACCTGGATTCGCTTCCCGAATATTTTTTTGTATTGACGCCTTAAAAAGAACATGAAATAACACTAAAATGTGAATGCTCTTTTATCTATGAGGGCGTTATGGAACTTGAAAGACTAATTGGCTTGAATGTTGTATTAGCTGGGATAGGCTGATTAAATCTTAACTTACACAACAGAGTCGCTAGGTACTAAGAAGGGTAAAGGTGGGGGACATGGGGCATCAGCTCTTGCTGGTGAAGCGGGCTCCACGGAACGGGGGCAGCGAGGTGTTGCACTCTCCTCCACCATACCAAGCCAGCCGCGAAGGAAACGCCAAAGACCGGTGGGGCTTCCTGTAACATACCAATATACTATGAAAAGGTCGGGTTCTATAAATATTCAGGTGTTGAATATAAAAGTGTGTTCGCTTAGTTACATATGAAAAATGCTTTTGCTGAAAAACTTGAAAAAAATTCTGCGTGACCACGCACGCTGTAAAGCACGCGAAACGTCGGATAAATTTAAAATTATGTTAAATAGTTGTAAATTTATAATAATACATAACTTCAATCCGGTCAAAATAGTGTTTTATTAAAAAAAAAATTCTAATACAATATGACAATAATGTAATTTATGCCAAACGGATTTAGTGAACAAAGCTTCTTCAACATAGACTAGACAAAGTTAAAAAAAAAATAATTGAATTACCGTTATTTGAAATTCGACTGTGTTTGCTGTTGATAACACTTGAAACCATAGAATTTACCATAGAGCGTAGTGGATTTTGATTGATTTTGCAGTTTTTAAATAATGGTGAATTGAAGAGAAGATATTTGTTTACTTACGTGTATATTTCCTACTATTCTGTGGACTTAAGGGGTAGAAGTCCCCGTGAATGGGGCAGTGGAAGGCCAACCGACGCTGACGTTTTTGTGCCGATCGCATTAACACACATAGCACAATACCTGGAACCAAAAAGGACCAATAAATTACACAAAATATTCATTTGTTTCACATATAAAATATATTTGAAAGTATTCCGAATTTTACGCTGTGAAAGAAGTGGAGTCAGCGTAGTTTGTGTTGTATTTAATGAGGATAATTTTAACACCAATCAATCACTATTAGCTAAGGCCACCGTTATGTTATATTATTATTTTGCTGTATTTTGGATACAAAACAAACAGTTTCTGATATTGATCGCATATTGAAAGTAACGAAGACCTTAAGGGTCTTGTGAGCGTTTGGCTGTATGCCAAAATGACCCGGAAAACTGTTACGTGATTTATATATTCATTTCATTTTAACATACAACGAATAACTAAGACCGCTGTAATCTTACATAAAATGCCGTGTAGGTGGCCGTGGTTTACGCAAGTTGTATTTATAAGTCTTATAGTTGTAATCCGATATTTTTAGCTTCTTAAAACATTTTTATTTATTACGTGCAACCCATATATTATGGTTATAATTCGTATGGTCTATAGGAAAAAAGTAAGTTAATTTTCGTTGCAGTTCAAAAATTCAAAAATAATTAATTCTTAGGTAACACAATGTACCGTAACCTTATGAACGCAAAAAAATATATATAAGAAATCCTTCTAATTTTACATTTAAACTGCCAGTTCTCAAATCACGGGCTTCGAACGGAAGAGAAGAACTGGCAATAAACTCTCCACCACTCTTTTTAATATTAAGTAGTTATAAAGTACATCTACTTAAAAAAATCCCACAAAATCTAGTTTTTAATCCGCCCAAAAATATTCTTCTAGTAGTAACAATTATTCTTATTTTTTTTATTTACTTTATTACCTATGTACTTTTACACACAAATAGTAAATTTTTACTAATAATATTATTATTACATTATTATTTTTGCGTCTGAGTCGCAAACTAACTGTTGAGGTTTCTGGAAGAATGACCAGCGCTGTGGAACACCTCTGAGCCAAGGTCAGTTACAACCACAACACACACACATTACACACTAAAATGTACCTTATTCCTTAAAAAAAATTTTTTTGGTTTATTATTATCATATTTCTTTTTTGATTATTATCATTATTTTGTGTGTGTGTTTCGTTAGTAACAAATGTTATGTTTATTTTTATTCCATTGCTTATTCCAACAGAATAGATTGGCGTTTATTATGATTAGAGTAGGGGTGATTAAAATCTAAGATAGCCCATCGAAGCGGTATAATTGTTTTCCAGCACACGTTAGTAATAATTCAATGTTGGCTACAATTAAACTATGCTTACTGTTACCTACTAAATACAGTTTCAATATATGTATTTGTAATAATTTTAAAGTATATTGAATGTAATAAAATCACTCGGCAAACAATTGTAATGGCTCTTTTAATTTTATTTATGTAACGAAAAGTGATACCATCGCCCATAGACACTCACTTTCCCAGAGGGCTCGCAAGTACGTTGCCGGTTTTTAAGAATCGGTACGCTCTTTTGAAGGAGTTTAAGTCGAATTGGTTCGGAAATACTTCAGTGGGCAGCTGGATTTGTTCTTATACATTATTCCGAAGTATACTAACCAGCTATGGTCATAAGAGCCCCAGCAACGATGCATACTGGGCCCAGCACGCGAGAGTTTCCAGTGAAAGCGATGCGAGCGGCGTAATGGTCTGGTTCTTCATTCTCACCACAACCACGGTATGATGCGGCTGGAAATAAGTAGGCAGAACTTTTTAAAACCTTTTCTACATGGAGATCGTTCAATAACGGGTACATTCACGTAATATGTACTATTTTCACCAAAACAGATTCTGTTTAGACAGCGCAAAGTTTTGTCATCCCGACGAAACCTTATTTACCAGTGAATTTATAAGTTTAATCAGGCTGGTTTTTATCAACAACTAATCAGAATATCAGTAGAACAGATATGTATCTGCTACTAAGTTATATTTTACAATTTTACAATGAAATAATAGAAATAATTAAAAATGTGTATAGAGAAAATTACTTGGTGTACGAATGATTTTTCTAAGAGTAAACTTAAATTATTTCCCAACTTTAAGGAACCAAAGTTTTCTTTGTTATATTTATTATTATGTTTATACTTTATTTAAAATTTAAAAGGGGCATTGCACGAATCTTGTAGTTGGAATAAGTTAATCAAAATTACAATTTGCGGTTTGACTTGGAACTTTTGGCAGAGTTGATATTATCTGAGGTTAAAGTCGAGAGTCAATTATACATATAATTTTAGGTCATGGCTTGGAATGTTTTTGTGCTAATAGCTACCATTAGTCAAAGCCTAGGATATTTTCTTAAATATAGGATCCAATAGACTTACTTTAGATGAGTGAAAAGACAGTGGTAAGTGGAAAAACGGAACACAAGAACTGAGTGTCTTTCTCCTTCTAGAGATCGTAATGTTCCATGATGTTAAAAAAACTTTAGATTATATTTTTTCTTGATATATATTTATATATTACTGAGAGGAATCATCAATACGGTACAGTTTATTTATTTTCATTATCTACTATCAAGAATAAGGAGTAAAAAACCTATAGGTACCGAAAGCGTTCCACAAGTATAGTGTTATGCGTAGTTTAACAACAATAAAAACTGAATAGATTTTGTAATAATAATGCATGAATAAAGACCCTTCCACCATTTTGTAATCTATGCTTTAGTTCTATTTACCTGTGAGCACACAGCCTACAAGCATAAACAGGAACCCAAATATTGGGAGGACAATTTGACAGTTGGCAGCCACGACTACGCCGGCGACTGCTAAGCCGCCCTCAACTTTTTCTACGCGCAGGCGGGAAATGGCAGGGGGGCATCGAGGCTTGCCCACTGGGGCACGGACTAAAGGCTCTCCAGGGGGCGATGTTGTCCTGTAAAAATATTATCAAATTAATTTTGTTGCCAGATTTATTTATAAAGGTAATAAATAACTGGTCTGTTTGCGTAGATTTAGATGACTTACGCAATTTATATTTCTATATGAAAAGTTAGTAAAAACGTTCCGTTTGTTTAATCGTAAGTGTACGTACGTAACGGTTCTTATAATTTTCCAAAACTACAGTAATTAAAGACGCTGAACAGGGTTTATGAGCCATAATTGTAATTATAGTTGTAACGTATGTTAACAAAGAGACTGCAACTAACGAAGAAAAATGCTAGAAATGTATAAAAGATAATAAACAATAGTATATTCGGGCGACGACTTATAGCATTTCCGTACTCTAGCTAACTTAAATTATTTATAACAAAAAAATATACTAAAACTATAGGCAAACATGGAATACATAATATATACAAAAAGGTCCGAGGTACGAAACTTATGAAAGAAAAAGTCAATAAAATTAGATTAAATATAAGTATGTAATACCTTATTCGGCTGTGTTGTGGGATGGCGTGTCTGTCAGGGTACGTACGTGAGGGTGTGTATGTGGGGTGTGCTGATGCAGGTTATTTAGCGCAATGAATATTCTTAATACTCCTTTTACATTCGCGATAGCTTAAACAAGTCGAGGCTTAAATAGTGGTCGTTGTATGTCCGGGCTGCGCGATTCAAAACTGAGTTTTTTGCGTAGTTAGTGTTGATGTGAGGAAACAGAGCATATTAATTAACTAATAGTATTGTATTTAGTTTTGTCTGTTTGATACTCGGCTACATACTTGCAAAATTTTAAGATAAACAAGCTTATATTGCTTGCGTGCAGTGGCGTAACTATACCATCTGGGGCCCGTGGAAAATTCTTTTGATGGGGCCCTATCAGTAAAATCGTCACGTTGTACTCAGCTTTATTTTAATAAATTTTCACGATTTTCAGAGAACTCAATTACACGTTGTATATGTCTCACAAATGGCCATAGGCCTCCCCTCTGAGAGGGAATGGTCTGTAGTCCCCACGCTAGCCCAATGCGTATTGGAGACTTCACATGAATACATAGAACATAATATCTTTTGGGCAGGGGCCCTCTTGGGTCTGGGGCCCGTGGCATTTTGCTAGCCCTGCCACCCTATTGTTCCGCCAATGCTTGCGTGTATAGATATATATGATGAAACGGACATAGACATCTGTACCTCATATCTCTTTGCACAATAACATCGTAACAAAGTAAAAATTACAATAAAAGGAAAATATTGTAACATGGAAAAGCAATACGTATTCGTCCGCATATCATTTTCCATCAATCAATGAAAGTATGTGTTATACTTTATTTTCTTTTTGCTTTCTTAATCATTTTTAAACCGAAGAGCAGTGATATATTATAGTAATGATATTTTATGATTGCAATCAAATGTGTTAGACTGTCATTTTTAATAAATTGTGGGCCACCAACTGGTGATATGACATATACATCCCCCCTCCCCCTCCCAACTCTGATTGGTTTCTGTTGTGTTATAGGAGTGCTACGCCAAACATCATGATGCGAGCTTTTGATATATTTAAATTATACTGAACAATATAGGAATAGAAGATGTTAGAGCTTATTACATTTAAAACCTAACCCATAGATGTTCATAATAAAACCCACAACAAAACTTGAAACAAAATTATGTCATTAAATACTATCTCCATCGGAATCGAAATACATAATTGAAGTTTCATATTAATCGAATACTTGATTGTCGTTGCTAGCAGCTACAAAGAAATAAGACTTTGTTAATAAATTAATATTGGCTTAGAATGACTGATATTAACAATTACACAATCTTGGCTCACATTTTAATCTCGTGTAGAGGCTGCTGCATTTGTTCAGCTTTCTAACATTGTGATATGCAAACTTTTTTAGAATATAATAAATACAGTTTGTCTACTACAAAGCGTTCTACTACATATTTTTTCAAACTAAGAACATTACAAGATTTTTGTAAATGCTAAGTCACATCACACGTGTTAAAATTTTTTTTTGTTTTTTTTTTCCTGCCGGGCCCTTTCCCCCTTTTTTCCTTTGACTGTTTGTGAATAAGCGCGACATAATGTTAATCAACATCAAATAAACTGTCCGACGTGACTAAAATGTATAGCATGGCAAAAATCATTTTTTTAAATTTCATTTTTGTGGGTACCTTGAACCCCCCCGCCCGCCAAAAAACAACACGATTGTCGACTCCTGTTACTCGGCATATTTTTGACATGATGATTTGAAGAATTATCGAATCAATTTCGAACAACTATATTGGAAAAATATGAAAATGGTTGACTTTTAATATACTATGAAAAATATTTAAATAAAGGTAAACTGTGAAAATATCTCAAGAATGACTTATCTGATGGAAAATAATTAACAAGATTAATATAAAAAATGGTTTAGCATTAGTCTTAGAAATTGAACGCGATTTGAATGTACGTGAAACATGATACAAACAACACAAACCGTGCTGGCCAAGAAATCGGTAAAGAAAAAAAAGAGTGCAATTCTCGATGACATGAGAACTTAAGAAGGCGTCTTTGTATCGAAGAAGTCGCATGGCATTCTAACGCTAAATTAGCTTGTCCATATTTTTTGTACTAATAGTGAAAACCTCACTTTTATATCTAGTTATAAAGTACGTGTTAGTACCAAGCAGCGGCTTAAGTCTTTGGCAATAAATTCATTCCCCGAAGGTACTGATACGGTGAATTTGAAACCAACGACTTCCTAAAGAGGAAATCGGAAACCTCGATTCTTAAATTGGCTTAAATAATGGTTACCAAGAATCTGAGATATTTCGTAATTCCTGAAAACAGATGCGATGGACGTAAGAAAAATTAAAAAACACGTTAAACAGTTACAGAAAGCAGAATGGTATCGTAAAACTAAAATAGCTTGGTGTGGGCATTGTGGTCGATTATTGTTTGTAGCCAAGGAAACAATACCACTATTATGAGTATCACAATATCACTATGTAATCTAAGAACGTAATAGCCGACTTTCTCTTCAAAACCAACAACATATTTATGAAGAAATTTGTTTTCTTTGTGTTGAAGTAGTACGATAACAATAGCGTATCCTTTTTAAGTGCAATTTAGCGTAATCTTTCGACAGTAGAAGCATTTTATTGTATTATAGCTGGTTCTTAAAATATCTTGGAGGCTGTAATCTATTTAATTGAATTAGTTCCATAAGAACTAATTATAAATCAGAATAGTTTATTTAGGCTTGTTCCCGGGTACTAAATTACGGGTATAATTTTTTGTTTTGTTTGATTGGATAGTTATATTCATCGAGAAAGACAGTACAATCTGTAAAATCTTAATAGGTGAGTACTATGAATAGTATTAAACTTGTTATGTTGGAGCTGGGAATCCCGTTACAGCTATTTTACTTAAAAGCGTCCCCAAATCTAACAATTGTGCAGAACAGTTTTTATTTTATAAGCTCAAGAGGAAATCTTAGCGAACGTCCGTTATTTGTGATACGTGTTCAATGTGATAAAGCTCACGCGACTTGCCTGTTAAGTATACACTATCGTCGTACTAAGTATAGAGTATAAACTAACAATTCTAAGCTGTAATACGTATTAGATTTTCAGGGTGAATGCTTTAAGGTGCTTACGTATCCACGTGACACGTGAAAAGAAACGTGATTATCTTGGACGTGTTGGGAATTCGCGGCGACATACTGACGCCCTCTTTCGTCCCCGACGTTCCTCCGAGTTTAATGAATCGCTAAGTATTTATTACACAAATTTATTTATATACAAGAGTTGATACTTTCTTTTTTATATTTATTATGTCATGCGTTTGATAAGCGTTTTGTGGTTATGAACATCATATGTGGTTGGATCAGATTCCTTTGTTTATTTGATTTACAGGAAAGATAACAAAACTTTTGTAACGCAGAAATATTTTGATATCGTTTGAATGTAGTATTTCGTATGCTTGTCCAACGTTATTAAAAGTATCTGGATGAATATTAGGAGTATATGGTACTAACAAAAGAATTAGCCATAGCTGCGATAGTTTATTATAGATATCGGAGAAAATTAAACATTCTTATCAAAAATTATACCTCGTATGACCCATAACATTTTATAGGTACGTCGAAAACTATGACGAATTACAATCTATTTTAAAATTTTACTCTATTATCAAACGGTAGTTTCTAAGCGAAAACCTTGAACTTGTGGCATTAGAAATTAAAGTTATGAAAATTAGGGACAGAAAGTTTTGTCGGTCATTAATTTTATAAATGACAGTTAAGCAAATATTATGACGTGCGACAGGAAATTATAGTTCAATAAATATAGAATAACATTTGTAAGTTATTTTAGTTGATGTTTATGTTACCTAAGAGAGCTGTGCCATAAATATGAATACTTCATATCTTTGTCCAGTGCTAAGTCTAGTCGCTATGACTATTACGGCAAAGCTGAAAAAATTACTTTAAAATTTTGTGCAGTGTAAAACTGCTTAACACAAAAACTAATTATTATTATCTTCGACATACGGTATTAGTAATAACAGTTCTTGTGTGACAGTTTTCTATAATTTGTTCGTTTATTTTTCTGTCATTATTTACTATTTTGGTGCAATATAAAATAGAATTTATATGACGATAATAACAGCATTAAAATACAAAGAAGATCAATCAAAAGATATTAGTGGTAATTCTAGTGTCAAGCCAATGGGTACAAATGACATTAATGTACGTCGCGAGAAATATGATGGATTAAAAACTGGTAAAAAAAGGATTAAAATTGTGGTAACATTCGATATTTTAATCGATGACAAAAATTATTGATACAATTAAATCTTAAAACTGCGATGTTGGATGGCATTATTAAAATAAATTAAACCAGTCCCGCCTCATTATTAATATTTTGGAAATTAATAAAGCGTACATTAACGTATTCTAGTGATATAATAGTCTGTTCGTTACAACTATACGAAAATACATCTTTCTTCTTTATAATACCGTAATAAGGATACATCTATAAAAATGCAGCTAAAAATTTACACTGTAGTTTACGGAATATTCCATAAAAAGAAGATCATCAAGACAAGGCGGCCATTTAAAAGTACTTAATTGTTGTTCCATAACGCGTAACTTGAAATTTTAGGGTTTGTATTTAATTTTCTATTCATATGTCCTTAATCTTTCACTGACACAGTCCCGTTAAGCACTAGAAACGAGAAGTTATGTAAAAATTGTAATACATTTGCATATCCGTTTAAGCAGTTTCATATTTTAAAAGCTGGATATTAATATCGATGTACGGAGATTAATAACATGACAATTTACTTTTCACAATAGAGGCTTACTTCCGTTGAGTTTTGTCATACTGTAATTTAGTTTATTGTACTTGAGTATTACGAGACAAAACTGTTTCAAAACTACATCAGCATGAACTATTGAAACTTAAATTTTCATCTGTCCCTTTTCATTACAGCGCAATTAGTCAGGAGGCGAACGAGTGCTTAAGTTTAAGCAGTGTAAAAGTGATTTTGTTTTTATAAATAAGGTAAGTCTCGCTTTAAATTACTAAGTTTAATATTCATCGGGACTCATACACAATGAAGCAAAAGCCTGTAATCCTAATTATTTGTGACGTTAATAACAATGTAATAATTATTTTCGTCACGTTTATAACAATAGAAGAACGTGACCGAACCGACATAAAATTTAAGCTATCTAAAGAATGTCATTGTAATATGAAGTAATGGATATTTAAAAAAAATCAGTGGCGCTACAACCTCTTTAGGTCTGGGCCTCAGATTTCTGAATGTGTTTTATGGTTATTTTACAATGTAATAGGCAAGTAGGTGATCAGCCTCCTGTGCCTCACACGCCGTCAACTTTTTGGGTCTAAGGCATGCCGGTTTCCTCACGATGTTTTTCTTCAACGTTCGAGAAAGAAAGTCCATTGGTGCACAGCCGGGGAGCGAACCTACGACCTCAGGGATGAGAGTCGCACGCTGAAGCCACTTGGCCAACACTGTTCAATGAATATTTTAAACCAAATAATAAATAATTAAGGAACTAAAACTCAGGTAATGGTGTACTTAAAAGCAAAAGGTGTTGTAATGTTACAACTCAGCGAATGTCTATTTAACACTTGTTGATACGATATAAAACGTCATGACAAAGTTATATATATATATATATATACAAGGCATTTGGATATATATTAAAAAAAATTGTACAATATAAAATAAATACCTCTTATAAGGTACCGAAATGTAACCATTATGTTCACAATACGACACGATACGATACATACCTACATTAAATTAATTTTAAAATTTATTTACACATTAATCCACTAAATATTTTACCTACAGCCTAAAAATATGTATTTTGTTTGTTAAAAATTAACAATGAAACAGGTGTGGCTGATTCGATACAATATTTTAATTAATTTAATACCATATAAGTTTAATGAACCTTTTGTGCCAATCATTCAAATGAAAGGGAGAAAATCTAGCTCATAAGAATTGAGAGCAATAAACTCCGAAGAATAACATTAAAAAGCCTATTTATTATCTTTATAATTTGAAAAGGTCGATGGACTATAATGGATTCTATTGCTGTGTAAATTTGACAGGAGAAGGGTTGATTACAATATTGGCGTGGCATTTGGGGTAATCGGTTTGAGGAAAACTCGGTTGTCACTTTTCGTTCTGCACATAGCTTCATGTATGTGCTCTAAATAAACCTGCAACAGACTCGCAAGTCAAGTCTTGAAACCCTGTATATATAAATACAAAAATGACTCTTATTATTTAATTCCATGTCTCCTGAATGTTAATGTTCTACAATATCATAGATAAATTAATAAAACTCAAAGGTAAAGGAACAAATATCAAACACAGTTCCGAATCAGTGACCGCGACCGAATCAGATTCGTCCTTAGTGGAAATCAATTGTTTCGGTCTATTTTATTTGTAAAGTTTCTTTTTTTACCAGAACGGAAATGCTAGCTAGTTTTTTAATAGAATATTTCTTTCTATCTATAAAAAGTTTATGGATCCGGCATGAGAAGTTTTTGTTTTTTTTAAATATTAACTTTTAAAGGGTTATTGTCTTTTATTGACATAACTTTTACACATTTAATAAAACAATTTTTAATTTTTTTGTCACCGGGACGCACGCTGTAAAGCACGCGAAACGTCGGTTAAATTTAAAATTATGAAAAATAATTGTAAATACATAACTTCAATCCGGTTACAAATTATTTTATTTTAAAGAGTTTTCAAAAATAAGCCATTATTAAAGTTTCGTTATTAAAACCGCTATTTATACGCTACAAACCTATATTTAAACCGCTACCAGGACCAAAAATGCCATTCCAGTTCAACCACTTAAAACAACAAATGATGAAAATAGAAAATTTACGCGTTGATCATTCAGTTTTATTTTGGTCAGCGGTAGGGGGCAATCTGTAGTCCAGACAGTACGAAAATAGGACGTCCCCCACACAAATTGAGTGACAAGGGGACTTTGAACGAATATATCCTGCTGTAGATTAGTGCTTCGTGTGTAAGGCCATGTGAAAATAATACGTGTTAAATGATGCACTTGGCTCCGATTAGTAAGCCGTTTGACAGAATAATTTGTTGTTGGTAGTAATATGTTTGGAAAGGTGATTAAATTATGACAAATACTTTGAAAATATGCCTATTAATTATATGTTAATTTCAGACTGTAATAGAATAACAAAAAAATATGCAATATAAAAAAACGCGAGTGAGAATATCTTCCCTGTTCTTATTTGAACCATAGCATAATTAAGTTTTGGTAGGAAATATAATTGAGGTTTTAATTCCATTCGTAAGGAAGTTCCGCTCATTTGAAATAAACAGATTTCCTTTCGGAACGGAAGAAGAATCATGTAACGAATGCTAATAGTGCTGGCATTCTTTTATATGAAGTACTGGTTTATTTTGTATTTCAACAATCGTTTTGGTTAAAAAATTCTAACAGGCCTTAACTAAAACACTTAATTGAGTTAGCAAATGTCTGGGTGATCCATATTTAGTACCTCATAATAAACGTAATGCAGAAAGTGGACCAAACGAGTTACCCTAGGAAAGGACCACCAGGCAAGAGGCGGAAGGGGAACCCTTAGACCGCTGGAAAGATGATCTGAAAAGATCAGCTGCCAAAAACTGGCACTCCATAGCACAGGACCGACAAAAATGGGCATGTTTGGAGGAGGCCTTTACCGGGGTTCCTGTTAATTCATAAATAAATAATATATATATATATATATACTGCTCAAAAAAATTAGCGGAACAAGATTTTTCTCCTTTCTATTGCTTAAACTAAAATTAGATTTAAATTAACTTGTACGCTATTTTTTACCTTGTTAATTTGTTAATTACTACAATTAATAAAAAAATTAAAATGTGCATTGTAGACGAAAAACTAATTGGTGATAAAAAAGGTCCATCAAAGAAATATTCTTATATCATTTGAATATTCGTCTTTAGTGACTTTCAGTAACGTGTGTGGCCTCCATGAACCCTAATAACGGCTTGACAACGACGCGGCATGCTTCGTATGATCCTTCGAATATCTTCTTGTGGAATTCGCTCCCATTCTTCAATCAACGCTTCAGTGAGCTGCTGCAGTGTTTGAGGTGCAATCGGACGCTTCCGGATGCGCCTGTCAAGCA